TACATTTCATATCGTTTTTGGCAATGAGCTTATGTTTACATTAAAATAGATAGGATTTGGTTAGAAGTGGAATAGAGGACGAGTGTTTCTTCCTATTTTGGACTTCCTCAAATGATTACAATCTCGCCTCAGAGTTAATGTTCACCCTGGGACTCGAACCTAGAACTCTATCGCTCAGCTATTAAGTTCAGATAGCCGCACCCTCTGAGATTTAGCCAGTTTTGATTTGCTTATGAATTTCTTATGTAGATTGCCTCAAGATAGCTGCCCAGGTATGAATCAATCAATGTTAGACCATCATTAGAAACCTGAAATTACTGGATAATCATTTCAGCCTAGTATGGGACTCATCAGTGGTAGTACGCATCCACAATCACTGGAGTTTAACGAAAGACAATGGATGATAGTCAGACAATATCATAGACTGATTGAAGTTAGATATTAACATCATTGGATGCTGGCTCAATGGTCAAGAGGCTAAGATCTAAGGTCCTGAGTTCGATTCATACCTGTGGGATGATGGATGAGCACTAGTGATGAGTCCCAAACAAACGTCCCAAAAATAGCCCTTCATTACTTTCAGGTTCCCATTGGATGGTGTTTAACATTGATCAGTTCACGTGTTTAATGACAATTCATAACTGGCAGTCAGTTATTCAAGGACCATTTATATATCAACAGTTTATAAACTCGAATAAGAGCTGATAATAAGAATAATCCTACAAGTATACTCAATAACTAGTTATCTATAGAGTAATTCTCAAAATTTCATCAGTCTCAATCATTTTCACCTTCTCTAATTTGCATGATAGGAGTCATGGATGAGTACTACACTAGTGAACGAGAACACAGGTGGGGCAACCAAATTGAATTTAACGAAATTACAGAGTTACTCAGTAAAATTGGAAAACCATATCGTAAATTTTTACTTTGCAAAATATCAGTCCATCATATCGAACTGGACTGTTCCTGTTGCAAACAACATCAATCCATTGTCACTATTCATGCGTTTCATACAAATTCCATTGTGTTCTTCTAACTCTTCCTTCCTTGATCTTCCCCCATCTTCGGCTGCCAGACATTACGTTGACGCTCACGTCATATACTACTTATAAGTAGCTCATACCACATGGGCACTACCACTGATGAGTCCCATACTAAGCTGAAACGAACATCCAGTGCTCCCAAGTTTCCAATAATGGTCTAAGATTGATCAATGAATACCGTCACATAAGATTTTCACATTTTCACTCAATCCATTTATCTTAAGTGATAGATAGTTTTAAATAAACTGTTTTACACATTTTAAATTCCCCCACTACTGCTGATTACTGATTTTTCAAATGATTATTATAAAAAAATTTCCCATCAAAAGATAATCACACTTTTTTGAAATTTACAAACAAACAACAAAATAGGTTGTTTGTTTTAAACAAAAAGATAAAGTACACTGTTTATTTTTTGTCAATATTCAATTAAGTTGTAAAATAAATAAAAAAAAATTTTTTCCTCTCTCTTCTGTTTGTTGAAATTTCAGCTAATCTGATTTCATGTTTACTTAAAAAAACCGGAATGAAAATAAACAGTTTGTTGTTGTTTTTTATTCTGCTGCTGTTTACAGTAGTTTTCTCTATTGTGGTTTTATTTACTGTCTATCATCTTGAGATAAATCCGGTACAGATCAGTTAGATTGATAATTAATGCGGATAATGAGAACTTGTGAATTTTTTCCCATGTTCAAAGTATAAAGTCTCCCAGAGTGTGTGTGTGTGTGTGTGCGTGCGTGACTATGACAGTGGGAGTAGGCTGCATGTGTAAGTTAAGTGCACTCCAGTTTAATCAAGTGTTTTTGTGTGTGTGTGTGTATGTTCGGAGATTCATCAAATATCCTAAAGAAATAACTTTGTAAGTCTGATTCTATTGGTCAATTCTTATTGATCAATATTTAGGTTGGCCTAACAGTCAAGTTCACACAGTTTAAAATGTTGCTTCCTGTTGGTTAGTATTCACGATCAACCTAACTGTATAAATATGCATCGTCTGTAAAGTTTCATGATCCTTCTTCTTCTTCTTCTGGGTGCTGGTAGAATACAATTTCTATGTCTTGTCAAGACTTTCTCCTCTACCTAGTGGGGCATTCGAGTCGGGGATTTTAGATCCCAAGAACTCGCTTGATAAATGCCTTATCTGGGATTTCACATTTGCGAGCATGGACTGATCAGTTGACCTTGAGATTTCATTTCCCACCAGGAAAATCCATGGTTGTGATTGGCTGCTGTGTATTTTAGTGTGCTATTTTTGTGACTATCCCAAGGACGTTTCTATGATGTATAAATAAACAAGAGTTGTATGCTTGAATGCATTGTACTTGCTGGGTGTTTGTAGTTTCAAGCATACCTACTCTAATCCAATTGTCCCAACTCCTATCGAGTAAAAGAAGACAAGAGTTGATATGAAGTAGAACCTATATCCTACAAGCATCCAGAAGTACGAGGTCCGAGTCCAAAAGAGAATCAGGATCCCAGACTCGGGATCCGAGACCGGGTCCTGGTCCGGGTAATAAAGCGTTACAGACAATGGGTAATTGTACATTTTGGCCGAATAGGAAACAGCATTGAAGTCTGTGACATTGACAGTAAAGACGACCAATAGGAAGTAACATTTGAAGCGACACTGATATTCAGGACAACCAATAAGAAACAACATTGGAGCCCGTGAAGTTGATATCTAGGACTACCATAAAATTGACCAGTAGGAATTAACCAATAGGAACTGACCAATAATTCTCTTAGGATATTGGATGAATATCCTAACACATATGTGTGTACAAAAAAGGAATATTTCTCAATTTATAGTTATGGACATGGTTGTTCATTACTTAAATCGTGAATTCATCATTGTTAGAACACCATTAGAAACCTAGAAGCACTACTGAACAGCACATTCACACCAACTCCTACCACTCACAGCATTCGAATGCCAAGACCTTTAATCTTGTACTCGAATGCTAAACTCCATCCACCTCTTCTCTTTTTTTTAATGATTTCTAATGCTCATAAGATTTTACTTTTTGATTGTTTCCTTATAATATCACTTCGCGTTCTATATTTACTTCCGCTAAAAAAATATCTTCTTCCTCTAACCCTAACCGAAACTTAATGTCAGTGGATTGATTTTTGCAAACAATTTCGATATTCACACACATAAATCCTGTAGTAAGAAGTTACATAGTGTACTGTTTTCGTCACTATCTAAATATTATGTAACCTAGTCAGTATGACTATGATTATTATTATTATTATTCTTGTATTACGTTAACATGTCTAATCCTTATTTCCTCAGGAAATGAAATCTCAGTGAGTATATATATATATACTATTGTTCATGCTTGTATGTAATAAGTTCAGTGAAAAGAAAAAGTAATCTTTTCTTTGAATTACATATACTCTTAAAATAGCTCTATCAGAAATAATTAATTCATGTTTGTGTTTGAATACTACTGACGTTTTAATTAAGTAGTAAAAATAGCTTATATATATATATATAAATAGACATCATAACCGTGGTGGTCATCACATGACAATCTACTCTACAAAAACGATGTATTTTATCAATACAATACATGTATGTTTGTATAGTTTTGATTGGATACTTTGATACTTTTATTCAAGTTTAGTGTAATCTGATGCCGATAATGCTCTGAACTTTAATGGAAATTAATTATTTTTTTTTGAAATTAAGATACTTTGAATTCTCGATGTAAACAATATCAGCTAGGAATAGTTGTGTTAAGAGAAATATATTACCTTTTAAATAATAAGTAGTGTAAAATATAAAACAAAAATTATAACCGCTTTGGTCTTAATGAAAGCAACATATACATTTTATTGTTTGACAATTTGTTTTGACGCCGTGCGTTTATGACACCGTTGAATTTTTGCAATTATAAATTACTGAATAACTTTGGCTGCTGAAGCAGCTATCTAGTTTCATAGATAATTTTAAATGGTGCCCTACACAGTGTACATTCGCGGCAGCCAGTGAAGACAGTGCATGAGGTGGCACAGTATCATAGTTTGTTTGAAGCGAGACATTAACACTGTTAGATGCTGTCTCAGTGGTTTAGAAGTTAGGCGTTCATGAGAGCCCGAAGGTCCTAAGTTCGATTCCTGCGTGAGAAGGCCATGCATACCCACCACTGATAAGTCTCATACTAGTGTAGTGAACGAGAACACAGGTGGGGCAACCGAATTGTATTTAACGAAAATTACAGAGTTACTCAGTAAAATAGGAAAACCATATCGTAAATCGTTAATTTGCAAATTATCAGTCCATCATATCGAACTGGACTGTTCCTATTGCCGAACATCAATCCATTGTCACACTATTCATGCGTTTCATACAAATTCCATTGTTTTCTAACTCTTCCTTTCTTGATCTTCCCCCATCTTCTGCTGCCACCAGACATTACGTTGACACTCACGTCATATACTACTTATAAGTAGCTCGCACCACACTAGGACGAAACGATCGTCCAAACAGTGCTTTCAGGTTTGAAACAGTGGTCTAACCTTGACTGATCCTTGATTTTAATGAGAATTATGCTTCGTAGTATTTTCATTTCTCCAGGACTGACTACTCTACAGGTAGTAGTATAGAATGATATTTCTGTCTCAGAGAATATTCGATTGTTCATGACTTTCTGCAAGCCAACCTTTATTGAGTACTATGAATAGTCGAAGCTTTAAGACGAAAATAATCATTCCGACTTCATTCTGACTGATATCAAAACGGCAGATAACAGTGGAGTTTACTCCCAGTTAGAACGAAACAATCGGTTAAGTAGTAATTCCAGGTTTTTAATGCCAGTCTAAGTCAACCAACAATCTTTACAACTCTATAATTGAAAAAAAACTACTTATTATTGGAAATTAATAAAAACATTGACGATGTATTTTATGACTGAGTTTGATTTCTTATTATCTTTCATTTTTTTTTAGTGAACCCAGTGTATTAATAACGCCATTTGCTCAAATTTTAACTATTTTAAATCGTGCACGAGATTTCTTATCCAGTTATACATCAAAGTAAGTTATTACTGTTGTTGCTTTTTTGTTCATCTTATTAATTTTCAGGTTGCGCAAAATCCGTAGAGTGATCAGAGTTAGACAGTCACACTGTTGGATGCCGACCTATTGGTCGAGAGGTTAGGGTGTTTGTGCTAAAGACCGAAGGTTCTCAGTTTGAATCTTATGAGAAGTAGGAGTTGTGGATGAGCACTGATGACGAGTTTCATACTAAGACGAAACCACCATTCAGTGGTGTTTCCAGGTTTCTAATGGTAGTTTTATGATGATATATTTATGATATCAGTGATTTTTCAGTTCTAACATGAATCAATCAATCAGTTAGTCCTATCGAATATAATGAATCTTAATGAGAACAATTAACAACTTAAATTGATTTACATCGAAATGAACTCCCTCATAAAAAATATTCATAGAAACCTAATGTCATTCAGTGTAATTGAAAGACTGAATGCTACGCTCGTCACTAGGTACGCTTGAAGCTATTACAAGTTCACCTCGGTTGATAAACGCGAACGAGACAATTACCAGCGTCCAGATAGGCTACCTTGAATCCCAAGCTGTAACAGAAGTCTTTGTAAGCGTAGAAAGTATATTCTACAAACACCCAGCAATCACAATACAATCAAGTACACAACTCTCGTTTATTTATACATCATAGAAACGTCTTTGGGACAGTTACGAAAAAAGCACACTAAAATACACAGCAGCCAATCACAGCCATGGATTTTCCTGGTGGGAAATGAAATCTCAAGGTCAACTGGTCAGCCTATGCTCGCGAACGTGAAATCCAAAATAAGGCATTTATCAAGCGAGTTCTGGGGATCTAACAACCGCAACACTGAAGAAGAGAGAGGAAGGAAGAGAAAAGAATAGACTGAAAGGCTGGAACTGGCGAAAAAAAGAACAAAGTTAAAATGGATGGTAGAGAATGATAATGATGATGATGAATATCTATAGCTTAGATGAATGGCTTTGTTGAAATTGTGTTCTTTTGAACCATAAGATTTAGTTGTGAAGTTTTTTTCACAACTTTTTTAGAGAATATTATGATCATCATTATAGGATTGTGGAGAATGCTGAGAGTTTCTCACTGAAATTATGAATCGACCAATGTTAGAACAGAATTAGAAACCTGAAAACCACAACCGATGGAGTTCAACCTTGTTGGGAGTGAAGCAGTTACCCACAAACAAAAAGGGGTCTCACGGTACCGTGGACTGATTAAAGTTAGACAATAACATTTCTGACTGCCGGCTCGGTGGTTTAGATGTTAAACGTTTGTGAGCGAGAATGAATATCCTGGGTTCGATTCTAACTGGCAGAGTCGTGAATGCCCACTGCTGGTGAGTTCCATAGTAGGACGAAACAGTACCTCCAGGTTTCTAATGATGATCTCCTATTGATCCAATCGTGACTTCATTGTTATGATCATCAACACCATATACTTCAAATAGAAATGAGTTAAAAATTTCTTTCATAAATGACTAACAACTTATTTTGTTGACTTTAAAGTTGACTGAGTGTTATTTACACTTGTTCTGCTATTGACTACATATTTCGATCTGACAGCATTTAGATTTATTCCAACCTACTCGTTTTTTTAGTCAGTATTAGATGCCAGAATAGGCAGTGGTTAGTCACATAAGAAATACACAATGTTACAATTTCAGCTGACGACTATTTATAACTTTATCAATGAACCCATTCTTCAACTTATGGCAAAATACATCACACTGTTGTACTATTAAGTCAAAAATTCTGTACTTTATACTTCCGTTGTTCCATGTCATTTCAGCAAGCAATAAAATTAACAATCTGTGTTATTTGTGCTTAACTAACTAAACATTTAAGTTGACTTCCTTCGATGATCTCAAAAAAATGACGTGACTTGAAAATCCTTGGGATTAACGGAATCTTATTCGGATAATCGGGACAGAATTGCACTAATCGTAGACGAAAAGGTAGTTCCGACTTACATGTGACATAGAAATGTTCTACTTCAATAACCATCAATCGCTTGAATCATCAATTTCAATCTACTCAACTACTTCTTTTTACGCAGTCTGAAATTCCGAAGTTTTATGATGAAATATTGAAGGGTCACAAGTGTATATTATTACTTACTTACTTACGTCTGTTACCCCCGATGGAGCATAGGCCGCCAACCAGTTTTCTTCAACCAACTCTATCCTGGGATTCCCTTTCTACTTCTTTCCAGTTTTTGTTTATTCTTCTCATATCTTTCTCTATTTCTCGGCGTAATGTGTTCCTTGGCCTTCCTCTTTTCCTTTTGCCTTGAGGGTTCCATGTGAGGGCTTGTCTCGTGACGCAGTTAGGGGCTTTCCGTAGTGGTGCTTTCGTAATAGTTTGTCCTATCCACCAACTCAACCGCTTCTTCCTGATTTCCTCCTCCACTGGAATCTGATTTGTTCTTTCCTACAGTACGTTGTTGCTGATGGTGTCTGGCCAACAAATCCGAAGACCTTTGCGTAAATAACTGTTAATAAATAATTGTATCTTCAACATGATGGCTTTGGTAGTTTTCCAAGTTTCTGCCCCAAACATGAAAACTGTCTTGACATTTGCATTGAAAATTCTGATTTTGATGGACATGATTGACTGATCCGAATTATTTAATATCAGTTGTTAATCAAAACAAAACTTTCTAGTTGATCTCAGTTTATACTGAATTTATATAACTGCTATTCACACTTCCTAGACAATGTCATTCATATATATATTGTGAAATTATATATATTCTCAATTTTGAAACTCAACCACTTACTTGCTGATTTTTTTTCTAATTTTAGCACTCCCTTAAACACACCACATGATCCTAATTTGCTCAGTATGAATTCAGCTGGTTGTGATGAGAAATATACTAGTAAGTTACATGAATTTACATGAATTTTGTTTCGGTATATATTTGCATGAAAAGAATAAAAACGCTTTGACTCTCCATCGAGAAAAAAGATGTTTTTATCTACAGATCAGTAAACTCATATACCCGCCAATCGATATGCTTGAAACTATTGTAGTGAAGGAGAACACAGGTGGGGCAACCCAATTGTATTTAACGAGAATTACAGAGTTACTCAGTAAAATAGGAAAACCATATCGTAAATGGTTCATTTGCAAATCTTCAGTCCATCATATCGAACTGGACGACTGTTCCTGTTGCAAAACATCAATCCATTGTCACCATTCATGCGTTTCATACAAATTCCATTGTGTTCTAACTCTTCGTTTCTTGATCTTCACCCATCTTCTGCTGCCACCAGACATTACGTGGACGCTCACGTCATATACTACTTATAAGTAGCTCGCACCAAACTATTACGGCTTCACCTTACTCAGTAAACTGAACGAAAATCAACGAACGATATAGTGACACGATAGGCTATTCTAATCCGATTATCTCCGGGCCCCGTTAACTAGATCAGGCAGTCCTGATAAGGCGTAGAGAGAATGTATTCTACAAGCACCTAGAAAATACAAGGTGACTAAACACTCAAATCAAGCTTATTTATATAATGACAGAGACGCCGTTGGTGAGAGTCACAAAAATAGCGTACTAAAATAATCCATCAACTAATAACAGTCAAGGATTTTCCGAGTGGGAAATGTAAGCTGAAGGTCAGCTGAGCGACTTATGCGCGAAAACATGTAGATTCGAAATTACTGAACAAAATTACAAAATTAGGACCTTTCAAAATGAGTTCTAGGGATCTAAAGTCCCTAAAAATAAACTTAACATCTGATGGAGTTATCCAATGTACTATTTAAACACTCGCCGTATAGTTTCAATGCACTGGATTCCATCACTGGTGAGGAGAGGTCCTCTACATGGATGAAAGAACTATCCAGTGGATTTCGGTTCTTAGTGATGGATGTCTACAAAGATTTAATAGCTCTCCACAACCTTCTGTACAAGGCAATGTTAATTCATTTTCATAGATGTTACTTATTAAGGTCAAGCCTGATGAAAATCTACTTTCGAACAATACTGTTCGCTTACAAATGTTCTTACCTGCACGATGACCTTGGATAAAAGCTGAAGGTCAACTTGAAGAATAACTAATTTACTGTGTATGCGTATGGCGACTCATTTAATTTATAAGTTGTGTTCAATAATGACTCATCTTAGTTGAGGTACAATTACAAACTAAGGTTCGGTGAATAGTGGATTCTTTCAAGTATAAGACTCTTCAGCAGTACACAACCAAGACCTTAACAAAGATGGAAACTGAAATCTTAACCACTGAAATCACTAAACCAATGTCTAATGGCATCATTGTAACTTTCACGGATTTTCGATGCGGTACGACGATTATCCACATATTATTTGTAGAAATTCAGCTTTTAACTGTCTACTGATATTTGAAATCATCAGTCAATGAGATTGTTAGACCAACATTAGGAACCTGAAAGCACTGGACGGCCGTCAAGTCCTGGTATGGAACAACTCACCAGCAGTGCGCATCGTGAGGAAATTCTCGGAGTTCTAGTAAGAAGTCGCGTGACCAGTGGAATTCAACCTTGTCGGATGTATTCAGTAATAACTTTGTCAATGTTAAATGATTTAATTGAAGGAATTTAATGAAAATTGGTTTAATTTGTTGGTTCTATTGATCACATAGTGATTTCTGTTGAAGTACGAGGTTAAGTCATTGCTTATTACGAAAACATAGTATTGTGAGTTGAACTGTTGGGAGAGTTGTATGTGCACGCACTAGTACTATGGACAGAAAAGCTGTCCAATGCTTCCTCATTCCTCACAGTACCCGAAATCGGACCGATCCATGAAGCTAATTACCAACAAATAGTGGATTTATTCAGCAAATCACCTAATTCATCTCACAAGTTATTCACTTACGACGCAGAACTTGACATTTACATAAATCAATCCAAGCTGTTATATGCCATTAGTAGAGAAAAATGAAATTGCTAAGTCGAATCCTAGTTATAGTAGAGGTACATTTTAAAGAAAACGTATATTAGCGAAATAAAGGCGAAAATAAATTTTGAAGAATTTAGAAGCTTAGAAGGCAGATATAGAATGAATTCATCTGTGACGCTGTATAGGGTTAGAGCCAAATCATTTAAAGTCTCTAATTACTGACTATGATTATCATGTGGACCCCAAACAGTTAGTCTACATATATATTGACATGGTTCTGTCCAATTCTCAATGACTTCATGACTTGCCACCGTGTTTTGGGTTGACCGCCTTAATGCGCAGAGCCAATCAGAAATGGCCGAGTGATAAGGTCACTCGGTGACAATTAAAAAGATTCTGATAGACGAAGGCATGTCATTGGTCAAAAAACTGAATGTATATTATTTAAATAAGTATTCATACACATTATTCGTTAGCCTAAACGACTTTCTATTCTCCTTCTTGCCTTTCTACTCAAGTATATCTATATATATATATCCACGACTCGTGCGCCTCTCAGGAGTTTTAGTCAGAAGACGCATGACCAGTGGAGTCCAATCCTGTCGGGTGTAGGCAGTAACAACCAAAGACACTGTTGAATGCCGAGCAGCTCAATGGTCCAGAGGTTAGGCGTTCTTGCGCAAGATCGAAGGTCCTGGATTCGAGCCCTGCGAGTGACACGGGTCGTGGATGTGCACTGCTGATGATTCGCATACTAGGATGAAACAGTCATCCAGTGCTTCCAAGTTTCTAATGGTGGTCTAACAATGATTGATTGATAATTTCAATGTGTGCTTAAGGCCCGAATACACAATTTCAACTCATTTACTCCGCCTGAAACCCCTCTAGGGTAGTTGATGACTGCCAGTCCAAAGCCTGGATAAAAGTGGAATTTAAAACTGTTTTCCTTTTTTCTTCTTATTTTGTACAATTAAAAAAAAATTTAGATTATCTGCATCATCATCATCATCATCATGAATTTGATGTAGATTATGTGAAGCAAATATTGGCTGAATTTGATTGGTGCTTAGAAGTATTGGATAGTTTACAATGTAAACGTTCAGTAAGCAGTTTAACACGTATGAAAGTAAGTTATACAATAAGATTGATGTTGATTATTTTCATAACTAATTCTAGTCATGTCATCATAACTAACCAATCAAATTGTGGTTTAAGCGACCATACATCACGTGATCTGATCTGACATGTGTCTGTAAACTGTCTTTGTTGTAAATGACCTCTACTAATTGATTGACATTAGTTATATATTGATGATGTGACTCATAACTGTATTCATTTCCATAAAGACACACTATACTGGACTTTGAGCTCGCCAGTATTGCATTTACTGTTTGTTCTTCTGGAATTACATCTGTAGGACAAATGAAATCCTACAAGTCACAATGTCTTGAAAGTCAAAGAAAAATGTGTCAGACATCATCAATCTTAAGGATAATCAAGTTTCTTGATGGTGTATTAGATGATCGGTCAAGTGGTTCAATGAAAAAAAAACTGTTTTCAGGAGTTTTGTATCATGGTAAATGAAGACAATTCAACAAACAGTGACCATAAAAACTTTGATGCTTATGTTATATACCTGATTGATCTACTTTCAAAAAACAACTTTTGACTTTACAAAAAGTCCATCTTAATATAGTTATCATGTATCTCATTAGCTACTCTCACTTACTTACTTACTTACTTACTCCCAGTAGAGAAAGCATAAGCGGCCGAACAGTATTCTCCAACCTAATCTGTGATCGGTCTTCCTTTATAATTCTGTCCAATTACTGTTCATTCTTCTTATGTCTGTCTGCATTTCTCAGCGTAATGTGTGTTCCTTTGCCTTCCTCGTTTCTTTAGACCTTGAGGGTTCCAAGTGAGTGCTTGTCTGATGGAGCAGTGCGGTGCTTTCCGCAATGTGTGTCCTATCCACTCTCATTAGCTAGTGATATTGTATATCGAGAATGGAATTTGAAAATAGGCTATTAGTAATATAAATAACGTATACTAGCGAAAAAAGGAATTCTGATAGCATATAACTATTTTATCATCATTTTCAGAGATGAATAATGGCTAGCAATGGAATCCAGGACGAGAGTTTTGTTCTATTTGGGACTCGTTTGTGTTATAATGCTGCTACGTAGCTATTCAAATGCTACTGACGCCCGAATTCAAATATTCTATACTATCACAATATAATGCCTAACCTATTATATATCAGAAAACAACGCCGTTGGATGAAAGTGTTTAATGTGTCGAGTACAGAAGAGACAAATTCAGAAAGTAATCGAATAGAAAGCTTTACAGATACAGAGTAATTATCAATTTAGGTCAAATAGGAAAGGGTATCGAAGTCTGTGAGATTAACAGTTAAGACTACCAATAGAAAAGAATATTTGAAATGACATTGACAGTCCGGATGACCAGTCAGAGACAACATTGAAGTTAAAACAACCATATTTTTTACCAATAGCATTATACTTCCAAAAATAGTACTCTTAGGATATTTGGTGAATATCCTAACAGTTTGTAGCTGGATGTACTAGATACATCTCGGAGTTCGTCTCCACTCTGAGACTAAAACTCAGTACCTTACACTTCAAGTTCCATCATGTTATCTACTGAGCTACTGAGTCCAGATTATCACTCGCTTGTTCAATGAGATGAAGATTAGTTCATTTGTATTGACAATTTGAATTATCACACTGATACTTAGGACTGTAATTAATCGACCTCTGTTATGAATGCTTGTATCCTAAAGGATATATCGAAGCAAACAGCACAGAGTGGACATATGATTTGAAAACTGATGACGGAATGATTCATTTGTATTGATAATGACATGAATAGATCAATCTATTAAGCATGTATTTTCATATATAAGTATAAACTACTAATAAGTAACATAAAATATTAAATAAAATTTTATCATGGGAATGGGTGACCTTGTTTAACGAACCTGAAAAGGACGTGGGTGCGTGACCGCGGAGTACAAGGGACAACTGCTTGAGGCCGGTCACGCATGACCTGTTTATGAAGCATTTTTCGATTTCTAGCTTCGCTCTTGAAAGCACTTAGTGGGCACCCTTACCCAGGGAGACGGAAATCTGTGAGGTAGGGTGAGGTGTGACAATTTTAGGGTCGAACTTTTCTAACCCTTCCTTCATTGTGAGAAGGCATCATCGCTGCAGATGCTGGATGTCCGAGGGAAACACCTTACTGCTGACACCCCCCTATACACTCACCAGTACGTCCTCGCCCTCAGACCTTGAGTAGCTGCTGTTAGACTCATCGTTCTTCAATCTCTCTGCCTGGCATTGTAGAACCTTCAGGAACATATGTTCCAGCCAGTATAGCTCGGTTGGGTCATCACGATAGTCAAGCCCGACCACCACGTCAAGGTAGCAGCTACAGTCGGGAAAAAAAGTATTGAGTATAATCTCTTGAATAAAACTGGTGCTTAAAATTCTGTAACACTTGAATAATCATAAATAAAACGGTAAATAATCATATTTTAATTCAATGTATATGACAACTAGTACTGATTTTTCAAAGTATATTTGTTCAGCATCCAAACTAATTATAATTTAATGTTTTGTAACTGTAATTGTTCCAGCACAGTAGTGATAATATCCCCATTTAATATTTTGTACACTGAAACTTTTCTTGATACTGTTTAACACTTTCTAATAGTTTTAATTATGAGAGCCATTCTTCGACAATCAATTTCAGTTGACTCACTATTTAAAACAAGGAGTCTCTGGACAATTGCTTCATCCTTTTATGGAACTCCTTGTTACAGCGAACCAACGACAACACGATGAAGCGAATCTATGATCTTCAAATCTAGTCGCTAGGGAACATAATTTCTTTTAGCCATGAGGCTGGTTATTAAGTTTTCTCAATAAATTTAAAATACCTCATTCTCGCTCATGAACTGAAGGAAAATTTGACATCACTAGTGACTGGAACTTCTACAACTAAAATTATCTATAAGTTAAGGCAATATCTATGATTCCCTCTTCTGATACACAGTACTAGTCATCTCATTAGCTGTTTACTTCAAAGTGTTTCAGAAATGGTAATTATAAGTCTTGATTGGTGAGATTCTAAAATATTATAAGTCAAAAAGGTTTCGACAATAAAATTTCACTATTGGTTGAAGTTGAAACTGTACTGTTAGACACTAACATAGAGGTTCTAATGGTTGAACATTCTTAACAAGATATGAAGGTATTCGACCCAATCTTTGATGAAGTATTGAGCGTATGTCCACTGCTACTGCAGCATATCCAAAGATGAAATAGTTATTCGATACTTCCTGATATTCAATAGTATCCTAAGATAGATCTGTTATTTAAATAACCTGTACATTTAATCAACCCATACAAAAACTTACTTATTGACTTGTGCCTGTTACGGCCAGTAGAGCATAAGCTTCCGATCAGAATTCTCCAACCTAATCTTTCATGGGCTTCCTTTTCCAGTTCTGTCCAATTTTTGTTCATTCTTCGCATGTCTGTTTCCATTTCTCAGAGTAATGTGTTGATTGATCTTTCTGCTTACAATTGGCTTTACGGATTCCAATTTTGGGGTTGTCTTTTGACGCGGTTAAGTGCATTCCTCAATCAGCATGCTATCCACCTCCAGCGCTTATTCCTGATTTCGTCTTCCGCTGAAATCTGGTTTGTTCTATCCCACAGTAGGTTGTTGTTGATGTTGTATGACCAACGGATTCGAAGTATTTTGCGTAATCAACTGTAAACAAACACTTGTATCATTTACATGATGGCTTTTGTAGTTTTCCAAGTTTTCACTCCATACAGTAGAACTGTCTTTACGTTTGTGCTGATATTGGCCCATTTCGACGTCGGGATCACCATTTGTAGTGTACACTGGCGAGCGAATGAGCGACTGAAGCGAATTATACGAAGCGATGTGGAGAAGGCTAATAAGCCTACTCGTAGGATTACAATGCGAACGAATGGGCAAAGGAAGCGAATGAATAGGCGAAGCGCGTTGGAGAAGGCTAATGAGCCAACTCCAAGAGATAAAGCATGACTAAGAATATATAGTCAGACAAATATAAGACAGACATGCAACAAACGAAATAGGCAGTTACACAAATGAATAAAAGCGACGAATAATTGACAAGGTCAAATGACAAGTGGAACACGTCATGTGAGCTCATCATACAAACCAGACAATAATAAGAACGAATGGTACATATAAATTGTTGCAATACAAATAAATGGCATGGTTAAATAAATTAATCGAAAGGGCTTAACCAAATTAGATGTAAGCGAACTGGAATATATGTGTGGAGGCACTAAACTGAAAATCCTGACTTTGATGTTGCTTGATAGTTGTCCTTCAGTTATGGAAATGCTGTCCTTGTTTTGCCCACGCGCACCTTCACATCTGCATCAGATCCACCTTGTTCATCGAAAATGCTGACCAGATATGTAATGGTTGTTGCATCCTCCAAAGCTTCCCCATCAAGTGTAATTTGGTCGGTGTATACTGTGTTGTATTGAAGTAACTTGCTTTTTCCTTTATCCATTATTGAAACCTACTACTGTTAGGCTGCTGCTACACCTGTTGTCTTCTCTTACATTTGTTATTGCGTTTGGGATAGAAGAACTAGATCATTTTCCATGCGCATCCGAACTGTGCACTATAAATCCTGTTCCCTCTCCTCAGATATTGACGTCTCCAAAATTCAGTCGACCACCTGCGTAGTGCCTCCACATGTATTCCAGTTCGCTTACATCTAATTTGGTTAAGCCCTTTCGATTAATTTATTTAACTATGCCATTTATTTGTATTGCAACAATTTATATGTACCATTCGTTCTTATTATTGTCTGGTTTGTATGATGAGCTCACATGACGTGTTCCACTTGTCATTTGACCTTGTCAATCATTCGTCACTTTTATTCATGTGTGTGCATGTCTATTTCACTTGTCATATGTGTCTGTCTTATTATATTTGTCTGACTATATATTCTTAGTCATGCTCTATCTCTTTGAGTTGTCTCATTAGCCTTCTCCAATTCGCTTCTCCGCTTCGCTTTGTGGTGTGTCCCGAATAAACGTATTCATTACTACGAATTCATCTTCTGATTTCTAAACCGTCAGATGCTACTTAGTAACGATCGTCTGGACGAGTTAATTACCGAGCTTAAGAACACGCAATAAATCGTCACACCACCTCCTGTACAAAAACCCTTTATAAATTATTTCCTATATCTAAGTGTAAACTAAGTTGTTAAACAAACGTGTACATTGAACACAATACGTGAATGAATTCCATTTCTTAACACACATATATATCAATCAATAAAACAAAATGAAACTAACTTACAATTCTCTATCATTGATTTTTTTTTGATTAGTTACGTAGTCTACTTAGTCAAGAATTAGCAGCTTCATTTCATCAATCATGTCATAATGAATCAATGGAAAAAGATTCTTCTTTCACAACAAAATCAATCAATCCTACTTCTTCATCAACCAATATTCATTGTAATGATTCAGTTCGATTAAAAAAATCCACTCTCCTCCGAAATGATGAACAAGAGTATAATAGAAAATCAAACAGTAGTAATCTAAATCAAATACAAAAACGTAAACAACAATTTCGACAATGTCGTTCACAAGTTTGTGAATATATTTGTAAAACATTTCTTGAAGAAGATGAAGATGATGATGATGTGGAGGAGGAGGTTGATGATGATGATGATGATGGTGTTCAGAACGACGATGCCAAGAATACATTGTCTTGCTCGAATGATAATAGTAATAGTAATAGTAATAATCCATCCTCTGAAAAATCCTCCATTCATTTAAATCATTCACAATTGAAACTTTCGCTCAATGATCAATATGATGAAGAATCTTGTGAAACAATGAACTCCACTAGTGGTTGTGTTTCTCAATCAAAATCTACCTCATTTATTAAACAAACTCAGTGCACAGATTTTATGTTGGATACATTAAAGTTGATTACCTTGAATATTGAATATTTTGATAATTCTGCCGTAGAGAATGTAGGTTCAATAAAATCTATTTAATTCATTTTTTCAAAATAATTGTATATATAGACATATTGTGGTGTGAGCTACTTATAAGTAGTATATGACGTGAGTGTCAACGTAATGTTTGGCAGCAGAAGATGGGGGAAGATCAAGAAAGGAAGAGTTAGAACACAATGGAATTTGTATGAAACGCATGAATAGTGAATGGAGTGATGATGGACTGAAGATGTGCAAATTTCACCGTTTACGATATGGTTTTCCGATTTTACTGAGTAACTCTGTAATTTTCGTTATATACTATTCGGTTGCCCTCACCTGTGTTCTCCTTCACTACAATGTTACTAAAACCCAGGAGGAATGAAATTAACCCTTTATATATATCTATCTCTATTACATAAGATCACAATACTGTAGATTCCGCTTTTGAGTAGATCAATTTTCAAGAATCAGACTGATAATCTTCGCTGTTACGATTGGTGAAATAAATGGCAGCCAACATTGACTAGATTTCTAAACGCCTATTGGCCAATCCACGATAGCCAATCAGAATACAATGATAATAAGCTGACAGACATCCTATTAAACATAAAAATCATGAGTCATTTATTGTTAGACCATCATTAGAAACTTGGAAGCACTGAAAGACGGCCATTTCGTGCGCATCCATGACTCTTAATACTCGCTGGATTCAAACCCATGACCTTTGGTCTTACTCGTGAACGACTAACCTCTGCATCACTCGGCAGGCATCTAACGGTGTCAGTGTCTAAATCTAATCAATCTAGGGATTTTGTGCGACCTCACCCATACAAGGATAAAACGGTCGTCCAGTGTGTCCAGATTTCTAATAATGGTCTAACACTATTAGAAACCTAGAAGCCCTAAAAGACGGCCGTTTCGTCCTAATATGGGTCTCATCAGCACTGTGCATCCACCACTTGTGCTCCTCGCGAGAATCAATAGATTCATGATTTATAAAGTAACTTGACAATCTCCACAACCCTATAATGAAAATTACCATGTGCACACTAGTGACTAGTTCCGTGAGGAAGTTTCTCCGAGTTCTAGTCAGATGTCGTGACCAGTTAAAGTCAACACTGTTCGGATGTAAAGCATCGCTCATTAAAAACAGTGGATAAGGTTGCGCAAGACCATAGATTGATCAAAGTTAGAAATTAACACCGTTGGATGCTGGCTCAGTGGTCTAGCGCGAGACTGAAAGTCCTGGTTTCGATTCCCTCGAGGAGCAGCAGTCATAGTTGCACACTGCTGATGAGTCTCATACTAGGAAGAAATGGCCAACCAATGCTTCCAGGTTTGAAATGGTGGTCTAACATAAACCATATGACCAGTAGATTATTTTACCACTGATATTAAAATAAGACCTTCAATAGAAACTCTACCTTAGCTCTGGAATCCTGTTTACATATCTGATTATACTTGTAATATATTTGGTGAAATTAATCTGTGATTGGTAAATGAAAGAAGACAGACATCCCATGTGTAATTAAGTACAACAGACTACCATGTGTGTCCCTTTACTGACTGTATTGTGCATATGTCAATAAATTAGCATTCGATTGAATATTGAATTCCTGATCATTGATCAGACAACTGAATTCGGTGTATCACGCAGTCTAATTCTCAATCTAACGACTTAATCATTTACTAATTGGTATCCTGTTATGTTCATCAAATGATATGCTTGAAACTATTAAGAGTTCACCTTAGTGGGTAAACGAGAGCTACGACAAAGATCCAGTAACACGATAGGCTATTCTAATCCCAGTGTTCCAAAGCCCCACAAACGGTATCAAAAAGTCTTGATATGGCGTAGAAAGTGTATTCCACTACAAGCATCCAGAATATATGAGGTGCTGTACAGAATAAGAAGAGGAGCATAAAACTTTACAGACAATGCATATTTATACAGTTAGGTCGACCGGAAATACTAACCAATAGGAAACAATATTTAAAAGTATATGAACCTGATAGTTTAGGACGATCTTAAATATTGACCAATAGAATTAGACTTACAAAATCATGTTTTAAGTTGGATGAAATGTGCATTTCAGTCATAATCAAACTCCAAATGTGTATTCAGATACAGAATATTTATTATTTTTGAGCTTCTATATTGATAAAAATAGAAAATTTCCCATATAATTTTCTTTCCTATTTCATTTTATCTCTTTCATAGTTTATCATTAACAATCAATCAAATTTCGCTCCAAATCTATTTGAATTAGATGAAATTTCAAATCATCATCCTTTAAGTACATTTGGTTTTTATTTATTTATGGTAAGTGAATTATGATTTTTTTTTAAGTTTAAATAGTTCTGCATATCAATATTGTTAAAGGGATTTGTGGCGGGTGTAACATTTTCAATGTTTGTGAAGTATGATCCGATGTGTAGTATTTTATAAGTTCATTTCATGAATGAACAGTGTAACTTTTATTAAAGTATTTGTTCTATCAGCTGGATGTTTTGGTAGTGGAGGTTTTGAAGAATCCAGAAGATTAGAATTTGACAGAACACAAAGAGTGGATACACTTGCGCCATTGCAAACGGTTTTCAGCCATGTCTTTCAAGGTCTCTAACCATTGATTACTATCATCTCGCGGACCTCAATCAGGTAGTCGACACCTACCAACATGACTCAGTCCACTCGTCAGGGACTTCATGAATTTCTGCCATGTTTTGGTCTGACCGCCCCTAGCTTTCTTCCAACCTACTCCAACACCAAAAAACATAGCTCATCGAGGCAGTGGTCGGTCAGGCATACACAACACATGTCCCAGAATAAATTACTTGCTTACTTATGCCTGTCACCTCTAATGGAATATACACTGCCGATCAGCATTATCCAACCTACTCTGTCCTAAGCATTCCTTTTCAGTTCTAGCGAATCGCGCTATTCACTCATTTTCTGTCTGACCTTGAGAATTCTAGATTAAGGCTTACCTCATATTAAAAAAACATTTCTATCTTATGAATGATAGCTTTTGTAGTTTCCGTGACATACACCTACCTGTATTGAAAATTCTGTCATTGGTAATGGTTGCAAGTTGTTTTGAGCTCTAGATGTTCTTCAGTCCTATAAAAAAACTGCACTTGTTTTGCTAAGTGTTCTCTTTGAATCTACATCAGATCTTCCTTGTTTGTCAATGATGATGCTCAACTATATAAAGGTTTCCATTTGTACATGTTGTGTTGTGTTGTGTCGAAGGATCTTGGTGTTTTTCCTTGTGTAGTGAAGTCATGATAGGATACAACAAACTAACCAGCAGTTAGGTCAATTTTGTCCAATCTCTTGTACTCAACTTACTTCACATATTTATATTTTACCTAATGAGATTTAGAATATGATCTGTGTTGTCGAAGATTCTATCAATTTCATAGTTGAATTTATGATCTAACCTAATCTAGACTGCTATCAGGAACCCGATAGCGTAAAACAGCTGTTTTGACCTAGTATGACACTTCTCATCAGTGCAAATCCATTAACCTCGACTCATGACTATGAAAATAATACAATCTCCAGGAAATCTCCCTCAATAGTAACCATCATGTACTACTCACTAATGACTAAATTCAAGATGAATTTCTGAAATTCTAGTGGGAAATCGTCATCCATGTGGTTCAATCCGTGTGTCGGATGTAAGATAGGTAACCACCGAAGATAATTAACGATGGTCACATAATTTAGTGGGTTGACTGAAGCTAGACATCAACATTGTTGGATGCTGGTTCAATAGTCTAAAGGTTATGCATTTGCAAGCCAAACAGAAGGTCCCGGTTATGGAAACACTCTGCTGAGGAGCCCCATACTAGGAAGAAACGGCCCCGTCAAGTGCTTCCAGGTTCCCTATAGAGTGATCTAACTAAGATCAATTTGTAGATTAGGCAATAAAGCATTTCTTTTCACTCTGTTTTTCCTTTTTTTAACATTAGAAAACAAATATATTACAGAAATTATCAATACCTTCTGTGATAATGTTAAATTGTTTAAAACAAATTGAATTACGTTACAATTCAATTGCACCATTTCATAATTCAATTCATGCTTTAGATGTGTTACATGCAACTTATCAATTATTTCAATGTAATAGTTTAAAAGTAAGTTGCATTTATTATACACTGATCGCATTTTTCTAAAACTTACCGACAAGTTCATGTTATAAATTGAGATTGAATACGGCGGTATGAGCCAAACGTCATTGTTAATTACGAATGAGTTCAATGACTGATATGCTTGAAACTATTAGTACGAATTCACCTTAGACGGTAAATGAGAGCGAAGACAAATGATGTGGTGACACGATAGGCTATATTCTAATCTGTTTGTCCCCGGGCCCGGCTAACTAGATCAAGAAGTCTTGATAAGGCGTAGAAAGTGTATTCTACAAGCACACAGAAAATACCTTAGTCAGTAAACGAGAGTGAGGGTCGATGATCCGGCGACATGACAGGCTACTCTAATTCGAGCATCCCAAACCCTTACCGAGCAAAAAAAGAAGACTTGATATGAAGTGGAACCTGTTTTCTACAAGCATCCAGAAAGTACAAGGTCCGAGTCCAGAAGAGGACAAGGATTGAGGTCATAAACCGTTACATACAATGCGTATTTATACAGTTAGGTCGAATAAGAAACAACATCGAAGTATGTGACATCGACAGTTAGGACGACCAATTGGAAACCATATTAAAGGACGTGACATTGATATCTAGGACAACCATAATATTAAACAGTAGGATTAGACTGACGAAAATAATTCTCTTAGAATATTTGATGAATATCCTAACAGAAATGTTAGCTCAAAGTCAATTGATCAGCCCATGCGCGAAAACACAAAAAAACTCCAAAATTAGAACATTTTCCAAGTGAGTTCCGGGGATGTAATATCCCCAACAATGACAGAACTGACTGAATGTCAACTGGTAAACAATAGTTTTACAATAAATCGTTATGATGAAGGAATATGAGAAGAAAATGAAAGTATCGGGGGAGACGTGATATTCAAACCGACAAACAGAAACAATATAGCACCGTATACAAACTCACAAAAGAACATGACTTTGGGACACATGGCACATCAGCAAACTAGATATGATTATCGATCAATCAGGAAATAGTTACCATCATGCAAAAACGTTTTTAAAAAAGTACTTGACATCGCCGACAGCTTAACATTTATCAACAAATATTTAGTACTTATATAATCTTCCTATCAGTTCGTCACCTCTCAAAACGTCTAAGGTTTCTTTTCGTTTAATCTTAAATGTCTTATCAAAAGGATGTAAAAAGATCCTGTCCACAAATTTATCCGATCAGTGATTCAGTGATCAGAAGCTAAATGACACTAAATATGTGTATTCTGTCTATGAACACTAGAGGTCTAACGATATCCTTGAAACAAGTAATAACTGTGGTAGCGTCTCAGACTGAGGACTGAATGATTCTGGTTCTAATCACACAGGGAACACCACTTCTATCAAGACTAGAGTCATACTAAGGTGCGTGCTACTTATAAGTAGTGTGGTGCGAGCTACTTATAAGTAGTATATGACGTGAGTGTCAACGTAATGTCTGGCAGCAGAAAATGGAGGAAGATCAAGAAAGGAAGAGTTAGAAAACAATGGAATTTGTATGAAACGCATGAATAGTGACAATGGATTGATGTTTTGCTACAGGAACAGTCCAGTTCGATATGATGAATTGATATTTTGCAAATTAACGATTTACGATATGGTTTTCCAATTTTACTGAGTAACTCTGTAATTTTCGTTAAATACAGTTCGGTTGCCCACCTGTGTTCTAGTTCACTACAGTAGTAGATGACGTGAGTGAAAACGTAATGTCTGGTGGCAGCAGAAGAAGATGGGGGAAGATCAAGAGAAAGGAAGTAGAGTGGGAACACAATGGGATTTGTATGAAACGCATGAATAGTGAAATGTCAGACAATGGATTGATGATGGATTAATGATGGATTGAAGATTTGCAAATTAACCGTTTACGATATGGTTTTCCTATTTTACTGAGTAACCCTGTAGTTTGCGATAAATACAATTCGGTTGCCGTCACCTGTGTTCTCCTTCATTACAATACCATACAGTATATAGGATGAAATTTAGCTCCAAGCTTTCCTGTCGACTACCACCAGCTACCAAGTATAAAAAAATAGTGCACGTGATGTCATATCAGTTAGAATAACAGTGACTATACAACTTGTTAGACAGCATTCGACAAGCATTAAAAGACTAAATAAGTATGACACTGATCTGTATTCAGCGGTCAATATATTGCAAGCTGTTTACTTTGAACATAGTCCACTGAAATTTTGTTTTAAGTGAAAGATGTATTGTATACACTCATAGTATAAGCTTTTATTGGTGATTATCGGCTGAACTTAAAACCGCATTTGTCAAGTTATCTTAATAAAACTATTCTTTCAAACAATAAATTTCAAATCATTTGTTGGGGATGTTAGATCCTCAAAATTCGCTTGATAAATGCCTTATTTTGGTGTTTACGTATGCGAGCATTGGCTGATCAGTTGACCTTGAGATTTCGAATCCCACCAGGAAAATTCATGGCTGTGATTGGCTGCTGTGTGTTATTTTAGTGTGCTATTTTCTTAACTGTCTCAAGGACATTTCTATGATGTATAAATAAACGAGAGTTGTGTGCTTGATTGTATTGTATTGTGATTGCTGGATGTTTGTAGAATATACTTTCTACGCTTACAAAGCCTTTCTATGTGCAGCTTGGGATTCAAGGTAGCCTACCTGGACGCTGGTAATTGTCTCGTTCGCGTTTATCGACTAAGGTAAACTCGTAATAGCCTCAAGCATACTTACTGACGAACCCAATGCAAATCAGTTACTAGTGTATTCAACTTTTAGGTAGCTGTAGACTGAAAATGTCTAGAAGTAATTACTACTACTGGTCTATGCTCAAACTGAAGGTCAAACTTTGAGTGAGAAAATATAAAATTGTCATACTACTGGAAGAACTGTATGATGCCCATATATACTGTCAAGGTCACAGATTAGTCATGCTTGTTTGAGTTAGAAGGACAAATATATGTGTAAACCAATAATTTGTGAATATCGTATTCATGTGATATTTTGTCAATTACAAATTTGTAGTCAATGTTCAATCTTGTCATTCTGGAATAATAGTTTGAAGTTTACGTATCTTGATTGAGCTTCCTCGATGGTGACATATATATAAACAATAAACAGTCATTAATTACAATTACAAAGGATAAAATTCAGGACAATTGTAATATTCTATTCAGTTTACTATTATCTCGATTTAGATTTCGACCAGATTGGACTCTCGTGCTGTTACGGGTATGAGGGCGGTTGTCACTTACCGACTGCCCACACCTTGGAAGGTTGTTTCTTGAGGGACCTGAAAAGGAAGATAGATTAGTGTTGGTCTTAACGACCTGGGTGCATGACCGCAGAACCCAAGGGACAACTGCTTGAGGCCAGTCACGCACGGCCTTTTTAAGAAAGGTATTTTGAGGATTAGCTCCGTTATTAAAGGTCCTTAGTGGGCACCCTTACCCAAGGAGACGGAAATCCGTGAGGTAGGGGAGGTGTAACATTTTTAGTGTCGACCATTTCTAACCCTTCCTTCCTTTTGAGAAGGCAGCATCGCTGCACATGCTGGTTGTCCGAGGGAAACACCTTACTGCTGCCACATCCCTCTGCAGTCAGCAGTACGACTTCGCCCTCAGACCTTGAGTAGCTGCTTTTAGTCTCATCATTCTCCAATCGACCTGCCTGGCATGGTAGGACCTGCAGGAACATATGTTCCAGCCAGTATAGCTCGGTTGGGTCATTACGATAGGCAAGCCCGACCACCATGTCAAGGTAGCAGGTACGGTCGGATTATCTGGATACTTGACTAGCGTAACAAAAGTACTTACTTACTTACTTACTTACTTACGCCTGTTACTCCCAATTGAGCATAGACCACCGACCAGTTTTCTCCAACCAACTCTGTCCTGGGCTTCCCTCTCCAGTTCTGTCCAATTTTTCTCCATCCTTCTCATATCTTTCTCTATTTCTCAGCGTGTAATCTGTTCCTTGGCATTCTCAAATAATAATTACACAATCATGTTATCATTATTTATCCATCAAGTAGTATAAAATAAATCAAATCTCTTGTTAATAAACATTTTTCTATACCGTATTTCTGTTCACTTCCTTAGAATATCTTCAGTGATCTTGAGACATTTGCAATTTTCTTTGCTAGTGCTATACATGATGTTGATCATCCTGGTTTAACAAATCAATATCTTATAAATACAAGTAAGTTAATGGAAATGTATTCGAAATGTTGTTATAAAGTAGAAACTCACATTGAACTTGTTCATCTACTCATAATTGGGATGGGTTTCATGATCAACAGTCCTTGGATTATGTGTGTGAAACTCAGTCTGTGAAAGTAGGAGATTGGGGTCAGGTACAAGTTATTGATCATAAGTACATTTAAAACATTGTTTGCTTATCGTGGAACAATGGAGTAATTATCAGTCTGAGTAAATGAACATCTTTATTTTAGTGGTTTAAGGAGACTTTAATCTGGGGTTGGATGGAATTCATGAACAAGTTATTTAACTAATGGCTCAGTCGTAGTGTTCTTCATTCATTTACACTGAGTAACGTTAAGTTTATATTTTACAGAGAGAGTCAGTTGTCTCAAAATGTCTTGTACATCTTGTCCACACATGCCAATCTATAGAAAACTCAAGTTAAATATGAATTCTTGCGAATCGCTTCTGTTACGCATTGCAAGTAAACTGGTCATTTTGATATGCTTGAACTATTACGAGTTTACTTTAGTCAATAAACGAGAGAGAGGATCGAGGATCCGGTGACATGACAGGCTACTATAATCCAATCGTCCCAAATCCCCATAGAGTAGAAGAAGAATACTTGATATAAAGTAGAACCTGTATTCTACAAGCATGCTGAAAATATTAGGTCCAAAGTCCAGAAGAGGATAAGGATCCCGGACTAAGGATCCAGGTCCTAAAATATTACAGACAATGCTTATTTATACAGTTAAGTCGAATAGGAAACAACATTTGAAGTATGTGACATTTATAGTTAGGATAACCAATAGGAATTGACCAATAGGAATCGGCCAATAGAATTAGACTTACAAATAATTCTTTTAGGATACTGGATGAATATCTCAACACATTCTTCATCCTAACTAATTGATTAGTAAGTATACACTTAAATGTAGCTTCAATCAATCAACAGTAATGTAGAACTTCGTACGTGCGTACATCAGTTCAAGTTGCCATACCACATTAACAAAGAGACGCCACAGTCAATTCAAATCTCATAGTACAGGGTAATAAAAGTATCAGGAGTAATCAAAGAGATTAGAGTTCGACGATATGATCCAAGAAGTAATATCTAGTGAAATAAACTTAAAAAGATAAAGATGATGAGGAACACTGAAGGTTAGGATTTGAGAGAACACAAAGAATGAATGCATCTGCGCCATTGTAAGCGATTCTGAACCATGTCATTCAGGGTCTTTAACCATCGATTACTATAATCTCGCGGACACCAACCAGGTAGTCGACACCTAGACAAATAAATATATCTGATATTTATATTTATACTCTTGATATATCAATGAATCAATAATTTAACCTTTCTTTTTCCCCCATCTCATTTCTACCTCTCTCTCTCTCTCCCACTCTACACACACACACACACACTCACTGAATATATCTACAATAATTACAGGTCATGAATTGGCTTTATTATACAATGATAATTCAGTTTTGGAAAATCATCATTTACATGTAGCTTTCAAGTTGATTAACTCAGAGAAAGAATGTGATTTCACACAATATTTTACTAGTCAACAAAAATTGTTATTTCGTAAAATGGTAATTGCTTTGGTAAGTAATCTTTTGTTTAATTGAATTCAATTTTGAAGTAGAAAAAGGATAACTTTCAATGAAAGATTCTTTAAGTGATCATAGTGTTTGACTTATCCTACTTACTTGCACCTGTTACCCTCCACCGATCAGTATTCTCCAACCTACTCTGTCTTCCGGCTTGTCTTTCCAGTTCTGTCCAATTTTTGTTCATTCTTCTTATGTCTGTATTCATTTCTCGGCGTAAAATGTTCCTTGGCCTTCATCTCTTCCTTTTGCCTTGAGGGTTCCAAGTGAGGACTTGCCTTGTGACGCATTTAGGTGTCCTATCCACTTCCAGTGCTTCTTCCTGATTTCCTATTCCTATGGAATCTGATTTGTTCTCTCCCACAGTAGGTAGTTGCTTGTGTTCTTTGAATTTTGGCTAATATCACATGATAATACGAAACACCAATCAGAATACGACTTCGCGATAATAACCTTCAATCGATAGCTAAGTTCTTATTGGTTCAAAACCCTGCTCGGGCTCATTGAGTCCAGAAGTCTGTTACCTGGTTCCACCAATCAAACAAAGGTAGTTTATTTTACAGATGCATACTTGATCACATCACATCAATTAATCGAAAATAACAATGGTACATGAATAGGCTAAAAGTAGTTCTGAGTTAGGAGGAGAATGACTGATAAAACATACAACAGTAGTTAGTAGATTAGAAGTGCCTACATTGTTCTTAATTAGGATTGATCTATGTCACAGTTTAAATTGCAACACTAAACTTTCACTTCCAGGTAGTACGAACAATTTTACAGTAGGAATTAATGTGATAGCTGATCATTTTGGAACATATTCGGAATGGTACTTTAGTGAACATAACGTAGCCAAATGAAATTGTCACGACCAATCCCAATATAGCTGATGTAGTAAGAGCATTAATGTTAAAAGAAAATATTAGGCATCTAAGATACAATTCGTCAAGTAAACATAAGGGAGACCGCGATAGTTTAAGAATGATAAAGCTGTATGACAGTAGTTAAATGCGGAAAATCAGTTCCAAATCCTGCAATATGCGTTCCATCATAACAAGGAATTTAGAAATATGGTATTTAGGGCAAGATAAAGCGTGAATGCATTTGCACCATTGCGAAAGATCGTGAGCAGTTGTACGCATTCTCGAACTACTAGGGAGAATACCTGCTGTGAGACAGAGGTTCATCCAGCGATGACGAGTCTCAAATAGGACAAAATGCATGGCTTCAATTCCACTGCAGAATAAAATTCATCATTACTAAAACATACAAGACAATCTTTGTAGTAAATGTCAATTAAATTTCAATATTAGTATAATTATGTTAATAAGCTCTGAGCTATTACTTACGCCTGTTACCCCCGATGGAGCATAGGATGCTGACCAGTATTCTCCAACCTACTCTGTCATAGGCCACGCTTTCCAGTTCTGTCCAATTTTTGTTTATTCTTCTCATATCTGTCTCTATCTCTCAGCGTCATATGTTCCGTAGCATTCCGCTTTTCCTTTAACCTTGAGGTTTCCAAGTGAGGCCTTGTCATGTGAAAAAATAATTCTGAGTAATACACAATTTTTTCATGAGTGAAGTTCTACTTCAATTATCTTTATTAGTTTATCAATCGGTATCATTGTGGTTGTGCAGCGAAATAGTTTTTGTTGTAACGATTTCACTGATATTCTGAACAACATGTGATCAAATGGTTAACCGAAACATGATAGTTGACTTGAACATTTTTATGATGGACCGTGTCCAAGATCTGATCGTAAATACGTACCAGCCCGTCAAATCGATTAATTGGATGAGACGGCAAGACTGGAAGAGAAAGTCTATTTGGCTACTGAATATTATGCATGAATCAATTTTTCCACCAATGATATGCGTTTGTCCTTCAGGACATTTCTAATCGACAGCAAATGACCTTCTCACCAAGTCACTTTTGATTGGTTCTCTAATATCAAATACAAAAAATTAGTGAGATAAATGGAACAAATAGAGATAACCAATAACAGGTCAATGCCTTCCGGTCTAAGACAGAAGTTGAACACTACATGAAATAAGCAGTGATAATCTCACTGTCCAGGTTGACAATGAAAGTCCTACTGTAGTGTGTCGATTTACTGCGTGTTCTAATGGTTGGTGATTAGCTTGTCCAGACAATAAATAGCGTCTGACGGTTTATAAATCAGAAGGTGAACTCATAGTATTGAATACGTTTATTTAGGACAAACCACAAATTGAAGCGGAAAAGCAATGTGGAGAAGGCTAGTGAGCCAAGTCCCTGAGACAGAGCATGACTAAGAATATATAGTCAGACAAATATAATAAGACAGACATGCGACAAGCGAAATAGGCACACATGAATAAAGGTGACGAATAATTGACAAGGTCAAATGACAAATGGGACACGTCATGTGAGCTCATCATACAAACCAGATAATAATAAGAACGAATGGTACATATAAATTGTTGCAATACACAAGTGGCTTGGTTAAATAAATTAATCGAAAGGGCTTAACCAAATTAAATGTAAGCGAACTGGAATATATGTGTGGAGGCACTACACTACAATTTAGTCGTTTAAAAATTCAGTGAATTCAATAACACCAACAAAATGTAACTTGAATTGAACCGCAAAAAATTCTTTTTCATACACACAGGTATTATCAACTGATATGAGTAAACATATGTCATTATTGGCTGATTTAAAAACAACCGTTGAAAAACAAAAAGCATTTCAAGGCAATGTTATCAATTTGGATAGTTATTCAGCTCGTATGCAGGTATTTTTCGATGAAAAATTTTAATTCTTAAATAGAGAGAGAATTATTATTATTATTTCTATGTTGGTTCACTTTTTTTCTCTGTATAGAATTAATTTAAATTAAATACCGGCTTGAATGAATTACAGCTCCGATTTCTACCATTTATTTAACGTCTATTTCGTCCCACGATCATTCAGGATCGTCGTTTGCGGTAAGCGAGCTCAGGACAATCGGTCTCGCATGCAAACGTTTAACCTCTAGACTAGTGAGCCGATATTCAACGTTGTTAATGTCTAGCTCTAATCTGTCCAAGTTAATGAGCAGCCTCACACATAGTCTTCGGTAGCCCACACCTGACAGGGTTAAGCTATATTGGTCACGGCTTCTAATAGTGATCTGACTGTCAATTATTTCCATAACCAACCAATCAAATTGTGGTTTAAGCGCTCATCACGTGATCTGGTCTGACGTGTCTGTAAACTATCTTTGTTGTAAATGACCTACCAATTGAAGGATATTATTATCTTATTATTATTGATGTGACTCATAATTTTATTCATTTCCATAAGACACGCAATACTGGTCGGTATGTTTGCTCATTTCATTTATGATAGCTGTAATTTCCTGAATTATTGTACTAAGCTACGTTTAGAAACAGATCAAGTTTAAAGCTAAGTTGTCCTTATTCTGACTAGAGCTATCACATAGACTCTGTGCTCGACAATAATGCATTCATAGTTATAAGAATGCACCTTCACTGACAATGAACGATTCATTATTTCAATGAAACTTAACACTCTCTATAACTCATTGATTGGATAAATATGTCTTCATGAATTCAGTTGAAGTTATTACTTCTCATTTAATAATTATTAACAAGATCATGAAAGGTGTTGACATAATTTTTTAATCACTCTGCTATGTAATACAAGAATCAATTCATTCATGAGATGTTAGAACACCGATTATCGTTTTATAATAGTAATTATTGACATTTATTCTACTTAACAACTTGATGGAAGTTGAAACTGTATTGTTAAATGCTAACGCTGAGGTTCTATCAGTTAAGTGTTTATATGAGATCTGAAAGTCTAGGTGTTACGTATGCACGTAAACACGTCATTTGATATACTTGAACCAATACGAGTTTACCTTAGTCAGTAAATGAGAGCGAGGATAGAGGATCCGGCGACATGCCAGGCTACTTTAATCCAATTGTTCCAAACCCCATTGAGTAGAAGAAGAACACCTAATATGAAGTAGAACATGTATTCTACAAACATCCAGAATGTACGGAGTCCGAGTCCAGAATAGAATCAGGATTCCGGACTAGGGATCCGGGACATAAAGCGTTACAGATAATACGTATTTATACAGTTTGTTTGAATAGAAAACGACATTGAAGTATGTGACATTGACAGTTAAGACGACCAATCGGGAGCAACATTGAAGTACATGACATTGATAGCTAGGACTGTGGTGCGCGCTACTTATAAGTAGTATATGACGCGAGTGTAAACGTAATGTCTGGCAGCCGAAGATGAGGGAAGATCAAGAAAGGAAGAGTGGGAACACAATGGAATTTGTATGAAACGCATGAATAGTGAAATGTCAGACAATGGATTGATGATGGATTGAAGATGTGCAAATTAACCGTTTACGATATGGTTTTCCTATTTTACTGAGTAACTCTATGATTTTCGTTAAATACAATTCGGTTGCCCTCACCTGTGTTCTCCTTCACTACAGGACGACCATAATATTGACCAATAGGAATCGACCAATATAATTAGACTTACAAAAATAATTCTCTTAGGATATTTGATGAATATCCTCCCAATAGGGTTCAATCTCTATCAGGGATATGTTTGGACAATACTTCAAGGCTCTAATCTATCTACAAGGAGATATTTTTTCAGAGCTGTCCAGATTTTTAGAGTATCTAAAATAAAATGATTCTTTAACGAATATGAACCAAATATTTGAGTATAGACTCATACTGCTTTAAATAGTTACAAAATGTATCAGTTGTCAATTACATGATGGTAACGCACAACATGTCTTTTCTCTCAAATAACATCAAATACATTTCGTGAATAAACTACCATCGAGTTTCCCAATTCACACGTGTTGATCATTGAATAAATGTCATATTGTTCTAGTTGATCAAGTTTCAATACGGTCATTAGTTTGAATGATTGAACGCCTGATGGACTATGTTTGATATGAGGTGATTTTATAGAACATTTCATTTCTAATGGTAAACACTTTGTAAAAACACTAACGATTGGTATAAGCAAATGAAAGGAAATCATGAAATGATTTATCTACCAAGTAGATGGAAATATTGAATATGCTTACAGTCGAAAACAAATGACAAGAAATTCGTTGTATTGATGGATATTTACAAGAATAATACGTTGAATAAAATGAGTTTTTTTTCAAATGAACGAAGCGTTGTGAGTTAGGACTATGCACATTGCGATCACGATCGAAGGTCGTGCTAGTCATCGACATCCAGTGTTGATGGAAACATCAAACAGCCATCTGTGCATTCTTGACGTTTATTCACTATCTGAATAATCGATGGAGAACTGAATGGCGAATTTATTCGTTTTGGAATGATTAAAACAGACCAAGGAGACTACTGAAAAAGTTGACTTATCTTTTGTTTACTGATGAAGACTTATAAGCTATGGTACAAAAGAGGCACCGAAACGTATATACACAATACACACCAATGAGTTTGCGTGTAGGATGAGATACTGTCCTGGTGCCAAAACCCGAATAAATGGTTTTCTGATAAGATGACACCCTAGACCTTTGACTCAAAAATTTAATCCATGAGGCAGTAGAGCAAAGTTTGGAGATGAAGTCCTATGGTAACCGGTCACCAACAATAGGTTTATACACCATCCATTCTCTCAGGATCCTGGAGCTCATCTGTATGTACCGTTTGTTTAGAATTAGGGTTTTCTAACTCACCTGCGTGGACCGTCCAACACTAAACAACTTGGTTTAGGCCCACGCTAGACTTTTGCGTTTCATTCTCTCAATTTCGTAAATAACACCTTGATCTAAAGAAAGCAGTAAATAGGACTTCACTGGCACTGGCTATATACGCATGACCATATAACAGCATTTTGTGAGAGAGATAGAGAGCGAATTCTCTCGACTCTCCACCGTTCCAGGACAAGTAGGAACTTTTAAGAAATGTCTCATCACAAATTAAATGCACTCCGAAGTTGATAAAATAAGGTTTTCAAAAACTTCAGTTCATATATTATTCACTGAGCATATGCAACATATATTATATCTCTGTCCAATGTACTCGCTTCGGCGGTACACATATCCGTTTGCTGACTAAAGGACGAGTGTACTGCGCAGTGGTTCGCTCCGTCTTACTTTATGGCTGTGAAACATGGCCAATGAGAGTGGAAGATACTCGTCGGTTATTGGTTTTCGATCATAGGTGTCTTCGAAACATTGCTCGTATATCGTGGGACACCCGAGTTAGCAACGCTGTTATTAGGAAACGGGTACTAGGTAAGAATGGCAGATCAATCGATGAAGTGGTGAAACTTCATCAGTTGAGGTGGTTGGGACATGTCTTGCGTATGCCTAACCACCGACTGCCTCGTCGAGCTTTGTTTTGTGGTGTAGGAATAGGTTGGAAGAAAGCTAGGGGCGGCCAAACCAAAACATGGCAGAAATCCATGAAGTCATTGACGAGTGGACTTAGCCATGTCGGTAATTGTCGACTACCTGGTTGGGGTTCGCCAGATGATAATAATCGATGGCTAGAGACCTTGAATGACATGGCTCAAAATCGTTCGCAATGGCGCCGGTGCATTTATTCTTTGTGTTCTCTCAAATCCTAATCTTCTGGATTCTTCAACACCTCTAGTTTTTACTTTCTAAACTTATCTCATTGAATCATACTTCGTGAATAATATCTTCTAATTCTAACGTCTACGATTACTTCTAATACCTTTACTACCTCTTCTACTATTGGATTTGAATTGACAATTATATCTCTGTGCTGATGTGGTATGGCGACATGAACTGATGTACTTACGTACGAAGTTCTACGTTGCAACTGACTGACTGACTGACTGACTCTCTGTCCAATATATATATATATTTTTAAACTCTTTTAACTTCTAGATATTAGAATGTATAATTCATGCAGCTGATTTAAGCAATCCAACAAAACCATTAGAAATCTATCGTGAATGGGTATCAAGAATAATGGAAGAAATGTTTAGACAAGGTGATCAAGAGAAACAATTTGGTATTGAAATTAGTCCAATGTGTGATAGAGAAACTGCATGTATTTACAGTACACAAGTAAGTAATTTAGTACTGATATATACTATTTATTACTTACGCCTGTTACCCCCAATAGAGGAGCATAGGCCGCCAACCAGCAGCATTCTCCAACCAACTCTACCCTGGGCTTCCCTCTCCAGTTCTGTCCAATGTTTGTTCATTTCTCTTATATCTTTCTCTATTTCTTGGTGTAATGTGTTCCTTAGCCTTCCTCTTTTCCTTTTGCCTTGAGGGTTTCATGTGAGGGCTTGTCTCGTGACGCAGTTAGGTGCTTTCCGCAATGTGTGTCCTATCCACTTCCACCGCTTCTTCCTGATTTCCTCTTCCACTGGAATCTGGTTTATTCTCTCCCACAGTACGTTGTTGTTGATGGTGTCTGGCCAACGAATCCGAAGTAATTTGCGTAGACATCTGTTAATGAATACTTGAATCTTCTGTTCTCCAAGTTTCCGCTCCATACAGTAGAACTGTCTTCACATTTGTATTGAAAATCCTTATTTTGGTTTTGGTTGAAAGTTGTTTGGAGTTGCAGATATTTTTCAACTGTAGAAATGCACCCCTTGCTTTGACAATCCACGCCCTCACATCTGCATTGGATCCACCTTTCTCGTTGATGATGATGCCCAGATATGTAAAGGTGTTAACGTCCTCGAAGGCATCTCCATCAAGAGTGATTTGGTTGGTGCATGTTGTGTTGCATCGGAGAATTTCGCTTTTTCCTTTATGTATGTTGAGACCTACTGCTGCGGAGGCTGCTGCTACACTGGTCGTCTTCTCTTGCATTTGTTGTTGCGTGTATGATTTGAATTAAAGGTGATTCGTTTTCCATTTCGAAACTGTTATATCTTGGATTAGTAAGCCTTTATCACCTCACGTTCTGAAAATTTAGCTGTTAATGCTTTGATTGAGTTTCTGAAGTGAAAGATGCCATATCCAACTTCTAATGTGAATATTAACGCTCGAATGCAGGTAAGTTCAGTTGATGAGTTCCAAATAGGATAAAAAAACGCTCTCTAGATTCCACTACCTACTAAACATGTTATGTTTTATTTTGAAAACTCCCATCCTTATCTTTGTGTACACAGTATGGATTGCAACACTTCACGGACATTAAGACTGTAGCATATGGTTGCATTGAGGGACAATCAACAAACTTCAACTGGACAAATTCTAATCATCTGTGTTGTGAAGAAACATCCTTATGAGTTGTAGTTGTAGTAGATTTATTCATTAGGATTCTCCTTCTGAAAAGTACACGTTTGAAAGTTTAGTAATTGATTCGAGCTATTTCAATAGACTACTGTTATTGTTACATATGAGAATAGTCAACAGGACCTATTCGATAGAGATTTTAATTCGATGCGTGATTCACTGAACTTTGTGAAGTAACATGTTGGATCATATAACTAAAAATTGGTCTCAGTGTATATGCAGTCACAAATTACTGACTTACTTGCTTAAGCCCGTTATATCTGATGGATCATTGGTGGCTGACGAGCATTGTCCAACCTACTTTGTCCTAGGCCTTCTTTTCCAGTTCTTTAGTTGAGTTTCAATATTATTGTACGATTTACGTTATGAAACATGGTCAGTCAGAGTAGAAGATATTCGTAGGTTACTGGTTTTCGATCATAGAAGTCTCCAAAGCATTGCTCGTGCATCTTGGGAAAACTGGGTAAGCAATGCCGTTGTTAGGAAAAGGGTAGGGATAGCAAGTCAATGGATGAAGTATTGAAGCTTCTTCAGCTGAGGTGGTTGGGACATGTGTTGAGTATGCCTAACCATCGACTGCCTCGACGAGCTATGTTTCACGATGTAGGAATGGGTTGGAAGATAGCTAGAGGTGGCCAAAACAAAACATGGCACAAATCATGAAGTCACTGATAAGTGGACTAGGTCATGTTGGTAAGTGTCGACTACCTGATTGGAGCCCGCGAGATAATAATCGATGGTTAGAGACCCTGAATGATATGGCTCAAAATCGTTTGCAATGGCGCAGGTGCATTCATTCTTTGTGTTCTCTCAAATCCTAAACCGCTGAATTCCTCATCATCCTTATCGTTTTCTTTCGTAAGTTGAATTTACTAGATTCTACTTTATGAATAACATTTTCGAACTCTAATCTCTCCGATTACTGCTAATCCTTCTACTACCTATACTACTATGGGATTTGAAGTGACAATTGTATCTCTGTGCTAATGAGGTATGGCAACTTGAACTGATGTATATATGCACGAAGTTCTACGTCTCTGTTGATTGATTGACAATTTACGTTGACTACAGATGGATATCTCTATTTTAAGCATCTTAAACAAAGTGTCAAAACATAATCTCAACTTAAGTATCATTAAATTTAATGAGACCTTTCATCGATTACTTTATATGCTTTGAGTAGTATTCATGAATGTAAACTAAAATTGAGAAACAAATTATATTCAAGTAGAAGTATACAATGTTTAATGATTACCGGTTAAATAAAGAATGACCAAAGAATAATCAGATTGAGTTGAATGTTTCAAATAAAAATATCAATAATCGCTTTAGTTAAAAACATAATGGGTACTACTTATCCAAGAAGCTTGATTCTTCTTCTCACTTTTCTCATTGACATCAAGAACCAAGTCAGATGACTAATGAGAAGCTGAAAGTATTTGACGTTCGTTTCATCCTAGTATAGAACACCTCATTTGTGCGCACCTACAGCCGCACAAGTAGGAATCAAATACTCGGGATCATCGATCTCACGTCCAAAAGCCTAATGTCTAGACTATTGAGCTACCCACTCAACGATGTGAATGTTCAACTACTTTTTTTTCCATTACCACTTGTCATACTGTATGTGACTACTGAAGCATTTTTTTCAGTAGTCATATATAGTTAGGCAGCGTCAGTGATGAGCGAGGTGATGCAAATGTAAAGGATCGCATTGTTGAAGCGAGGACAGCATTTCTACAATTGACGAACATCTACAAATCAACAAACTCCAAAGTCAGAATTTTCGATACAAATGTCAAAAGAGTTTTAAAATATTGGATGGAAAGTTGGAGAACACCGAAGGCCATTATCCGGAAGATACAAGTGTTTATTAATAGTTGTCTACGCAAAATACTTCAGATCCGTTGGTCAGAAAGCATCAGCAACAACTTACTGTGGGAGAGAACAAACCAGTTTCCAACGGAGAGAGCTCCGTTGGAAAAAGCGCTGGAGATGGGAATCATCCAACTCTATCACAAGACAAGCCCTCACTTGGAATCCTCAGGGCCAAAGGAAAACATTCAGACCAAAGAGCAAATTATGTCACTAATCGGAGATAGACGTGGAAAGAATGAACAATAACTGGATAGAACTGGAAAGGCAGGCCCTGGACAGAGTAGGTTGGAGAGTGGCTGGTCGTTGGCACATGTTCCAACCAATGGAGTTCAACCCTGTCGGATGTAGGCAGTAACTACCAAAGACAAATGGGTGAGGTCGCGCAGAATCCCTAGATCAATCAGAGTTAGATATTAACACCGTTGGATGCCGGCCCAGTGGCCCGATGGTTAGGCGTTCGCGTACAATACCGAAGGCCCGGCGTTCGAATCCTGCGAGGTGCAGGAGTCGTGGATGCGCACTGCTGATGAGTCCCATACCAGGATGAAATGGCCGTCCAGTGCTACCAGGTTTCTAATAGTGGTCTAATAATGATCGATTGATGATTTCAAGTGTGTAAAAACACCAACCTCCAAAACTCTGCCTGAAAAGATCTAAGATAGTAAAGCTTGAATTTCGACAGAAAAGTCATTCATCCCACATAACATTTTAATTATTATACCTGATGTCAACTTCCAATGAAAACGATAGCTATTAGCCATTCACCTTTATTTCTCATACTAATTTATAAATCTATTTTGATACTAGTCTCTGATTCTATCCCAAAAGTCATTGATCTCACATCTAACAACTTATTTCTGTATCAGTCGATACCACACCTCAAAGAAGGCAGGACCTAAGCATACATAAACTAACCACCTTAGCCAATAAAATTGACATATCTACGTGTCGATGAGCCATTCATAATTCCCCGGCGGAGCGCGCTCGTAACGCAATAAGTTGTTAGATCCCCTTACTTATTTATGTACTCCATTCAAAATATTACTTACATAGCTCAGACATTTATAATTATTATTCTACTCATCTGACTCTTTCTCTCTCTGTCTCCCTTCACTTTCCACACACCATAGATTGGTTTCATTGACTATATAGTCTATCCATTATGGGAAACATTGGCTGAATTATTACATCCAGGTGTACAAATTCTAATGGACAATATTGTGAATAATAGAAATTGGTATCTCAATGCAAAAGAGGAAGAGGAGACGAAAAAAGAAAACACCAGTATTGATCAGCCATTATGATGATCATTTGTATTTTGTATTAAATAACAAGATCTGTTTAATTGATTTTTGAGAAGCAAAAAAAAGATGAAACAACATATATATATATATATATCTAGATTGAACAAGATTGAACAAACAGTATTTCTTTTAATATATATACATATGTCTAATCTATTTTTAAATATGTATTGAATTTTGAAAAAGAAATAACATTTTTTGGAGTATTAATTGAAATTTTACTGCTTATTGCTTTAAAGAAGAAGAAGAAAGAGGCTAAAACTCATTGTTTGTAGTGTGTTGACAAAAAGTAAGATACAGTGAAGTCTGTTGTATTCATCTATCGTTTGATGTACAGACTTCTTCCCTGACCGTAGTTGCTAGCTGAACGTGATGGTCGGGCTTCCCTGTCGTGATAACCAAACCGAGCTATATTAACTGGAACATAGGTTCCTTCAGGTCCTAACATACCAGGTAGGTCGATTGGAGAACGGTAAGACTAAAAGCGGCAACTCAAGGTTTGAGGACGCAAGCGTTCTTCTGCATGTAGAAGAGTGTGACATCAGTAAGGTGTTTCCCTCTGACAACCAGCATCTACAGCGATGCTGCCTTCTCACTTAGGAGGATATGTTTAGAAAGGTCGGCCGTAACACCGTCAAACCTCACCTTACTTCATGGATTCCCGTTTCCGGCGGTAAGGTCATTTGAAGGACCGAGCTAGCACTTTAAGCACTTATCATAGAAAGGCCGCGCGTGACCGGCCTCAAGCAGTTGTCTTTTGAGCTTTGAGGTTATGCTTCCAGGTCTCTATGACGAACGCTAATCAACCTTCCTTTTCAGGTTCTTCAAGAAACACCCTTGCACGTTGTAGGCAGTCGGGAAGTGACATTCATCCCCATACCCGTAACAGCACACGAGACCGAATTGGTCACAATCAAATCCTTCTTAAACCTCCTAATATCTTTTTTATCTCCACGACTAATCTTTCTTTCATTGCTTAATCGGCTCGAGCCGCTAATGTAAACGTTTCGAGTACACATAACTGACTGTACAGACTTCTTCGATGAGAAAAAAATGATTCAAATTGTGTCAAATGATTTTTATTGAAAACACGAACCAATCATTGTTGGACCAGCATTAAAAAGAAACCTAGAAGCACTGGACAGCCATTTCATCCTGGTATGAGACTCATCAGCGGTGAACATTTGCGACTCTGACTATTCACAGGAATCGGACCCAGGACCTTCGACCTTACCTTTAGACCACTGAGCTGGCATTCAACGTGGTTAATGTCTGACTCTCACCAAAGGTCTTGCGCAACCTCACCCTGGGTTCTATGAGTATCAAATGTCGTGGATTCACACTGCTGATGAGTCCTGTACCAGGGACCAATAGGCTGTCCAGTGCTTCCAGGTTTCTAATGGTGATCTTACAATCATTGATTCATGGTTTCAATAATAAACAACAATCGCCATAACTCTATAATGACAGGAAAATTTAACTAACGTGAGATTTAGGTCGGAATATAGACAGTGATAAGTTTTTTACTGTTGGTACGCTTGAACTATCTTTCTAACTGTTTCAGACAATCCCAAATACTTCTAAACGTCAGCTAGAACACTAAAGCAAAGAAGTGAATATCGTGTAAAAGCTTCACTATCGGGTTAGTTTATGTACAGAAAACTCGAGAGTATTTGTAAGGTTACACAGGATCTGAAAATTTCTGGAATCATCCAGTCAAAACCGTGACATGTGATTCTGCATTTTTATAGATATCGTTGAGAAGCTGCTATCATCTAACATCGATTGCACAAAAACTTTAACAAGATATTTCGGAACTTCAGCAATGACAAACCGAAATGTGACAATACCACACGAATTCACTAACTATTGGACTAGACCATGTCAGTAGATATACAAGCTATCTTAATTAGGGGATAAGAGCGAAACATCATAAGCTGATATAAATGGAGATGTTGGCTGCTAATTCTTATCCAATCAGCGCTAGTCAATACTTGGAGTGCATTCTAGAAGCTTCTCATGAAAAAACAACTATAAAGATACTAACGTTATTCCTATTTCGTCTTCACTTCGATCTTCCGACTTCCATTTGAACCTTGCTATTTGGAATATAATCTCTATTCCGGTTCCATTATGTTGTGATTTGGGCACTTGTCAAGTGCATCTGTTGTCAGAGAATACTAAACAATAGAAGTAGAGACAGATACAACGCAGAACTTCGTACATAGGGACATCAGTTCAGGTTGCCATACCACATCAGCACACAGACGTACCTGTCAGTTCAAATCCAATAGTGATAGCGATAGTAGAATTATTAGCAGTAATGGAGAAGATTAAATAGCGAAGATATGATTCGAAAAGTATAATTCAGTGAGATAAATTTAGAAAGGGAAAGATGGAGGTGCTGACGAATCGAGAAGATTAGGATTTGAGAGAGCTCAAAGAATGGATGCACCTGCACCATTGCAAACGATTTCGACCCATGTCGTTCCCGACTGCAGCTTCTACCTTGACGTGGTGGTCGGGCTTGACTATCGTCATGACCCAACCGAACTATACTGGCTGGAACAAATGTTCCTGCAGGTCCTACCATGCCAGGCAGGTCGATTGGAGAACGATGAGACTAAAAACAGCTACTCAAGGTCTGAGGGCGAAGTCGAACTGCTGACTGTAGAGGGGTGTGACAGCAGTAAGGTGTTTCCCTCGGACAACCAGCATCTGCAGCGATGCTGCCTTCTCACAAGGAAGGAAGGGTTAGAAAAGGTCGGCCCTAAAAATGTCACACCTCCCCTACCTCACGGATTTCCGTCTCCTTGGGTAAGGGTGCCCACTAAGGGCCTTTAAGAACGGAGCTAATACTCCTTGAATGACATGGCTCAAAATCGTTTGCAATGGTGCCGGTGCATTTATTCTTTGTGTTCTTTCAAACTCTAATCTTCTGGATTCTTCAACACCTCTAGTTTCGACTCTCTAAACTTTTCTCACTGAATCATACTTCTTGAATAATATCTTCTAATCCTAACAACCTCTCCGATTACTTCTAATACCTTTACTACCTCTTCTACTATTGGATTTGAATTGACAATTATATCTCTGTGCTGATATGGTATGGCGACATGAACTGATGTACTTACGTACCAAGTTCTACGTTGCATCTGACTGACTGACCCATGTCGTTCAAAGTCTCTAACCATCACGCGCACCCCAACCAGATAGCCTACATCTCTACCAACATGACTCAGTCCACTTGTCAATGACTTCAAAACAATAGAGATAGCTGGGTTGTAATATAAAGAGACACTAACAACACAAAGGTTGATACTATAGTTTTTTTATTGACTCTGTAAAATGATTGAACAAGTTAAAATTAAATGTGATATGAATAGAATTTAATGAATGAAGTTCAACTCTATGTAGCAATAGCAATAATCGTAATAATAATAATAATAATAATAATAATAATAATAATAATAATAATAATAATAATAATACTCTTTATCCTAAATGCAACAAAAAAATCAACACCGGAAAATTATTCAAACAAACTAAACGATGATCTACACAAACACCGAGATGAATCAACACACACACACACACACACACACTTATGAACCAAAATACCACAAATTGTTAAAGAATGAATTTGGGATTAAAAATCAACTGAGGAAATGAATTCTTCATCATAAAAACTTTCGTCTTTTCTAATTAATTGTTCATTTGTAATGGAATTTCACACGAACTAAATATTTTTGTTTTACTTGTGATACATGATAGACAATGTATTCATTATAACATAAAGTGGTATTTGGTATGTTGGAATCAATTGGTTTACCGATAGGATAAACAACACCATCTTTATTCGTATGAAATGTCGATGGATCCGGTGTAACTGATCCAATACCTTAAAAAAATAGATAAGAATAGAAAAGATTAGTGTATATCATACACGTTACAAGGTGCGAGATCGGTAAAGCAAGGGTTGCATTTCGACAATTGAACAATAACATGTGGAATTCAAAACAACTGTTTGTCAACCAACACAGAAAATCAGAATTTCCAATAGAAATGTCAAGACAATTCTACTGTATGAGGTGGAAACTTGGAAAACTATCAAAGCCATCATCCAGAAGATACAAGTATTTATGAACAGTTGTCTTTTCAAAATACTTCGAATTTATTGGCCAGACACCATCAACAAAAATCTACTTGGGAGAGAACAAACCAGATTTCAGTAAAGGAGGAAATCAAGAAGAAGCGGTAGAGTTGGTGGATAGGACACACACACTGCGAAAAGCAGCGAACTGCGTAACAAGACAAGCCCTCACCCGGAACCCTCAAGGCAAAAGGAAAAGAGGAAGGCCAAGGAACACATTATGCCGAGAAATAGAGAAAGATATGAGAAGAATTAACGAGAATTGAACAGAGCTGGAAAGGAAAGCCCAGGACAAAGTAGGTTGGAGAAACCTGGTCAGCGGTGTATGCTCCACTGAGGGTAACAGGCGTAAGTAAGTAAGTAATATATACATCATGTGAAAATGAACCGCAATTGAGTACGTATATGAAAACAAACATGTCCAGTTCGTCATTTTGTAAGATAGAAAAAAGTACGCATCAATATGATCACTCTGTTCCATTTGGAGTTCTTTTGAAAAATATTGACAAAGGCAACAACGAGTATACAGCATTTTTAATAATGGATATTTGAAATTGAACGAAAACAAACAAACATACAAATATTCAGTGTACTAAACGAGGTAATGGCAATCAGTCAAAGAAGAAAAACATTATGCAGAAGATTGAGTTTGTGTTGGGATATTCATCCAATATCCTAAGAGAATAATTTCTAAGTCTAATTCTATTGGCTCATTCCTATTGGTCGTCTTAACTGTCAATGTCACAGACTTCAATGTTGTTTCCTATTCGACCCAACTGTAAAAATACGCATTATTTGTAACGTTTTATGGCCCGGACCCCCTAGTCCGGGATCCTGATTCTATTCTGGACTCGGACCTCGTACTTGCTGGAAGCTTTTAGAATACACGTTCTACCTCATATCAAGTCCTCTTTCACTCAATGGGGGTTTGGGACCATTGGATTAGAGTAGCCTGTCGTGTCGCCGGATCCTCGTTCTCGTTGTCCGACTAAAGTGAATTCGTAATAGTTCAAGCACATCAAATGACGTGTTTACGTACATTCATAACAGTGTTCAAAGAGCTACTTGTAGGTGCTCTTTTATAGAAGGACTTTAGCATTTTTTTTCTACAGAACTTTAGTCATTTTATGACCATCGCAGTGGATTTGTACTCAGAATTTCATACCAGTTATAAACTGCGTATATTTGTGCTTATAAATTTACTGTCTGGTAAAAAAAAACAGTCCAGTTCACAATCGGTGTTCAGAATCACCTGACATATGCCCCCCTAGTCAATCATAAATATATGCTTTGCGCTTCATACATGTGTTTGCCTTTTACTGCAACATTTCGTCACCACACTTCATTGATTTGGGGTTGAGTTAGCCAACCCATCTCCTACAAAACTTACTTTTTTTCAAAAACATTAGCAAGAAAACATCTTTTATTTCATTAAAACTTTGCTCCGGGGAGTTAGTTAAGTCTTCATTTAGAAGAGTCATGAAGCCTCATGGTGAAAGCCGAGTTTACTCAGAAGACACGAGGTCGATGCCCGTTTTTTTGCAACCAGAGCAACCATTATTATAGGTTTATGAAATGTTTGTACATTGTGGGAGATCAGGAGAACCAACCAATCAAGTTGCTGAAAAGATACAATCTGTTGGTGTTTTGGAATGAATGAAACGAAAATTTGAAGCAGGTTTGAATAAAAAAAGACTAACTTCAGCAGAGATGCTATTGTACTCTGCGGCCATGAAGAATAAAATACCTCGCAAACAAGTTGCGAGTTGCATGGATGCTACCCAAAGAAGCCCATAGGCACAAGATCATCCTTCGAATTCCCGACCGTAGCTTCTACCTTGACGTGGTGGTCCGGCTGGTTTATCGTGATGACCCAACTGAGCTATAATGGCTGGAACATATGTTCCTGAAGGTTCTACCATGCCAGGCAGGTCGATTGGAGAACGATCAGACTAAAAGCAGCTACTCAAGGTCTGTGGGCGAAGTCGTACTGCTCACTGCAGAGCGGTGTGACTGCAGTAAGGTGTTTCCCTCGGACAACCAGCATCTGCGGCGATGCTGCCTTCACACAAGGAAGGAAGGGTTAGAAAAGGTCGGTCCTAAAAATGTCACACCTCACCCTACCTCACGGATTTCCGTCTCCGGTGGTAAGGGTGCCCACTAAGGGCCTTTAAGAACGGAGCTAATCCTCAAAATACCTTTCATAAAAAGGCCTTGCGTGACCGGCTTCAAGCAGTTGTCCCTTGGACTCTGCGATCACTCATCCAGGTCGCTAAGACCAACACCAATCTACCTTCTTTTTCAGGTTCCTCAAGAAACAACCTTTCACGGTGCGGGCAGTCGGGAAGTGACAACCGCCCTCATAACCGTAACAGCACACGAGACCGAATTGGTCAAAATCAAATCCTTCTTACACCGCCTAATATCTCCGTTATCTTAATCCTTCAAATGAAAGAAATAGGGGATTACAATGAATTCCATTCAATGCTATGCCTGCACCAACAATAAAGAACTGTATTCCAGCATAAAAGCATACACGACGCCACATGGATTTTATCGGATCACACTAGACAGAATCAAATCGATCATACTACCTACATCCTATAACATGTTTAGAACGATCATACATAGTGGAAATCACCGAACCACATCACAAGGCAAGTAGTCCTCAATTGGAATCTTCAAGGTCACAGAGGAAAAGACCTAACACCAAAGAAAACATGCCATCCAGAATTGGAGACAGACAAATCGGTAGCCTATGCTTTATTATTAAGGATAACAGGTGTATATAAACCAAGTAAGTTATTCATTGGTGAATCGTAAACTGACTGTTCCCTTGGTTGTTAATACACACACACACACACACACAACTATATCATATTGAACTGAGATTTTTGTGTTTTCCTATGCCAAGAATTGACTTATCAATATGAATACGTTTGTTTCGAAAAATTATTTGATTGTAGATTCGTTAATTATTTGTATAGAACCGTATACAGATGTCACAAAGTCAATGGGGGGTCCATTCGGCTTCATTCAATCTGAAGGTTGTCTCATGTTTACATGGTAAATTTAAGAGTTACTTGAGAAATAATCAGTAATTACAGGAAGATAAGGTGCGAGTGTTGACAGCACGGAATATAGTCAGAGGATCTCAACTGAGGAGGTGATGCGTAGGTATTATTCCACTCAGTCAGCCTGTTCGACAGTAAACTACCATAGAGAATATAATCGACAGACAGACAGACAGATACAACGCAGAATTTCGTACATAAGTACATCAGTTCAGGTTGCCATACCACATCAGCACAGAGACGCAACTGTCAGTTCAAATCCAAGAGTGATAGCGATAGTAGAATTATTAGCAGTAATGGAGATTAGGGAGCGAAGATATGATTCAGTAAGATAAAATTTAGAAGGACAAGGGTAGAGATTATTAGGAATGCAGGTTAGAATTTGAGAGAACACGAAGAGTTGATGAACCTGCGCCACTGCAAACGGTTTTGAGCCATGTCATTCAAGGTCTCTAACCATCGATTATTATCATCTCGCGGACCCCAAACAGGTAGTCTATATCTACCAACATCACTCAATCCATTTGTCAGTGACTTCATGGATTTCTGCCATGTTTTGAGTGGGCCGCCCCTAGCTTTCTTCCAACCTACTCCTACACCACAAAATATAACTCGTCAAGGCAGTCGGTGGTTAGGCATACGTAACACATGTCCCAACCACCTGAACTGATGAAGTTTCACTACTTCATCTATTGATCTGCCATCAATACTCGTTTCCTAACGACAGCATTGCTCACTCGGTTGTCCCAGGATACACCAGCAATGCTTCGGAGACATCGATGATCGAAAACTAGTAACCTACCAATGTCCTCTACTCTTAACGGCCATGTTTCGCATCCGTATAGTAGGACAGAGCGAACTGCTGCGCAGTACACTCGTACTTTGGTTAACAAGCGGACATCTCGCCTGCGCCATAGGTGACACAGGTTGGAAAAAGCCATTTGAGCTTTCTATATACATGCTGAGATTTTGTCACAAACCAGGCCATCAGCACTGATGAGACTCCCAAGATAAGTGAAGCGGTCTACACGTTCGACTACTTCACTCCCTATCACTAGTTCAGGTGCCGATGAAACCCAATCCTGAAGCAACATTTTGCATTTCGAGGTTGAGAACCGCATCCCGAACATGCTCGGATTGTTGCTTAGGGTAGTCAGAAGACTCTGCGTTTTGTCATCGTCTTCACCAAGTAGGACTATATCATCGGCATATTCTAAGTCAGTAAGCGATTTTCCTGGTAGAAAGTCGACTCCTAAAAATTCAGACGAGGATAAGGTTACATCTAGCAGCATGTCTATGACAAAATTAAACAAGAACGGAGAAAGTGGACATCCCTGACGGACACCACTTGAAGTAAAGAATTCTGGTGACAGTTCGCTACAAGCTCTTACTAGACCAGTGGTGTTCGAGTAGAGAGCTTGTATAGGGTTGATGTACTTTTCTGGTACACCTTTAAACGATAGACACTGCCACAGAACCTCACGATCCGCTGAGTCGAATGCCGCCTTAAGTTCCAGGAAGACAACTATTGTAGGAGACTTATATGTATGTCTGTGTTCCAGGACCTGTCTTAATGTGAAAATGTGGTGTGAAACCAGCCTGGTTTTCTCTAGTCTGCTCTTCACGAGCACTAGTAAAGCGTCTAAGTATGATGGAGGCTAATAATTTAGAAACAATATTAGGTAGACTTATTCCGCTGTGATTGTCACAAGAAGACTTACCTTTACGACTATGATACTTTGACGGTAAATCACTTGCATCCGCTTCTAAACATTCTTTAATATCACCTAGAATAACTTCACACAATAGTAGGAGACCTTCCGGTTGAGATTGTGTTGTAAAACAATAATTTGCGGATTTACTGACAATATCAGCAAAATAAATACCTTTACCAAACATATAACCAGTGACTGGAGCATCAGGCGGTGCAATACGTAAACCTTGAGATCTAAAAAACATTGAATGATAATAATACAAACAGTATGTAAGTAAGAGAGAGAGTGAGTGAGTGAACGAGTTTAGAACATTGTGAATATAGATATCAGTGAAAGTGTATACAAATACTACAATCTATTAGTTTCGGTGACAGTTAAGTGTAGGTTTGTTGGGGATGTTAGATCCCCAAAAATTCGCTTGATAAATGCCTTATTTTGGTTTTCACGTTTGTCAGCATGGACTGATCAGTTGACTTTGAGATTTCAATTCACACCAGAAAAATCCATGGACGTGATTGGCTGCTGTGTGTTATTTTAGTGTGCTATTTTCTTAACTGTCCCAAGGACGTTTCTATGGTGATGTATAAATAAACGAGAGTTGTATGCTTGATTGTATTGTGTGATTGCTGGGTGTTTGTAGAATATACTTTCTACGCTTACAAAGCCTTTTTACTTTATTTTAGGGATTCAATGTAGCCTACCTGGACGCTGGTAATTGTCTCGTTCGCGTTTATCGACTAAGTGACGAACCCAATAAGGTTCTAGGTCCGACCCCTAGTAGAGTTGAGGAGAGCGCCCCCACTGAGAAATCCTACATTTGGATGATAACAGCTATCTAGAGCTTTTTTAATCTTCACTGACAACTAAGATCATTTCATGGTGTAAACTATAAAATTAGAAATAAGTTCACTCAAGTCAGTGTGTGTAGGGAAGCTAAGCTTCGTAAAACCGAATTACTTAGAATGGGGAGAAGTTGAATTTGTTATACTCCGACTGAAATCCCTTAGTTCAATCCATATATGAAACTTAATTGTCAAAATAAATTTTGTAAAACTAAATAAAACGCGCTGCTCATCATCAGCTTTTTAAACAAATTCATTCTCTCTCTCTCTCTAATTCCGGATTTCGACTACCAGTGTAGTGGATGCTAATCGACAACATTTTCAGCGGAGCGTTGCTCAGATGCTACTAGAGAGAAATGTGCAAATATCGAGATTCATGACGCCATCAAAGTACATTGAAGACCAGCAAGGATATGAGTGAACACATACAATAACCCGACTGTATTGAAAATAGGTCTCTGAAAAGTATATGTGCATATTTTGATCTAAGTAAGACATTAACACCGTTGGAAGTCGGCTGAGTGGTCCAGAGGTTAAGTGATCGCACTCACCAAAGGTCCAGGGTTCGACTCCTGCAAGTAGCGGAAGTTGTTGATTATTCCGATACCAGGACGAAACGACCGTCAAATGCTTTCAGGTTTCTAAGAGTGGTCTAATATTGATCTCTCCGCCTGAAGACCTTTCGAGGCTACTGCCGGTCCCAAGCCCGGACAAAGTAGGAGGGTTGGGATTAGGGTTGGCGAACGCATTCCGCAAACAAAACTAACTCGCTGACAACGCAAAGAAAATAAAAAATTCAAACCATATAGAGCCTACTCTGAGAGTCAGGTCTTCACTTAGAAGTGTTATGACGTCGTCTCATGATGAAAGCCAATTTCCTTCGGAAGTCAGGAGGCCGACGCCCTTTCTGACAACCAGAACCCTTCCACGATATGAGCAGTCAGGAAGTAATATCCACCCTCATACCCATAAAAGCACACGAGACCAAACTGGTCACAACCAAAGTAACCCAACAAACTCCAACACCAAAATAATGACAAGTTATTAGCACTGCTACTACTTTTACTACTACCATTCATCCACTTAATTTCATCTCCTTATGATGAGATTGTGCAAGAGTTGGAAATTGACGCACGCATATTTTCATAGACATCACATGATAAATATTTTCAATTAGAGCTTTAAAGATTTGTGTTTTTACACATTTAAAATCATCAATCAATTATTGTTAGACAACGATTAGAAACCTGGAAGCACTGTTTAGACGGCCGTTTCATCCTGGTATGGGACTCATCGGTGGGAGTGCACATCCACGATTCCTGCACCTCGCACGATTCGAACCCAGGACATTCGGTATTGCGCGTGAACGCCTAACCTCTGGACCACTGAGCCGGCATCCAACGGTGTTATTGTCTAACTCTGATTGATCTAGGGATTTTGCACGACCTCACCCGTTATTTGTCTTTGGTAGTTACTCCCAACATCCGACAAGGTTGAACTCCACTGGTCACACGACTTCTCAGTGCGACTCCAAGAATTTCCTCACGAAGCTAGTCACCACTAGTGAGCACAATTCGAATCCTGTGCGACTTGCAGAAGTCGTCGATGCGCACTACCACTGATGAGTAGTAGTCCCATATCAGGATGAAACATACATCTAAAACAGTGCTTTCAGGTATCTAATAGTGGTCCAACCATGATTGATTGATGATTTCAAATATTATAAATTATATCGCAAATAGGTAGAATAAATTCAATACATATGAGTTAAGAAAGAATAAAGGAGAACCTTACAATATACCCATCCAATTCGTTTGACGTGAACCATGCCATAACAGTTGTTTATTATGTTGAGCAATTTTACATTTAGCAAAACGACTGTCTTCACCATCACGATTGACTTCAAATATATTTAATACTTCTAATGTATATTGTGTATGTGTAGCACCATGTGTTTCACGGACATAATTCAATATTAGTTGATATTCTTCAGATGTACTATCTAAAGGCTGTTGTTAGTGTGTGAGTGTCAGTGTGTGTGTCGGTGTGTGAGTGTGTGTGTTTATATGAAAATAAAGAGAAAACACATGGATTCAAAATTATTGATTGGGAAAAAAATATACATATCTAATCATTTTTGAAAGTGTACAGATTAATAGCATTGTGTTGAATTTCTCAAGTTGATCAGTGCTGTCTATTACAAACGAAGGATGAACTAGTGATAGGGAGTGAAGTAGTCGAACGTGTTGAACGCTTCACTTATCTGGGGAGTCTCATCAGTGCCGATGGCCTGGTGACTGACGAAATCTCAGCGCGGATACAGAAGGCTCGATTGGCTTTTGCCAACCATAATCAACTATGGCGCAGGAGAGATATCCGTTTGCTAACCAAAGGAGGGGTGTACTACTGCGCAGCAGTTCGTTTCGTTCTCCTATCTGGCTGTGAAACATGGCCGTTAAGAGTAGAAGATGTTCGTAGGTTACTAGTATTCGATCATAGATGTTTAAGAAGCATTGCTCGTATATCGTGGGACAACCGAGTAAGCAATGCTGTCGTTAGGAAACGAGTACTAGGTAAGGATGGCAGATCAATAGATGAAGTGGTGAAACTTCATCAGTTGAGGTGGTTGGGACATGTGTTGCGTATGCCCAACCAGCAACTGCCTCGTCAAGCTATTTTTTGTGATGTAGGAGTATGTTGGAAGAAAGTTAGGGGGGCCAAACCAAAACATGGCACAAATCCATGAAGTCATTGACAAGTGGACTGAGTCATGTTGGTAGATGTAGACTACCTGGTTGAGGTCCGCGAGCCGAAAGTCACCAATGGTTAAAGAAGTTGAACGTCATGACTCAAAATCATTTGCGATGGCGCAAGTGCATCCATTCATTGTGCTCTCTCAAATCCTAATCTTCTGGATTCGTCAGCACCTCTACCTTTGTCTTTCTAACCTTATCTCACCGAATCATACTTCTTCAATAATATCTTCAAACCCTAGTCTTCTTCATGACTATTAATACCTCTTCTATCTTTATCACTATGGGATTTGATTTGACATTTGCGTCTCTGTGTACTAATGTGGTACGGCAACATGAACATACGTACATACGTACCTAGTTGTACGTTGCAACTGACTGACTGATACAAAGGAAGGATAAGTTTTACCTGAATTATAGCCTTCGCAATGTGCATTAACAAATTCAGTTGCTCCTGGATAGAAAATTATATTGGGCGTACACTACCAGGGAACTTAACCAACGAACAATGAGTGTACTACTAACAGTAGTACATCTTTCTTCCTACTATCAACTAGTACTTTTACCTATTATATGCAGTTACTTAATCAACTTCATTGTAACTATTGATTGGTTTCACAGGTTCATCATATAAATATTCATGTCTATCAGAGTAAAAGCTGATCTAATTGAAAACAACAATAATTGTTCGCTTATATCTGTGTTGCTCTAATTTTCACAATAGGAATCTCTAATATCTTAAGAATTGATATTTGTCCAATGTAAAAATTGAACAATGAGCGAAAACAGACATAATCAATTGTACTAATTATCTAAGAGACTGGTTATATGTGAAAATGATTTCGATTTGTGCGCCATTTAATAGCTAGTTGTTTGTACCTTTGTGTCTATTGTCTGATTCTTAAACACTGGTCAGATAGATGAGTTCAGTAGGTTTCGTCAAATTCATTGATTCTGTCGAATTTACTGTCCAACTTTACTTTACTGATTATCGAATGTTAGAGTTCAATCAAGGCTGTAGTCGATGTAACTTAAAGTTTACAGCAACATTGTGTATTCATTAGTAGGCGAGATATCCGTCTACTAACCAAAGGACGAGTTCACTGTGCATCAGTTCGCTTCATCCTACTTTATGGGTGTGAATCATGGCCAGTGAGAGTAGAAGATGTTCGTAGGTTACTAGCATTCGATCATAGATGTCTTAGAAGCATTGCTCGTATGTCGTGGGACAACCAAGTAAGCAACGAGTACTAGGTAAGGATGGCAGATCAACTGATGAAGTAGTGAAACTTCATCGGTTGTGGTGTTTGAGACATGTGTTACGTATGCGCAACCACCGACTGCCTCGACGAGTTTTATGTTGTAGCTGAATGACTGATTAAGAAGATAAACATATATACTTATCGTCAAACTACACAGCTATGATATTGAAATGTTGAACATTGAAAATCAGTAAAATTAATTAAGTTGACTCATAAGACGATAAGTTGTCTTTCTTTTATTCAACTCAATTACCTTTTTGCTTCGTATTCTTCAAACATTACTCCAATCAACTAGGTCCCCAAATCAGAAGATAATTTAAACATAAAAAGATTCTAGAGTCTTCTTGTTAGTGGGACATTGATGGAATTAAAGCGTGACTACGTTGCTGTGCGCTGATTGGCTAATTTCCTATCCAATCAGCGCCTGATCGATTCGTGGAGAACAGGGTAGAAGATTCTCGTATTGTTAGCTGCGTGCTGATTGGTTAAATCTAATCAAGTCGATCACGTGAATTTCTATCCAGAAGCTTTCCATGTAAATGCTATAAATGGACTAACGTTGTATCTATTTTTGGCCTTCTTCGCCTTCGCCATCACCTTGGCTTCTTATTTTCATTTAACCTTGCTATTTTGGAATATAATCTTTTCCTGTTTTTGATTCTTGGGAACTTACTTGTCCAGTGTATTGTGGTCAGAGAATACTAAGCGATAGGATTTAGCTGGGAAGTAATAAGCATACCGTTACAACACTTCTCTATTTAATCTAGCCGGTTACTAACAATAGGTTCATTCGCCACTAGTTCTGTCAGGAACCTGGAGCCCAAGAGCATCATTGGTTTGGAATCAGGGTTTCGCAACACCGGCATATCAACGCGGTTAAAATTGCCGAATACTCGTTGTTCATCCTCTCAATTCCGTGAACAACACTCTCACCACAAGAAGACAGTGAGTAGGACGTCGTCTTTGACAGTAGTGGCTAAATAAAGGCAGCCATGTGAGAACATTTGAAGAAAGAGAGAGAACTAACTCTCCTTGTTAGGATATTCATCAAATATCCTAAAGTAACTATGTTGTGAGTCTAATTCAATTGGTCAATTCCTATTGGTCAATATTTAAGGTCGTTCACATACTCTTTTAAATGTTCTTTCCTATTGGAGTTAGTATTCACGGTCGACCTAACTGTATCAATATGCATCGTCCGTACGCTCTTCTTCTTCTTCTTCTTCTTCTTCCTTTGTATAACACCTCATATTTTCTGGATGCTTGTAGTAGAATACACTTACTACACCATATCAAAACATTTTGATATCGTTAGTGGTATCGCCTTTGAGACGCTCCGATTAGCGTAGTCTATCGTGTCAAGCATAGTTCCATTGACAAGCATAACACTCCTCTCTCTCACTGTCATTCATACTGTAGTGAAGGAGAACACAGGTGAGGGCAACCGGATTGTATTTAACGAGTTACTCAGTAAGATAGGAAAACCATATCGTAAACGGTTAATCTGCAAATCATCAATCCATTGTCTGACATTTGACTATTCATGCGTTTCATACAAATTCCATTGTGTTCCCACTCTTCCTTTGTTTTGATCTCCCCTCATCTTCTGCTGCCACCAGACATTACGTTTCCAGTCGCGTCATATACTACTTATAAGTAGCGCGCACCACAGTCCTAATATACTGAACTAACCCTAAACTATCAAGTTCACATGCTCTTTTAAATGTTCTTTCCTATTGGAGTTAGTATTCACGGTCGACCTAACTGTATCAATATGCATCGTCCGTACGCTCCTCTTCTTCTTCTTCTTCCTCTGTACAACATCTCATATTTTCTGGATGCTTGTAGTTGAATACACTTTCTACACCATATCAAAACATTTTGATATCGTTAGTGGTGCCGGACTAGCGCAGTCTATCGTGTCACTGGATCACTACTCATAATCGTTTCAAGCATAGTTCCATTGACAAGCATAACACTCCTCTCTCACTGTCAACCATACTCAGTCAGTCAGTCAGATGCAACGTAGAACTTCGTACGTAAGTACATCAGTTCATGTTGCCATACCACATCAGCACAGAGATGTAATTGTCAATTCAAATCCAATAAAAGAAGAGGTAGTAAAGTTATTAGAAGTAATCGGACTGGTTAGGATCGACTACTTCACTCCCTATCACTAGTTCAGGTGCCGATGCAACCCAATCTTGAAGCAACATTTTGCATTTCGAGGATGAGAACCGCATCCCGAACATGCTTGCATTGTTGCTTAGGGTAGTCAGAAGACTCTGCATTTTGTCAGCGTCTTCACCAAGTAGGACAATGTCATCGGCATATTCTAAGTCAATAAGCGAGCCACCTGGTAAAAGGTCTACTCCTGAAAATTCAGACGAGGATAAGGTTATTTCTAAGAGCATGTCTATGATAAAATTAAACAAGAATGGAGAAAATGGACATCTCTGACGGACACCACTTGAAGTAAAGAATTCCGGTGACAGTTCGCCATAAGCTCTCACTCGACCAGTGGTGTTCGAGTAGAGGAGAGCTTGTATAAGATTAATGTACTTCTTTTTGCTACACCTTTCAATGACAGACACTGCCACAGAACCTCACGATCCACAGAGTCAAATGCCGCCTTAAGGTCCAGGAACACGACTATTGTAGGACGTCTAAATGTGTGTCTGTGTTGCAGGACCTGTCGTAGTGTGAAGATGTGGTCTATACAACCACGTCCACGTCCACGTCGAAAACCAGACTGGTTTTCTCGAGTTTGCTCTTCACGAGCTCTAGTTAAGCGTCGAAGTATTATTGAGGCCAATATTTTAGATACTATATTAGTTAGACTTATTCCCCTGTGATTGTCACAAGAAGACTTTTGTCCTTTCTTATAGATTGGGACAATCAGTGATTGAGACCAGTCGGATGGGATTACGTCCAGTTCCCAGATTCTATCTAAGATCTCAGTCAATCTAGCTGCTAAAACTGAACCACCATCCTTAAATATCTCAGGGGTCAGTCTATCAGGACCTGCAGCTCGCCCTCGTTTCAGATTTCCTAACGCTTTTTTAACTTCATTAATACTAGGGGGACTTAGGTCGATTTGCCATTCAGGATGACTGGAGATCGTGGGTAACCGAAGAGTGGCTCGAGGCCAGTTGAACTGATCCCTAAAGTGTTCTGCCCATCGATCCAGTCTCCTGGATTGAGAATGGATAATAAGACCATCCATTTCCGAGATAGTCTCACTCACATTCGGGTTCTTAATACCAGTTTCTTTAATAAGTCGGAAAAGTTGTCTACTGTTGCCGATCGCCACTGCCTTTTCCATCGCTTTTGCTTTCGCCACCCACCACTGTTCGCGGTCGTTACGTAGGCGATACACAAGACAAAATAAAAAAACAGATAATAATAATCGATAATTTTTACAACACTCACCTCTAATTTCGTATGCAGCTGATCATAATGTTCATCCAAAGGATTCCGCTTTGCATCGCCCTTAGTTTGTAACATTTTATAAGCTAATTCAATTTCCAGTAAATCTTCTAACATATGAATTTTTTGTGTAATAATTTTTTTATTATTTAATAATGGTGGTTTATGCATACCGAAATCATGTGGAATCAGCGTGTAGAAATGGGTAGATTCACTAAGTAATTGAGTTTGATTCAATGAAGATAAAGATTGTGATTTTGTTGATGTTGAATGAAGTAATTTACTTAGTGTATTCAATACACTGTAAGCTTCATGAATTTGATTACTAGATAATTTACCTAATGGCATTTTTTTTAAATCAAGCTAAGAAAAGTAAAAAGGAGAATATAGAAAAAATATGTAGATATATTATTTACATGAAAATGTGGAAAAATTTGAGTTTTAAACAATTCTAATCGGTAGAGGATATTCATTTATAGGTTATTAGTATTTGATTATAGATGTCTTTGAAGTATTCCTGGTGTAGCCTGGTACCATCGAAGTAAGCAATGGTGTGGTTAGGAAACGAGAACGAGGTAAGAATAGCATATCAATAGATGAAGTATTGAAACTTGATCAGTTGATGTAATTAGGACTGCCTTGACGAGCTATGTTTTGTGATGTGAGAGATAGGCTGGAAGAAAGCTACCAGTGACCAAACCAAAACATGGCATAAATAAATCCATGAAGTTACTGACAAATGGACTGAGTCATGTTAGTAGGTGTCAACGACCTGGTTGGAGTCCGTCAGACAATAGTCACCGATCGTTAGAGACCTAGAATGACATGGCTAAAAATCGTTTGCAATGGCACAGGTGCATCATCTTTTCTCAAACTCTAATTTTTACTATCTCTACTACTGTGCGATTTGAATTGACAATTGCACCTCTGTGCTTATATGGTATGACAACCTGAATTGATGTACGTACGTGTAAAGTTCTACATTGTTGCTAACTGACTGCTTAGTACAGAGTTCCACTAAACTAATAAAAATGAACTCCTTAAGTTATGATGAAGCAGTAGTGACCTGAAAGATCGACAAGTCTCGATTTGATATGAAAAAAAAATTAGTGAATATACAAGAACATGTGAATTTTATTGCTGATAATCTCGTATTTATAAGCTTCATTGTACTAATAACATACAGTATGGTAACTTGGAATGATGTAATACATTTGTATCAGGTTTCACTTAATGACTTATTGAGGTGTGAGATGTGTGTATGTATGTGCACTATAGACGAATAATATATGGTTACCTCTTTCATACAGCTAGCTAGCTAGCTATCAAACAATATCGTCACTGGTAAGTGACCAAATTACTATGGATATGTAATTCGATTACCGTAAGATTTTGTTTAACCTGTGAAGCGATACAATTTGACCTGCTTAATGCTACTTTTAGCATGTTTTATGTATAACTGGCATGATTTCGTTAACTTGTTTCATAGTGTATACGTTAGTATATAAATCCATATGCGCTTGACATATGTGATATAACAGTAGGTGCCTGTTGATTTCTCTTTGGATGATAGACAAACGGTAGAGAAAAGAATGTGAGTAACTGTTGAGGACATTAGATCCACAGAATTCACTTGGAAAAGGTCCTAATTATGTAATTTTATCCTGAAATTTTGAATTTCCATGTTTTCGCGCCAGTTGACCTTCAGCTCACATTTCCCACTTAGGAAACGCTTGACTTTCATTGGTTAATGGATTATTTTAGTACACTATTTTTGTGGCTCTCCCAAGGGTGTCTCTATCATTCTATAAATAAGCTTGATTTGTGTGCTTAGACATCTAGTATTTTCTGAATGCTTATAGAATACACTTTCTACGCCTTATCAAGACTTCTTGATCTAGTTGGCCTGGCCAGGGACAAACGGATGAGAATAGCCTAAAGTATCACTCAGTCATTGCTTTCGTTCCGTTTATCGAGTACGGTGAACTCGTAATAGTATTCAATCATATCATTTAACGAGCATATCAGTAACACACTAATAGGAGTTGAGCTTATATCAGTGTTTGGTCATGTCTAAGACGCTAAGTGAGTGATTCAATAGGAGACAGGGGGAAGAACTGACGTCTTCATCAATGTGATATTGATTAGCACGTACGTAAAGTAGGATGACAAAACACAAACAAATCGACTTTATTCCTCACACACACACACATACAAACAAAATAAAACAATCAACTCACTTCAAATTCAGCCATTGTCTTCTCCATAGATTTAACATCACAAATAAATTGCAAAAGTGATTGTATAGCTGGATGTAATTGACTTGGTATATTACTGATAGTTTGAATTTCATTATTCTTTGACTGTAAACAGAAAACACATTAATGTAAAATATGTACACTACAACCTGAACAGTATACAGATCAATTCTGTGGTGCAACCTGACACCCTGGTGAACCATTCACACCACATCAATACATATAATGATCATTTTTGATCCATGATCATGTCAATTGATATGCACAGCATGAACAGGCCAAGCTTACATGACTGTCAAACTCTGTTAGGATATTTACCAAATATCCTAAGAGTACTATTTTTAGAAGTATAATCCTATTGGTCGATTTTTATTGGTCAAAATTATGGTCGTTCTAACTGTCAAAGTCAAATACTTCAATCTTGTCTCTGATTGGTCATCCGGACTGTCGATGTCATTTCAAATGTTCTTTCCTATTGGTCGTCGTCCTGAACTGTCAATGTCACAGACTTTGATGCTCTTTCCTATTCGACCTAAATGCATAAATACGCACTATATGTGTAAAAGACTTCATGATTCCGTTTCCGTTCCTTGCTGCCTACTTCTTTTCTGTACTCGGTCCAATAAACAACTCCATCCAACGGTGTTGTGTTTTGATATATAGGAGATTCGGAAATAGTATTTGGGTCGTACTGGGATATTTGAATTTGGACGCCGCTAGGACTGAATAGCTACACGTAGCAGCATTATAACAAACATTATTATTATTATTACTATTATTATTATTATTTTTGGGAATGGTGATATGCAATACAGCACGCCAATGACAATAACCCTCAGGAATGTTGCAAACCAATCACCATTAGTATCAATAAAATCGGTCACCTTGCTAACCAATATGTACTGTTAGCAATACTTGCCAAAGCAATGCCAAGCAATCCACATCGTTCACAGACAACGTCAGATCTCATAGTAAACCTTTAGCTCTATATAGTAGAACAACTCATGGCATGTACATCGTATGGCATAGGATAATAAAAGACGCAGCCCAGCTTGAGGTAAATGGGCTCAAACACACTTATTACCCTTTGTCTCAATGTCGGGGCATGTTTTAAATCGCAATAGTGCAATTTGCATTTTTCCGATTATGTGAGACTTCAGTTAGGAGTAGGATCCCTTCGATAAAGCTTTCTTATAAAAAAAGAGAAGTACCAACATATCATCCCTTAACGAATAGAACCAGTGAGCTGATAGTTTTGTGGTCAAAGATAGAAAAAATTTTGCCTCGATTGTAGAAAGGACACAGGGTTCGAACCTGCAACCTATCGGTTAAAAAAACTTCCTATTCTAATCAGCTACTAACTAAATCAAGCAATTCTGATTTGTACAATCTTTTCTACCAAGTACAAATTTTTGTGTACTTGAATAGTCAAGTTGAAGGAATGATCAGATCAAGACTTCTTCCACTAGTTAATGGAGCCTGTGACAATCGGATTAGAATAGCCTATCGTGCCACTGAATCATTGGTCTTCGTTCTCGTTTACCGAGTAAGGTGAACTCGTAATGTAGTGAACGAGAATACAGGTGGGGCAACCGAATTGTATTTAGCGAAATTACAGCGTTCCTTAGTAAAATTGGAAAACCATATCGTAAATTGTTCATTTGCAAAATATCAGTTCATCATATCGAACTGGACTGTTCTTGTTGCAAAACATCAATCCATTGTCACTATTCATGCGTTTCATACAAATTCCATTGTGTTCTAACTCTTCCTTTCTTAATCTTTCCCCATCTCCCGCTGCCAGACATTACGTTTACACTCACGTCATATACTACTTATAAGTAGCTCACACCACAGTAATAGCATTCAAGTAGATCAACAACAGCATACCAGGAACCAAAAAACAAATATATTTAAGCCTTGTGGCGAACGTTTAACCGTTGGAATCACCTAGTCAGACTCCAATATTACAACGACACATGTTATTGATATTTGAAATACAGAAAAACAATCACTCTCAATACCATTAATGGCAATCACAAGGTTCAAACATTATAAGCTTCAACATGTAGTTTAAACTGATGTTTAAGGACACCACGAATAACATTTCGTAAACTCAGAAAAAGTTTGCGTCAGCGGTACAAGATGACAGAGATTTAGTCGTGGAGATGATAGAAGAGTTATTCAGAGCGAGGTAACTACTACTACTACTAGTGGCAATGGCACCACAATTGTGGTAACAGAATACAATCAATCATTTTACAAGCTAAAAAAAAATTTAACAAGCTCACTTACAGAATTATAATCTAATTCCAGTTCATAAAATTTATGTGGTATTTTATGAAAATTTTTACGATTCTCCCATTCATTTCCAGTTTTATGAAAATAAATCTCTTTAAACATTGAACGAGCCGAGTTGGCATTAGGGAATGATTCTGTTTTACTGCCGCCAATCGATGTACCAATACGACCCCATGCACGAAATATCCAACAACGTGATGATTTATCCGATTGAAGTGCTTGCAGTCTACAATAACAACAACAACAACACATATACACAGGGGGGAAGAGGATAAAATATTGAAGTTGTTTGATGGATTGGAAACCTGGAAGAACTGAAAGACAGTCCCGACCGAAGCTGCTACCTTGACGTGGTGATCGAGCTTGCCTATCGTCATGACCCAACCGAGATATAGTGGCTGGAACATACGTTCCTTTACAAACTACCAAGCCAGGCAGGTTAATTAGAGAACGGTGAGACTAAAAGCGGCAACTCAAGGTCTGAGGGCAAAGTCGTACTGCTCAGTGTGGAGGGGCGTGACAGCAGTAAGGTGTTTCCCTCGGACAACCAGCATCTGCAGCGATGCTGCCTTCTCACAAGGAAGGAAGGGTTAGAAAAGATCGACCCAAAAAATCTCACACCTCACCCTACCTCACGGATTTCCGTCTCCGGTGGTAAGGGTGCCCACTAAAGGCTTTCAAGAGCGGAGCTAACACTCAAAAAACTTCTCATAAAAAAGCCGTGCGCGACCGGCCTCAAGCAGTTGTCCCTTGGACTCTGCGGACACGCACCCAGGTCTCTAAGACCAACAGTAATCTATCTTCCTTTTCAGGTCCCTCAAGAAATAACCTTCCACGGCGTGAGCAGTCGGGAAGTGATAACCGCCCTCATACCCGTAACAGCACACGAAACTGACTGAAAGACAGTCGTCTCATCCTGGTATGGGACTCATCAGTGTGCATCCATGACTTCTGTTACTCACATGACTCTAGTCCAGGACCTTCAGTCTGACGCACGAACGCCTAACCTCTGAACTATTGAGCCGGCATCCAGCTTCGATCAATCCAGTCATGAATGCACACTGATAACGAACCGCATACTAGGACAATACGGCCGTCCAGTGCTTCCAGGTTTTAATGGTGGTTCAACGTTGATTGATTCACGATTCAAAAGTAACTCAACAATCTCCACAACCTTATAATACAAATTATCAAGTGCTCACTAGTCACTAGCTCCTTGAGGAAGTATCTCCGAATTCTAGTGATAAGTTGTGACAAGCGAAGTTCAATCCGTGTCGGTCTCACCGAAAACAATGGATGAGGTTGCTTAAGATAGAGCATTGATCGAATTTAGATAATAATAATAATACCGTTGTGGTCCAGAGTTCGAGCACAAGACCGGAGGTCCTGGTTTCGATTCCTGCGATTAGCGTAAGTTGTGCATATACACGTGCTGTTAAGTCTCGAACCAGGATGAAACGACCTTTAACTGCTCCAAGGTTTCTGATTTTGATCAACTGGCAATTTCAAAGTAACTCAACAATCCTCACAACCCCGACGATCTGTACATCCTCCAAAACTTTTCCATCAAAACTGTATGATTTCGTTGATACATGTTATGTTGTATCAGCAGATCATGCGTTTCCACTTGTGTATATCAAGACAGAATCATACTCACACATTGTCCTCAGCCACACTTCGGTCACCCACAATCCCAAGTCATCCTGAATGGCAAATCGATTTAAGTCCTCCCAGTCTACATGAAGTTAAGAAAGCTATAGGAAATCTAAAGCGAGGTAGAGCAGCAGGTCCTGATAGGCTTACCCCTGAGATGTTTAAGAATGGTGGTCCAGTTTTAACAGTTAGACTGACCGAGATCATAGGTAGAATCTGGGAACTGGACGTAATCCCATCTGACTGGTCTCAATCACTGATTGTCCCATTCTATAAGAAAGGACAAAAGTCTTCTTGTGACAATCACAGGGGAATAAGTCTAACTAATATAGTTTCTAAATTGTTAGCCTCCATTATAATTAGACGTCTAACTAGAGCTCATGAAAAGCAGACTAGAGAAAACCAGTCTGGTTTTCGACCTGGACGTGGTTGTATAGACCACATCTTCACACTACAACAGGTCCTGGAACACAGACACACATTTAGACGTCCGACAATAGTTGCGTTCCTGGACCTTAAGGCGGCATTTACTCAGTGGATCGTGAGGTTCTGTGGCAGTGTCTGTCATTGAAAGGTGTACCAAAGAAGTACATTAACCTTATACAAGCACTCTACTCGAGTGAGAGCTTATGGAAAACTATCACCGAAATTCTTAACTTCAAGTGGTGTCCATCAGGGATGTCCACTCTCTCCATTCTTGTTTAACTTTGTCGAAGACATCCTCTTAGAGTTGACATTAAGCTCGTCAGATTTTTCAGGGGTTGACCTTCTACCAGGAAAATCGCTTACTGATCTAGAATATGCCGATGACATAGTTCTATTCAGTGAAGAGGCTGACAAAATGCAGAGTCTTCTGACTACCAAAAGCAACAATGCAAGCATGTTCGGGATGCGGTTCTCACCCTCGAAATGCAAAATGTTGCTTGAAGAATGGGTTGCATCGGCACCTGAACTAGTGATAGGGAGTGAAGTAGTCGAGTGTGTTGATCGCTTCACCTATCTGGGGAGTCTCATCAGCGCTGATAGCCTGGTGAATGACGAAATATCAGCTCGGATACAGAAGGCTCGATTGGCTTTTGCTAACCTGCGTCACTTATGGCGTGGGCGAGATATCCGTTTGCTGACTAAAGGACGAGTGTACTGTGCAGTGGTTCGCTCCATTCTTCTATATGGATGCGAAACATGGCCGTTAAGAGTAGAGGACTTTCGTAGGTTAGTAGTGTTCAGTCGTCGGTGTATTAGAAGCATTGCTCGTGTATCCTGTGACAACCGAGTAAGCAATGCTGTCGTTAGGAAACGAGTACTAGGTAAGAATGGCAAATCAGTAGATGAAGTAGTGAACCCTCATCAGTTGAGGTGGTTAGGACATGTGTTACGTATGCCTAAAAACTGACTGCCTCGACGAGCTATGTTTTGTAGTGTAGGAGTAGGTTGGAAGAAAGCTAGAGGCGGCCAGACCAAAACATGGCGGAAATCCATGAAGTCACTGACAAGTCGACTGTGTCATGTTGGTAGATGTAGACTATCACCTGGTTGAGGTCCACGAGACGAAAGTCACCAATGGTTAGAGACCTTGAATAACGTGTCTCGAAATCGTTTGGAATGGCGCAAGTGCATCCATTCGTTGAGCTCTCTCAAATCCCAATCTTCTGGATTCGTCAGTACCACTACCTTTGTCTTTCTAACCTTATCTCACTTAATTATACTGCTTGAATAATCTCTTCGAACCCTAGTCTTCTTCATTACCATTAATAACTCTACTATGTTTATCACTATGGGATTTGATTTGACATTTGCATCCCTGTGTACTAATGTAGTGGTATGGCAACCTGAACACTGATGTACATACGTACAAAGTTCTACGTTGCAACTGACTTGACTTGACTTGACTTACACATGTATAATTAACAACAACAAAAAATAAATGTATCACCATAAACATGTTGCTTACTTGTAAAATGAATTAGATCCTTTAATTAAATCAACCATCCCTAATACAGCTGTCATTAATTCACCTGTTTCATCTTTCAATACCGAAGCTTTATCGACTAGTTCAGATTGTGGATCAACTACTGCACCATTTTTCAGTGTCAATCGCATAATTTCTTGTTCAGTATTAGCATTTATCGATGATGAGGAGTTGTTCAACTCTTTCTTCTCCAATTTTTCAACTAAAAAAGAAGCAAGTACATGAGTAAGTGAGTGAGGAAGTGAACATCAATGAATAATTAATAGTTACGTAATTATAGGGGGGAAATGTAGAAAAGAAATGAAAGTCTAGGTTGAGTATAGTTTATTACTCATATTATGTAAACGAGCGCCTTATTTATCTTATTTTATAGGGAATTGGAAGTTAATACTAAAAGTGTTATGCATGCAAGTCACTGTGTCAATTGATATGCTTGAACTATGACGAGTTTACCTTATGTTGGGAACGTTAGATCCCTAGAACTCGACTGGTAAATGCCTTATTGTGGATTTCACGTTTGCGAGCATGGGTTGATTAGTTGACCTTGAGATTTCATTTCCAACCAGGAAAATCCTTGGCTGTGATTGACTGTTGTGTATTTTAGTGTGTTATTTTTGTGACTGTCCCAACGACGTTTTTATGATGTATAAATAAACGAGATTTGTGTGCTTGAAAGCATTGTACTTGTTGGGTGTTTGTAGAATATACTTTCTACGCTATATCAAGACTTCTCTTTAGCCGTTTCGGATCAAGGTAGCCTATCTCGACGATGGTTCATTGTCTCGTTTGTGTTTATCGACTAAGGTGAACCCGTAATGGTTTCGAGGATACATAAGGACGAACTTAACACCTTAGTCGGTAAACGACAGCAAGGATCCATTAATCCGGTGATACGATAAGCTAGGAATTTTTGAAACATACAGTGTCCAAACAGTTTGTATCTTAATAATAAGCTATCAAGTAGAATATAGGTAACATTTAGTTAATAGGACACTTGAAATTTGATAAACACTAGAAAGATTAAAGAATGTGGATGATGATTTACGATAGTTGATATCAAAAGAACTAACTGCATACATACTCATTTATATAAAGCTACAAGTGTTACGTATGCCCAACTACCGACTGCCTCGACGTGCAATGTTTTGTAGCGTAGGAGTAGATTGGAAGAAAGCTAGGGTTGGTAAAACTAAAACATGTCACAAATCCATGTAGTCACTGACAACTGAATTGAGTTATGTTGGTAAATATAGACTACTTGGTTGGGGTGTCCGCAAGATGATAGTAATCGATGGTTAGAGATATTGAATGACATGTCGCAAAATAGTTCGAAATGGTGCAGGTGCATCCATTCTTTGTTCTCTTACTGAATCCCTAAATTTATTTTACTCGATTATACTCCTTGAATAACATCTTCGAATCCTCCGATTACTGCTAATACTTCTACTACCTTGACTACTATGGGATTTGAAGTGAAAATTACATCTCTGTGCTAACGTGGTATGGCAACTTGAACTGACTTACGTAAGTATGTACGAACTTCTGCGTTGTAACTGATTAACTAACCAACCTATGATGAAAAATAATATTCAAAGAGCAGTTTTTTGATCATGTCAGGTGGTTAGAAGCAGTCAGTAACAAACCTTGTCTCATTTGACTTTATTCCAATTGGAACTTGTCAGTAAACTGTATCTTTTCACAACTGATATATCCTGTAAGATTCGAACACATGTTAACCAAGCTTAAACAGTCTGAAATGTGACCAAAGTACTATTCGGTCTGTGTTTAATGATAAACTGATGTTCGCGAGGAACCAAAACCACTTCAAATGCTAATTAAGATCTATGTTGAGTATAGTGCAATATAGAAACCATAATCAAATGCGAGCTATCACTTTTTCCTCAGAATGTTGTCAATGTCCTTTCCTTTGTTCGAATACGCCCGGTTCTTTTGTGTAAACTTTATAAATGACAGCTAGCTAGCACATAACACACTTGAACAATTTATCGCTAACACACAAGAGGAGGATGAAATGTAGAAAAATTGAAGATATTCCGGTTCACAAGACTCAAGATGATATAACATAAATTTGACCCATACAAAATCAGTAAACCGAAACGACTACTGACAAACAATCGGAAAAATGGCGCAAAGGTCACACAAAAAATTAAAATTACTGTCATGACCGTCAACAAACACTCAAGTCACAATTTTCAATACAAATGTCAAGACAGATCTACAGTATGGGACAAAAACTTGAAGAACTACCGAAGCCATCATCTAGAAGATACAAAATACTTCGAATTCGTTGGCCAGACATCATCAGCAACAACCTTCTGTGGGAGAGAACAAACCAGATTCGAGCGAAGGAGGAAATCAGGAAGAAGCAGTGGAAGTGGATAGGACACACACTACGAAAAGCACCTAACTGCGTCACAAGACAAGCCCTCACTTAGAACCCTCAAGGTCAAAGGAAAAGAGAAAGGCCAAGGAACACATTACGCCGAGAAATAGAGACAGATATGAGAAGAATGAACAAAAATTGGACAGAACTGGAAGCCCAGGAGAGAGTAAGTTGGAGAATAGTGGTAGGCGACCTATGCTCCATTTGTGGCAACAGGCGTAAACTAAGTAAATAAGTAATATGAAATGATCATTTCAGAAATACTCAACTCACTTTTTGATAATACTGAATTTAAAACTTTCAATATCTTTTTGTGTGTAACGAAACAATACACATAAAAATCAGTGTAACAAACATATCCAATAAAAACACTACATATATATATATATATATATATTTATATTTATAATTACCTTTCAATGGACGAGCCTTTCAGTGAGAACAATCCCAGTAGTAGTGATAGAGTTGTAATAAAACCATAGAGAAGGAGAAAGAGAACAAATGGATAGGATGAAATAGGGAAAGCGAGACTAAAAAAAACAATACTCTCATATATGTCAGTAAATGGTGTACACCTGCTTGACACTGAAGCAATATATATCTGCAACGATGACCAATCGAATCTGATAGTCTGCATGAACTGACCAAGGCAATTCAGTTCAATTGTCAATTATTTAATGAACCTATTGATGCCAAGATCTGGGTCTGACCATCCCATCTGCCTAGATTACTACGTCAAGGTAGGCGGTTTAGTCAACGATGATGCATAATACATGTTCGAACTATGTTAGTCAATCAAGATTCACGGCTTCATCAATCAATTTTTTCATGTTTACCCACCAACCTACATTGAAACATTAGGATTGTTCACCCTCAACAGTTGTATTATACACAACCGATGCTTTGAAGGTATCTATGAGCAAATATACTAATTCGCTTACGAATATCCCCTATTTTTGAAAGCTACATCTCATTGCTATGAATTAGAACAGAATGAATCGATGTGTAGTACGCTAGTTAGGTAAAACGGACATCTCGCCGACACTACAATTGATGTAGTCTGATATTTCTCATAGTTGGAATGATAGATTTGTAGAGATTGATCGAATTAAGAGACAGTTTGCATCATTCAAGACAGCTACTTCTGCAAGTACTGTGACCTTTCAGAAGTGTTTTTACACCAATAATAATACTACTATGGACAGAATCCAAGAACTTTGAGTCGGCTTACAGTAACTAACCCTTTTCATCATCTGATAACACTGAGATTATTTATGGTACTACTCAGCGGATGAGAGTCAACGCTATTGCACTTACTTACTTACGCCTGTTACTCCCAATGTAGCATAGGCCAATGATCAGTATTCCCCAACCTACTCCGTCCTGGGCTTCCCTTTACACTTCTGTCCAAATATTGTTCATTCCTCTCATATCTTTATCTATTTCTCGGCGTAATGTGTTCCTTGGCCTTCGTCTTGTCCTTTTGCCTTGAGGGTTCCATGTGAGGGCTTGTCTTGTAACGCAGTTAGGTGCTTTCCGCAATGTGTGTCCTATCCACTTCCACCGCTTCTTCCTGATTTCCTCCTCCACTGGAATCTGGTTTGTTCTCTCACACAGTACGTTGTTGCTGGTGGTGTCTGGCCAACGGATCCGAAGTATTTTGCGTAGACAACTGTTAATAAACAAGTATGTCTTCCGGATGATGGCTTTGGTAGTTCTCCAAGTTTCCACTCCATACAGTAGAATTGTCTTGACGTTTGTATTGGAAATCCTGATTTTGGTGTCGATTGATATTTGTTTGGAGTTTCAGATATTTTTCAACCGTAGAAATGCAGCCCTTGCTTTGCCGATCCGCGCTCTCACATCTGCATCAGATCTACCTTTATCGTCGATGATGCTGCCCAGGTATGTAATGATGTTAACGTCCTCCAAGGCATCTCCATCAACAGTGATTTGGTTAGTGCATGTTGAGTTGCATCGCAGAATCTTGCTTTACCCTTTATATATGTTGAGACCTGTCGCTACTGAGGCTGCTGCTACACTGGTCGTCTTCTCTTGTATTTGTTGTTGCGTGCGAGACAGAAGAGCCAAATGATCTGCGAAGTCCAGATCGTCCAGCTGCGTCCTAACTGTCCAGTTGATACCGTGCTTCCCTCCAGATGTTGAAATCTTCATAATCCAGTCGATCACCGGGAGAAAGAGAAAGGGTGAGAATAAGCAACCATGCCTGACATCGGTCTTCATCTCGAACGATTCCACGAGCTGTCCTTGATGGACAATTTTGCATTTGAGTCCATCATAAGAATTCCATATGGTGTAGATTATCTTCTCAGGCACGCCATAGTATTGGTAGAAGCCTCCATAGAGTTATCCCATCCACACTATCAATTACTTTCACATAGTCAATCAAGTTGATTCTAGAGTGGCGAGTTCTATTCAAATTGATTATTCCACAATGATTCGTAATGTTACAAATTGAAATAAACATTGCCTATTCAATCAGACAAAAAAATGCAACGCAATTACAATAACCATACGAAAACCTACCTTAACTTCCCAATTACATATAGTATGTTTAACTAATAGGTGTTGAATTTTAGATTCCAACTTTTTAACATCTAATTTATCTGGATTAATTTCTGCCAAGAATTGTTCACCAATCACACGTAAACCATATGAACGTGCTAATGTTAATGCTTCTTTTGTTGAAGAAATTTTACCGTCATCAATACCATTTTGTTCCATTTCTTGTAATTCATTCAATGTAGACACAACAATAGATTTATCACTTAACTATAATATGATAAAGAGAAAAAAGTTATTAGTTATCAATTGAATGACTGCAATGGAGTTTGGTTCTCTGAACTTTGGATGTTATTTTTTAGTTGTGGAGCTTGCATTATTGTTCTCCTGTTGAACGACAACATCAGCAGCAGTAGCACAAACTTCAAGTAGAAGAAGTGAAGAGTATTTGAATTTCTTCATGTAGTATTGTAGTGAATGAGAACACAGGTGAGCGCAACCGAATTGTATTTAACGAAAATTACAGAGTTACTACTCAGTAAAATTGGAAAACCATATCGTAAATCGTGTTAATTTGCAAAATATCAATTCATCATATCGAACTGGACTGTTGTTCCTGTTGCAAAACATCAACAATCCATTGTCACTCACTATTCATGCGTTTCATACAAATCCCATTTTTTTGTTCTAACTCTTCCTTTCTCTTGATCTTCCCCCATCTTCTGCTGCTGCCAGACATTACGTTGACACTCACGTCATATACTACTTATAAGTAGCTCACACCACAGTATGACCCGTAACTTGTACTGTTTAACTACGATCTTAATTGATTGTGTTATATTAACAATAATAGCTTATCAGAGAACGAAACTCCATCACAGCAGTTATATTAATAATAGTGTGGTGGCCCATATCACGTCGGGCTCACCAGATTTGTGGTGGCCGATTTCGACGTGTTCTTTAATCTTCGTGATTAGCTCGTCCAGACAATTGTTACTAACTAGCGTCTGACGGTTTATAAATCAGAAGGTGAACATAAAGTGTTAAAATACGTTTATTTTTTGACGCACCACAAATAGAACAGGCTAGTGAGCCAACTTCACTTCATTCGCCTATTCACTCGCTTGCTTGCTTTCCGGTACTCGTATGACGATTTTATCTTTTTTTAGCGCTTATAGTCTGCTGTTCTATTTGTGCTATGTCAAAAATAAACGTATTCAACACTTCGAATTCACCTTCTGATTTATAAACAGTCAGAAGCTAGTTAGTAACGATTGTCTGGACAAGCTAATCACGAAGATTAAAGAACACGTCGAAATCGGCCATCACAATAGTATGATTATGGAACTTCTAGAATTTTTAACAAGTAGTCAATCAATACGTGAAAATTTACAGGTTTAATGGTAAACATCAAATGGTAGAATAAGTCAATGAGGTGAAATTTGAAAAAAATCTATATATTCAGTTCAAGTGACATGACTTTCAGTAATATTGTGTCGGGGGATGAGTTCGACTATAGAAACACCCGAATTTTCTAGATACACAGAAAAACATTTTCAAGAATGCAAGAGAATTAGTAGAAGATTGATACTCTTCTGTTTAGCGTTCTTTTGGCAAGTTAGTTTTTTGACGGGATGGGGTCGCCAACCCCATGCCCAACCCTCCTCCTTTATCCAGGCTTGGGACCGGCAGTAGCCCCGAAGGGTCTACAGGCGGAGTAGTAGATTGATAGAGAGAGAGAGAGAAACAATCAACGCATAGTACGATAAAGGTTAAACATATATATATATATATATATATATATATATATGGTCCGAGGACAGCCGAAGTGTTGGGGACGTTAGATGTCACAGAACTCACTTGGAAAAGGTTCTAATTTTGTAATTTACCTCTGAAATTTTGAATTTTTATGTTTTCGCGCCTAAGACGCTTATTCTAATCTTCAGCTTGCATTTCGCACTCGGGAAATCCTTGTCTGTCATTGGTTGATGGACTATATTAGTACGTTATTATTTTATGACCCTCATCAAAGGTGTTTTATCAATCGTATAAATAAGCTTGCATTGTGTGCTTGTAGAATACATTCTCTACGTCTTATCAAGACTCCTTCTTCTGGTTAGTGGAGCCTGGGACGATCAAATTAGAGTAGTCTATCGTGTCCTTGGATCGCTGTTCTTCGTTCCATTTACCGAGTAAGGAGAACTCGTAATAGCTACAAGCATATCATTTGGCGAACATATCACGAACTAGACAGTCAACTTCAATACAAGGACTAACAATCGGGGGGGAAAACGGGATCTACGAAGATCACTAATCACAAACAAGGACACTAGAACGAAATGAAATTAACCAATGAGTTTGTAAGTATCAAATGAGAAGATTTACACAACAAATACAAGTAGGTCTTTGCGTCCATTTAAGAGTGTTAACACTCATATCAACTTTAAATACAATCGATCAATGTTAGACACCTGGAAGCACTAGACAGCTAGTTTTTCCTGGTATGGGACTCCTGAACAGTGCCAACCCACGATTCCACAAGAGGGAATCGACCTTCGGTTTTGCTCATGAACACTCGACCTCTCACAATAATTTGAGGCGTATGCACCTCAATCTAACGTTTTATGACAATATACTTATGTTATATTGCACAGAATAGTGCGGGAAGTCAGAGAATGTTAAGCTATTAAACTACTCATTATACAACTTTTATTTAACATCTAATTTTTATTGATCTGTCATCCCTACATAGTAGACCGTATCTTCAAAACAGCATTGCTTACTCAATGGTTCCAGGATATACGAGCAACGCTTCGAAGAAACCTACAATGAAATAGTAGTGACCTACGAATATCCTCTGCTCTTGATGTCCATGTTTCACATCGAAATATTTGGGTGCAGCGAACTGGTGCACAGTACATCCATCTATTGGTTAGTAGACGGATATCTCGCTTAAGCCAAAAATGACACAAGTTGGCATCAGCCAGTCGAGTCCTTTGAATCCGTGTTGAGATTTCATCACACACCAGGCAATCAACACTGATGTGAATCCCCAGGTAAGTGAAGCGGTCAACACGCTCAACTTCTTCACTCCCTATCACTAGTTCAGGTGCTAATGCAAACCATTCCTATAACAAAATTTTTCATTTCGACGGGTAGAATCGTATCACGAACACGCTTAATGTAGACGTTACACTCCTGAAAATTCAGATAATGAAAGTGTCATATCTGAAAGTACATTAGGGATAAAATATGGAGAAAGTAGACAGTACTGATTGACACCACTTGAAGTTGTCGATTCCGATGACAGTTTACCGTAAGCTCTCATCGGACCAGAACTGTTTGACTGTTAAAAGAAAAACATGTATGCTACATTTCGGCCTCTGTTTACAATATTCACCAAAAACAGAGTCTGAGTGTAGCCCACATTTATCATCAATGTAAGCCATCATCACTACTGCAAGGTGAAGCATCAAACCAAGCAGCTCGGCTCAGGCTAATCAAACAAATAAATATACAAAATAGCTTGTTACACTCAAAATCATTTGATACTGTGGTCAAAATGCATCAACCATACGAAACCGTGAAAATCAAAATGGAGGTCTCAACAGTCGGTCAGTTAGCTATAGCGTAGGACTTTGTGAGAGAGGTAGAAGTACGAGCAGCAATCGGAAAGATTAAGGTTTGAACGAGTAGAGACCAATGATATCAATTTTAGAAATGAAAGATGTATGTCGTGAGTAATAAGGCTTAGAATTTCATAGAACACAAAGAGTTGATGCACTTACGCCATTGCAAACGATTCTGAGTCATATCGTTCAAGGTATCTAACCATTGATGAGTTTCGTCACGCGGACCCCAACAAGGTAGACTACATCTACCAACATGACTCAGTCCACTTATCAGTGATTTCATGGATTTGTGCCATGTTTTGGTTTAACCGCCCCTATCTTTCTTCCAACGCACTCCTACATCGTAAAACATAGCTCGTCGAGGCAGTTGGTGGTTAGGCATACACAACACATGTCCCAACCACCTCAACTAATTTAACTGATTGAATGATCAGTAATAACAAGCAAACGTAACTACTCTCCACTAACGACAAGTACACAAAAGTACTATTCCAAATAGATGATAAAAAAAAATGTAATTATCTAATAATCATATAATGAACATATCACATTCAAAGGAACTAAAAGGGTAGGAGGGAAGATGTCACTTCCAGACTGCCCACAACGCCGAACGCTATTTCATGAGGAACCTGACAAAGAAGTTGGATTAGCGTTCGAATTATCAACCTGAGAGCGTGATCGCAGAGCTCAAGAGACAAGAGGTTCCTCAAGAAACAACCTTCCACAGTGTAGGCAGCCAGGAAGTGACAACCGCTCCCTCATACCCGTGTAACAACAGACACCTATGATCGCATACATAATATATCCAATCTCAAATTAAAACTCAAATCCCCAAAACAGACAAACAGACATACTCAATTTTCTGAAATGCCTGTTGAAACTTTGTGTTCTCGCAGATTTCGTCAAGAAGAAAAACTTCAACACAATAATAATAATGAATAAAGAATGAAAATGCAATGAATATGCATTACTTTAGTTACAATAGCACCGCCTAAATTAGCTATGGTACGTATTAATTGTTCTTTTGTTTGTCCACTCTGATTAAATGGTCCATTTGTAATGTAGAAAAATAAACCAGTCAATGGACCTGTGACATCCGATACAGAATCTGGTGGAAATAATCGAGTACGTTTGATATATTTGTAATTCTTTCTGTGAATAATAAATAATAATAAAAAAGGTTTAAAACAAAAAATGTAAACTTTGAAGGACAACATGACAAAAGGTTAGAAAAATCAAAGATGCCAAAAGCTTTACAGCTTTCAATCATACTGTCAAGTGTTCGAACCATATAGGCATCGAATTCGTGTGATGTAAATGTGACAGGTGTAGTACAAATCAAAGTTACATAATTATATAACTTTATCATACTGTGGTGTGTGCTACTTATACGAACGATATAAGTAGTATAAGAAGGGATGTGAAAGAAGAACTCTCACGGTCAGAAGAGGAAAACGGAAAGCAAATGGAGCAAAAGCAAGAAGGAAATGGAGTAGTACCAACAGGAAGTAAAGGAAGCAACAAAAGGAATCGAAGAAGAAGGATGGAGCGTTGGAAGTCACGACTCAAAGATGGTGTGCAAATAGAGTGTTCAATGTAATGTTTTCGTTTTTAATTGACTAAGAGTGTAAATTTGCTAAATACAATCTATCGAGCCTGCCTCAGTCTTCACAATACTACTAAACGTATGTTTAGTAGTAAAGAATTTATTTTCAAGAAAAAAACTTCCCTGCTTTTAGTCCATCGTTATACAACCGATCTGCTGGAGATAGTACGAACTCAATAAACAAGTACTTTTAGGCTAATATAATCGATTGAAGGAATGATAATGACAGACAAATGTAACTAATCTACTGACGACAAGTACACAAAAGTACTATTCCAAATAGATGATAAAAAAATGTAATTATCTATTCATAAAATAGTGAACATATCCAAAGGAACTAAACGGGTATGAGAGCGGATGTCACTTCCCGGTTGTCTACACCGAAGAAGAATGTTTCTTGAGGAACCTGAAAAAGAAATTGGATGAGTGTTGGACTTATCGACCTGAGAGCGTAGTCGCAGAGCCCAACGGACTAGTGCTTGGGGCCGGTCGCGCACATGCTTTATGAGGGAAGTTTGATCCAAGTGTTAGCTCCGCTCTTGTTAAAAGGACTTACCGCCTGAGACGGAAATCCATGAGGTAAGGTGAGGTTTGACGTTTTTAGGGTCGACCTTTTCCAACCCTTTCCTTTTTTGTGAGAAGACAGCATCGCTGCAGATGCCGGTTATTCGAAGGAAACACCTTACTGCTGTCACAACCCACAACAGTCAGCAAACCACTTCGCTCTCAAACCTTATGTTGCTGCATTTAGTCTCACTGTTCTCCAATCAACCTGCCTGGCATAATAGAACCTACAGGAATATATGTTCCAGCCAATATAGCTCTGTTGGGTCATCACGATAGACAAGATCGACCATCTCGTCAAGGTAGCAGCTACGTTCGGGCAAAGGAACTAAAACAATTAGTCGATATAACTTTCAAGTTACACTTATTTATAAAACCTTTATCAGCACTAGCTTAAAAATAGAACAAATCAAAAACGATACATGAAACTTGAGTAATATGGGTTTAGGATGATAACATCTTAGTAACAGCAGGTAGAGCATGAATCTTCAGTTTTGTAAGGATTATAAATATGCCTCTATTGACGAGTATCAAGTAAAATGATTAAGCTACATTTTCTTTTGCTAACTGAGCTTATTACCCTCTTCATGGAGCATAGACTGCCGCCTAGCAGCCTTATCGGTTCTCCTTTCCAATTGTTCTAAAGTGGTATTCATTCTCTTGATGTATGCTTTTAATATTATCATCTATAAACACTAGATTTTACCATAATAAAACTTGTCATGCGTACCAAAACACCGAGTTCAGAGAACCAAACACCACCACCAAAACGTACCTAGCAGCAAGACCTACAGTCATACAATCACAGACAATAAAGAGGCCTGGCACATTTATATACAGTTGCGTGTACATCAACATTCCCGATAATGTACATAAGTTATATCACACATGTCAGGATGAGTCAGTCAGTTACAACGCAGAACTTCAGGTTGCCATACCACATTAGTACAGAGACGCAATTGTCAATTCAAATTCCATAGTAGTAGAAGTATTAGCGGTAATCGGAGACATTATTCAAGAAATACAGTCCAGTGAGATAACTTCAGAAAAAGAAAGATAGAGATGATGAGGAATTCAAAAGATTAGAATTTCAAAGAACACAAAGAATAGATGCACCTGCACCATTGCAAATGATTTTAAGCCATGTCTTTCAATGTATCTAACCATCGGTTACTATATCAGAATAAACCACGTATAAAAACACATGACAGCCTAGACTCAGATTTACATCAATTCTAATTGTATCTCAATGACTGAATAATATATGTGCTATGTAAGGATGACATATCAACAGAAACTGTATCAGTTGAGGTGGTTGAGACATGTGTTACGTATGCCTAACCACCGACTACCTCGACGAGCTATGTTTTTCTGGTGTAGGAGTAGGTTGGAAGAAAGTTAGGGTCAGCCAGACCAAAACATGGCACAAATCCATGAAGTCACTGACAAGTGGACTGATTCATGTTGATAGATGTAGACTAACTGGTTGGGGTCCGTGAGACGTAAGTCACCAATGGTTAGAGACCTTGAACGACATGGCTCAAAATCGTTTGCAATGGCGCAAGTGCATCCATTCGTTGAGCTCTCCCAAATCCTAATCTTCTGGATTTGTCAGCACCTCTACCATTTGTCGTTCTAAGCTTATCTCACTGAATTATCTTCAAACCCTAGTCTCCTTCATTACCATTAATACCTCTAATATCTATATCACTATGAGATTTGATTTGACATCTGCGTCTCTGTGTGTGCTAATGTAGTGGTATGGCAGCAACATGAACTGATGTACATACGTACGAAGTTCTACGTTGCAACTGATTGACTGACTAACTGATTAATATATAATATATCCAAAACCATATTACACAATATGTAGACACTAAACATTACACTTTATACTGTCATCACTGAAAGTTTTTCTCCATAACAACAACATGAATCAACTATCGAATGGCATAACAATTCGAAATGTAGCAAGCAAATAAATAAACTTAACTTACAAAAAATCAACATCATAATATTCTTGTGGAATTTTAAATTTTTTCCTATCCGGTATACGTGTTTGATAAAGGCACTGGACCCATTCCGTGGCCATTGCACTACATTTATACTGTCCATTATTATAATGTAATGGACCATTTTTACAACTAGGACATAATGATAAAGCACCAAAAATCATTGCATCAGCCACTGCATCTAATAGACGAGATAAACCAGATGGAATATGTTGTTTATTGTATTCCAAGAGGCCAATTAATGCTTCTTTTGAGACTTGATTTTCTAATTTATCACGTAAACTCCATAATAGTTTATTTTGTTTGCGTAATTCATCCTGGAATACAATAATATATTTATACAAATATATATATATATATATATATATATATATATATATGTACATTCAGTTGACAGAATGTTTGATCAGCAGTGCACAACCACGACTCCTGCACCTCGCGGGATTCGAACCCAGGACCTTTGGTCTTACCCGCGAACGCATAACCTCTGGACCACTGAACCGGTATCTAACGATGTTAATGTCTAACTTCGATCAATTGAAGGTTTTGGTCAACCTCACACACTGTCTTCGGTAGTTACTGTGTACACTCGAACAAGGTTGATCTGCAATGGTCACGTTGGATACCGGTTTAGTGGTCCAGAGATTAAGCGTTCGCGCGCAAGATCGAATGTCGTGGGTTCGAATCCTGAGAGGTGCAGGAGTCTTGGTTGCGCACTGCTGACGAGTCCCATACCAGGACGAAACAGCCGTTTTTCAGCGCTTCCAGGTTTCTAATGGTGATCTAACATTGATCGATTCATGATTTCAATGAGTAACTTAACAATCTCCACAACCCCATAATGGGATTTAAAATGAGGTTCTATGGAATTTGATTTGATCTTTAGGTTGTGTTCGTCAGGAATTGGTTAGAGTTTAGAAACAGATGGAATAGGTGGTTTGTTCTAATATGGAACTTTACAGGAGCGCGCATGCACGATTCTGTCAGTGGTGAAACCAAAGGAACTGTAGGTTTTGCAGCGAACGCTCAACTATTAGAATCCTTAGGTCAGCATCCTATGGTACAACTCCAATTAATTTGGTATATAATGCAGCGATCACTGAATCCCATAGATGACAATCATTCGTGTGCTGTTACGGGTATGAGGGTAGGATGTCACTTCCCAGCTGCAAACAAAGTGGAAGAGTGTTTCTTGAGGAACCTGAAAAGAAAGATTAGCGGTAGTCATAACAAGCTAGGAGAGTGACCGCGGAGCCCAACGGACAACTACTTGAAGCCGATCAAGCACGGCATTCTTATAGGAAATATTCAAAGTGTTAATTCCGCTATTCAAATGGCCTTACCACAGGAGACGGAAATCAGTGGGGTAAGGTGAAGTGTGATAGTTCTAGGGTCCAGCTTATCTAACCCATTTCTTCCTTGGGAGAAGGCAGCATCAAGGCAGATGCTAGTTGTTTGAAGGGAACATCTTACTACCGTTACACCCCTGTACAGTCCGAAGTACGACTTCGCCCTCAGACCTTCACTTGCTGCTTTTAGTCTCACTGTTCCTCAAATCAACCTGCCTGGCATAGTAGAACCTACAGGAACATATGTTCCAGCCATAGGGTCATCACAATGGGCAAGTCTGACCAGCACGTCAAGGTAGCAGCTACGGTCGGGGACAATCGTTCTAACAGGTATAAAACCCATTAGTCACAACTTTACACTTTGATTTAATAAATACCTTGATGTTACTAGAGCATTCGGTTACTAAAATTTTCTGAAGAGCTTTATTTAATATACCAACTTTAATCTACTATGACTCAACAAAACCGACTCCAAGTTCAACACTGAGAAACAAATTAAATCTAACTGATGAATCCGAGAGCGATCGAAGTACACATTTGGTGTCGACAACATTTGCATAATTGCATGAGTTCAATGAAAGTTCATGTTCAATCAATTTATTCATTATTAACTAACCTGTTCAGCATTTTCTTCTAATTTAGGCTTTTTCAATTTTGAATCTGGTTCAATTTTTTGTCCAGGACGTTTACGATTTTCCCTTGACATACATATATACACAGAATAATACATAATCAATATATATATATATATATATATATATATATATATATATATATATATATAGTATTTTTTGTAAAACTGCACAAATATTGTAAGGAAATATTACTATTAGAAACATTACGAGTTCTAGGTAGGGATGACAAATCAATAGATGAAGTAGTGAAACTTCATCAGTTGAGGTGGTTGGGACATGTGTTACGTATGCCTAGCCACCGATTGCCTCGACGAGCTATGTTTTGCAGTGTACGAATAGATTGGAAGCTAGGGGCGGCTAAACTAAAACATGGCAGAAATCCATGAAGTCACTGACAAGTGGACTGAGTCATGTTGGTAGATGTAGGCTATCTGGTTTGGGGTCCGAGAGACGAAAGTCACCAATGGTTAGAGACCATGAACGACATGGCTCAGAATCGTTTGCAATGGCACAGGTGCGTTCACTCCTTGTGTTCTCCTCAAATTCTAACCTTCTGAATTCCTCATCATCTCTATTTTTCTCTTCCTAGATTTATCTCACTGAATTATACTTCTCGAATCATATATTCGCTCCCTAATCTTCTCCATTATTACTAATACTTCTATTATCGCTATCACTCTTGGATTTAAACAGACAGCTGCGTCTCTGTGTGCAGATGTGGTATGACAACCTGAACTGATATACTTACGTACGAAGTTCTGTGTTGTATCTCTCTGTCTGTCTTACACCGTAAGGTAGTGGATCAATTAATACTCCAGTCACACAATCGACTGATTAAGTCCAATTTGACTCTACTCGAAAAGTTAAAAACTCCTTCTTCGCTACAATGTAAGTGATGTTAAAACGTATCGTCAATTAATTGAAAACACAATAGCCTGTATAGATAACTATTTGACAGAATATTTTCCCATGTTTATACTTATCTTTGTAATATTTCTCCTAGTGTTAAGGAGTTTGTAGAAATTATTGATTGTCAAAGTTTACAATATGAATCAACCTTAGTTGGATAACTGTTACGTATGCACGTAAACAGGTCACTGGATATGCTTGAACTATTACGAGTTTATCTTAGTCGGGAAACCAGAGAGAGGATCGAGGATCCGGCGACATGACATGCTACTCTAATCTGAACGTCCCAAAGAAAAAGACTTTTGATATGAAGTAGAACATGTATTCTATAAGCATCCAGAAGGTACGAGGTCCGAGTCCAGAGGAGAATCACGATCCCGAACTAGGGATCCGGGTCATAAAACATTACAGATAATGCATATTTATACAGTTAGGTCGTATAGGAAACGGCATTGAAGTCTGTGACACTGACGGTTAGGACCAACCAATAGGAAACAATATTCGAAGTGACATTGATAGTCAGTACGACCAATAAGAAACAACATTGAAGTACGTGACATTGATAGCTAGGACAACCATAATATTGACAAGTAGGAATTGACCAATAGCAACTGACCAATAATTCGCTTAGGATATTGGATGAATATCCTAACAATAAGTAAATGGGAACCAGCAAGTACTAGACAGTTATTCCTTCCTGGTGTAAGGCTATCTCATCAGTACAGAATCATCATCCAACCGGAGTTCAAGTGTAGGATCTTAAGGTTTGGCGAAGAGTGCTTTACTTTTAAAACCATTGAGTTAGTATACAATGGCTTACAGTTTTAACTCCAATCAATTTAAAATAGGGAACAACTATCCTTCAGTCTAGGATAACTGCCTTACATCCGATATGTCACTAGAACCCGAGGAATTAGCTCTCCAAATTAGTCACTAGTGAATATAGGATACTAGTCAATTATTACAGCGATTTTAAATTCTAACTCAGTGGTTAGTATCTTTGCAAATGGTTTTCCAATAGAGGTCAGACATCCGAATAAGCGTAAAAAGCTTCTTTTAAGATGATATGCTTTATCCTACTGATACGTTGAAGTAGGAGTTGAATTTCCTTGTTTTTATCTCCTCATTGGGCCGGAATAACTGGAATGCTTGTGTTAATTAAACAGCCATATGACTAAAGAATTCGAAGTAAAGAAAACAGAGATTGCAACTCTAATGATCTTGTAGTCTGAGGCAATAAATCAGAAACTCATACTTAAAATATCATACACCTTGCCTTACTGATAATATTCAGAGAAGGTAATAGGGTTTGAGAATGTGATGTGCTCGCAACTATTACAAGCTCAGCTTACTCGGTTAACGGAACAAAGAGCAATGACTCAGCGACTATTCTAATCCATTGTCCCAGGCCCTGGTAACAAAAGTAAGTCTTGATAAGGAGTAGAGAATCTATTCTACAAGCACCCAGAAAATACGAGGTTGCTGAGCACACAAATCAAGCTTATTTATACAATGATAGAAATGCACTTAGTAAAGCCACAAATAGCGTACCAAAAAAAATCCGTCAACTAAACACAGTAAAGGATTTCCGAGTGGGGAATTTAGGCTGAGGGTCATCTAAGCGTCTCTTGGCTCAAAATCTCAGAATAAAATTAGGAACTTTTCCCAGTGAGTTCTGAGGATCTAACGTCCCCAACAGAAAGTAAGGAATTTTTAGGATATTCATCCAATATCCTAAGAGAATTATTGGTCAATTCCTATTGGTTCATTCCTACTGGTCAATTTTACGGTCGTCCTAGATATCAATGTCACTTCAAATGTTGCTTCCTATTGGTCGTCCTAACTGTCAATACCACAGAATTCGATGTTGTTTCCTATTCGACAAAAATGTATAAATACGCATTATCTGTAACACTTTATGACCACGACCAGGACCCGGTCCCGGATCCCTAGTCCGGGATCCTGATTCTCTTTTGGATTCGGACCTCGTACTTTCTGGATGCTTGTAGAATACAGGTTCTACTTCATATCAAGTCTTCTTATTTTTACTCAATATGGTGGTTGGGACAATCGGATTTGAGTAGCATGTCGTGTCGCCGGATCTTCGATCCTCGCTCTCGTTTTCCGACTAGGTAAACTCGTAATAGTTCAAGTATATCAAGTTGACGTGTTTACTTGCAGGCGTAACAGGAATAACACTATGAAATCTATAACAATTACAGAAAAATCATGAGTAACCGACTTCCGGTAATCTTAACAAAGCACATGGATGAGATCCATTAAAACCCAACTTTCAATCTATTGAGTTTTACTAACAGTGCCTTCTATTCACCGGGAATTCGTCTCAGTAAGTCAGTAAGTAACAACATAGAACTTTGTACGTACGTATATCAGTGTTCAAGTTGCTAAATATTACATTGGCACAGAGACGCAACAGTCAATTCAAATCCCATAGTGGTAGAGATAGTAGAAGTATTAGAAGTAATGGTGAAGATTAAGGTTCGAAGATATTATTCAAGGAATATAATCTACTGAAACCAGTTTAAGAAGAGAAAGGTGAAAGTCATGAGGAATCCAGAAGACTAGAATTTGAGAGAACACATAGTGTAGATGTACCTGAGCCATTGAGAACGATTTTTTTTTGCAATTTGTCTACCTACATAGACAACGAAAATTCACAATCGATACTGATTATTTCAATCAGACAATAGATTTCATTGAAAATTATTGAATTATACGTTATAGACACTGACGATTGATTTGTTGGCTTAAATATGACATACCAGACGTATAATGTGGTGTTTTTTTTGTCTCTCTCAATCAATTTCGTAAGGACATAAAATGGTTAGAAACAACACTTTTTATACGTATGAACCTTACACGAAATCAATGAAATTATTTATTAACTATTGGAAATAATAATGTCAGGAATTTTCAGTGAAATCATGAATGAATGAATCATTAGAAACCTGAAAGTGATGGAAGGCCGATATGACCCAGTATGGAACTCATCAGCAGTACGCATCCACAACCCCGCTACTCGCAGGAACCGATAGGGCGTGAAGCAGTTGGGCGGAGTCTTATCAGTGCTGACGGCCTGGTGACTGACGAAATCTCAGCACACATACAGAAGGCTTAACTGGTATTTGTCAACTTAAGTAGGCGAGATATCCGTTAGCTGACTAAAGGAGGAGTGTACTGCGCATCAGTTCGCTCCGTCCTACTTTATGGCTGAGAAACAAGGCCAGTTAGAATAGAAGATATTCGCCGGTTATTGGTTTTCGATCATAGGTGTCTTCGAAGCATTGCTCGTATATCATGGGACAACCGAGTAAGCAATGAAGTTGTTAGGAAACGGGCGCTTGATAAGGATGGCTAATCAATAGATGAACTATTGAAATTTCATCAGGTGAGGTGGTTGGGACATGTGTTACGTATGCCTAACCACCGACTAACTCGATGAGCTGTTTTGTGGTGTAGGAGTAAGTGGGCACAAATCCATGAAATCACTGACAAGTGGATAGAGTCATGTTGGTAGATGTAGACTACCTGGTTGGAATCCGCGAGATGTAAGTCACCAACGGTTATAGACCTAGAATGACATGGCTCGAAATCGTTTGCAATGGCGCAGGCGCATCTACTCTTTGTGTTCTCTCAAATCGTAATCTTCTGAATTCCTCATCACCTTTATTTCACTAGATTCTACTTCTTGAATCATATAGTCGAACCCTAATCTCTCCGATTACTACTATGGGATTTGAATTGACAATTGCGTCTCTGTGCTTATGTGGTGTTTGGCAACTTGAACACTGATGTACGTACGTACGAAGTTTTATGTTGATGTTGACTCACTGACTGACTGACTCGCAGGAACCTAACCCACGGCCTTCAGTCTCTCGTGTGAACGCTTAACCCCTAAGACCACTGAGCTGATAGGTACTCAACGGAGTCAATATCTAACTTCGATGCGCACTACTGAAGAGTGCCATACTAGAACGAGACGGCCGTCCAGTGCTTCAAGGCTTCTAATAGTGGTGGTCTAACAATGATTCATTATCCATGATTTCACTGATGAAACTACAATCTCCATAACTCAATAATCAACGAGAATTTTATCAAGTTCATAGGATTGTATTCAAAAATTGTAAAGAGATCAAATAAAAAGCATGATATATAAGCGTACGCATATACATATATAAAATAGCATACTTGGAATTTTCAGAAAATGCCAAAACAACAGCATCCTGGTCAACAGATGACAATTTACGAAAACCTATAAGTCTAGAATGAATTTAAAAACGAAGATAATAATACAACCAGCAGGAATTATATATGTGTATATATAAATGTGATTTTAACTACGTATTATAGAGCTAAACAAAGTTAGAAAAAGACATTAAAGTTACATAGAAAAGTAAGGAAAAAAACAGTACAACACTCTGTTAATAAGGTTAGTATTTGCACTTATGTAATCAGACATTAGATCTGAGTATTATGAGATACCACATAGGACAGGATCTACCTAAAATGTGCAGCATGAGATATTATTCGGGTCGATGTGGTTTACTTAGAGGGTTACTCCCTGAGCATTTGACCTAGGGTTTTAATCCAGCAGATAGTGCAGTAACGTCTGGAGACGCAATGTTATGATAACCAGTGACAGAAATTATTCCGTACATCATCCATAATAGGGCTACGAGAAACTCTTAGTTAGATACTAGGGTTTTCCAACTCTACGAGGTGAGCCTTATGTATCCGGGTTTAGCGCCGGAAACAGGCTAAGCAAAACCCTTGCCGTGTCAAATTGGTGAGCAGGATATTACTAGCAAACGCTAAAAAGGCACCGTTCAGTAAGAGCGTTTTGAGAGGAAGAGTCGACATTGCGCGCTCTCGACAAAAACAACTCGTTTACAATTATTGAAATATTAAAGTCGGCATTGTCCAAAAACGAGCCGTAAAAGTGCCCTAGACATACAGCAACAAACAACTGACCGATTGGGAAAAAAAACTGTACATAATTATTCTTCGGAATGATTTCATCCATCATTATTGACATAAACCATGAGCAACCACAAACGTATATCAAAAATAACGAAAACTAATCAATGCACACATCAGAATGCAACCAATAATTGTACATCAAGATAGATGATATTCAAGTATGAAAGAATTCAGTAATTAAAAAAAACATGTATGCTACATATCGGCCTCTGTTTACAACATTCACGTAATACAGAGTCTGAGTGTAGCCAGATTCATCATCAATGTAAGCCATCGTCACTACTGCAAGGTGAAGCATCAAACCAAGCAGCTCGGCTCAGGCTAATCAAACAAATAAATATACAAAATAGCTTGTTACACTCAAAATCATTTGATACCATCGTCAAAATGCATCAACCATGCAAAACCGTGACAATCAAAATGGATGTCTCAACAGTCAGTCAGTTAGCTATAACGTAGAACTTCGTGACAGAGGTAGAAGTACGAGCAGCAATCGGAAAGATTAAGGTTTGAACGAGTAGAAAGCAATGATATCAGTTTTAGAAATGAAAGATGGACGTCGTGAGGAATAAGGCTTAGAATTTGGGAGGACACAGATAATGGATGCACCTACGACAATGCAAACGATTTTGAGCCATGTCGTTCAAGGTATCTAACCATTGGTGACTTTCGTCCCGTGGACCCCAACCAGGTAGCCTACATCGACCAACATGACTTAGTTCACTTGTCGGTGATTTCATGGATTTCTATCGTGTTTTGGTTTGGCCGCCCCTAGCTTTCTTGCAACTTACTCCTACACCAGAAAACAACTCATCAAGGCAAACGGTGGTTAGGCATACGTAACGCATGCCCCAACCGCTTTAACTGATGAAGTTTCACAAGTCATTTGCCATCCCCACCTAGTTCTGGTTTCCTAACGACAGCATTGATGACACACGGTTGTCTCAGGATACACGAGATATGCTTCGAAGACATGTATAATCGAATACTAATAACCTACTAATATCCTCAACTTTTACCGGCCATGTTTCGCATCCACATAGTAGGACAGAGCGAACTGCTGCGCAGTACACTCGTCCTTTGGTTAGTAAACAGATACCTCACCTACGCCGTAAATAACCCAATTTGGCAAAAGTCAGTCCGGTCTTCTGTATCCGTGCTGAGACTTCATCACACACCAAACCATCACCACTGATGAGAATTGCAAGATTAGTGAAGCGATCAACACGCTCAACTACTTTACTCTCGATCACTATTTCAGGTAACAATGCATTTCGAGGCCGAGAATCCCATCTTGAACCTTCTTGCATTGTTGTTTACGGTAATCAGAAAACTGTATTTTGTCAGCATTTTCACCAAGTAGAACTGTCATCGGCATATTCCAAGTCAGAAAGTGGATTTCCTCTTACAAGGTCAACTCCTGAAAAGTCAGACGAAGATAATATTAACTCTAAAAGTATCTCAACAACTAAGTTAAATAAGAATGGGGAAAGTGGATATCCCTGATGGGCACCAATTGAAATAATCAATTACGATGATAGTTCGTCATAAGCTCTCACGCGACCAGTAGCGTTCGAGAACAGAGTTTGTATAAGGTTAATGTACTTCTCTGGTACACCTTTTCATGACAGACACTGCCACAGAACCTAACAATCGACAGTCTAATTCCGCCTTAATTTTATGGAATACAACTATTGTCGGGCTTCGAAATTTGTGTCTATGTTCAGCGACCTGACGAATAGTGAATATATGGTATATACATCCACGTCCAGGTTTGAAACCAGCCCGGTTTTCCCGAATCTGCCATTCACGAGTCCTAGTTAGGCGTCTAAGATCTATCGAGGCTAACATTTTAGACAATATATTAGTTAAACTGATTCCCCAGTGATTGTCACAAGAGGACTTTTGTCCTTTCTTATAAATTGGGAAAATCAGTGGTTGAGAGCAGTCGGATGGTATTATGCCCGATTTCCAGATGCCACCTAAGACCTCAGTCAATCTAACTGTTAAAACTGGACCACCGTCCTTAAAAATCTCAGAGGTGAGCCTTTCAAGGCCTGTTGCTCTCCCTCACCTTAAATTTCTTTTAGGCTTTTCAACTTCATAAAGACTAGGAGGACTTTATATCGATTTGCCATTCAGGTTGACTGGAGATCATGGGCAACCAAAAGTGTGGCTGAAGGCCAGTTGAATTGATCCCTAGAGTTCTGCTCAAAGATCCTTCCTTCTGGATTGAGAATTAATAATAGTCCCATCCTTTTCCGAGATAGTCTCGTTAACAGTAGGATTCCTAATACCAGTTTCCTTGATTAGACTTAATAGTTGTCCACTGTTAGCTATCGCTGCAGCCTTTCGCATCCCCCTTGCCTTCGTTACCCATCAATGTTTGCTATCATTGAGTAGGCTTATTATCAACCTGTGCTTAAGCTGACTCCGCTCCTTACCATGTTCAAAGCCAGATTGGATGAGTTTCGGAGCATCTATCAGTTCAATAGATGCTACGGAAATCCACTGCTTCTGCATAAGTGTTTGGTTTAGCTTACTGACAAATATCACTGTTGTTTCCACAACTTTTTGGATATCATTCCAAGCTGCATCAGGATGGGCATCACTTACTACATGGCCGCCTAACTTTTTTCTAATTGTCCCTAAAATATAATGGCAGCTTTGTTATCATTAGGTGGAACCCTGAGAAGTTTACTTGTCTTTCCTACGTCCAGTAAGCATCAAACAAATACGCGCTTGCACCAGAATGTGGTCTGAGTCTAAACAAGTGCTCCAGAGTGAGCTAAAGTCATCAATAGAGCCTCTCCACCGATGGCTGATAGCGATGTGATCTAGTTGTGTCCATTGTTGGGTCGGCTTTGGGGGTCGCCATATCAAGAGACATTTTTCCTTGTGCTTAAAGTTAGTGTTCGCTAGAAATAGGCGGTTATCTGATGCTATACTTACACCAGCGAGACCACGGGAGGCAGTAAAAGGGCTTCCAAGTTGATTCTCTATCTTGACAAGGTGAAACCAAATTAATAGTTTTACTAGGATCCTGCATGAGCGTTTCGAAGACGCGGCATACATCGATGGCACAGAATTCCAGAGTCCTAGACAATGAAGCCTGTTGCCCTATTCGACACAATGTCCGTACATTAAATGCTCCAACACGTAGTCCAGAACGAGGTTTCAAGAGACCAGGAATGACGTTTCTTGAGCTCGCATTGTTTGCATCAGCGGTGCGCGGTGATAAAGGAAGGGTTGGTCGTGGAGATAAGGGAGATCTTAAGATATGTGAGAATGATTTCCTTGTGACCAATTTGGTCTTATGTGTTGTAACGCGTATGAAGGTGGATGTCACTTCTCGGCTGCCGACGACGTGGAAGGGTGTTTCATGAGGAACCTGAAAAGGAAGGTAGATTAGTGTTGGTCTGAATGACCTGAGTGCGTGATCGCAGAACCCAAGGGACAACTGCTTCGGGTCACACACGGCCTTTCTATGGCAAGTGCTCAAAGTGTTAGCTCTGCTCGTCCAGTGATCTTACCGCCGGAGACGGAAGTTTGTAGGGTAAGGTGAGGTGTGACATTTTTAGGGTCGACCTTTTCTAACCACTTTCTACCTTGTGAGAAGGAAGCATCACTCCAGATACTGGTTGTCCAAGGGAAACACATCACTGCTGCCACAACCCTCCACAGTCAGAAGTACGACTTCGCCCTCAGAACTTGAGTTGCCGCTTTTCGTCTTACCGTTCTCTAATCGACCTGCCTGGCATGCTAGAACCTACATAAACATTTGTAGCAGCCAATGTAGCTCGATTGGGTCATCACAATAAGCAAGTTCGAAAACCACGTCAGGCTAGCAGCTACGGTAGCTGAAGTCTCATCAACAGACACGAAATACACCAAACTGATTAACTCACATAATCAACACTTGACAAAATCATAAACAACATGTACGCTACATATCGGCCTCTGTTTACAACATTCACGTAATACAGAGTCTGAGTGTAGCAACATCCATTCATCAATGTAAGCCATCACATCACTACTGCAAGGTGAAGCATCAAACCAAGCAGCTCGGCTCAGGCTAATCAAACAAATAAATATACAAAATAGCTTGTTACACTCAAAATCATTTGATACCGTGGTCAAAATGCATCAACCACACAAAACCACGACAATCAGAATGAGAGTGTCATCAACGGCACACTAATTACACCATACTGATTCACTCACCACATCATCAACTGACTTGACAAAATCATAAACAACATGTACGCTACATTTCGGCCTCTGTTTACAACATTCATGAAATACAGAGTCTGAGTGTAGCCCACATTCATCATCAATGTAAGCCATCGTCACTACTGCAAGGTGAAGCATCAAACCAAGCAGCTCGGCTCAGGCTAATCAAACAAATAAATATACAAAATAGCTTGTTACACTCAAAATCATTTGATACCATGATCAAAATGCATCAACCACACAAAACCACGACAATCAGAATGAGAGTGTCATCAACGGCACACTAATTACACCATACTGATTCACTCACCACATCATCCATCAACAGACTTGACATTAAACAATGTTGCAACTTGACAAAATCACAAACAACATGTACGCTACATTTCGGCCTCTGTTTACAACATTCATGAAATACAGAGTCTGAGTGTAGCCCACATTCATCATCAATGTAAGCCATCGTCACTACTGCAAGGTGAAGCATCAAACCAAGCAGCTCGGCTCAGGCTAAATAAACAAAAAGATGACTTATCGTACATGCATACTTTGCCAGAATCTATAAATTATACCAATGAGTATATCATGTCGTAAGAAATAAATTCAATGAGAAATCTATTAATCGACACTAAGACCATCAGCATTATTACATAAGTCAAAGAGAATGAGCAAAGTTAACATTATTGAGCCAGAATATTTTGTATTGTGGAGTGGTTGTACGTAAGATCACCATACAATGCTGACATTTATTATCATTTTGTTTATTTAAAACAAATCAGTGCTGATGGCCTGGTGACTGACGAAATCTCAGCACGGATACAGAAAGCTCGATTGGCTTATGCCAACCTGCGTCATTTATGGCGAAGGCGAGATATCCGTTTGCTAACCAAAGGACGGGTGTACTGCGCAGCAGTTCACTCCGTTCTCCTATATGGATGTGAAACATGGCTGTTAAGAGTAGATGTTCGTAGGTTACTAGTATTTGATCGTAGATGTATTAAAAGCATTGCTCGTGTATCCTGGGACAACCGAGTAAGCAATGCTGCGATCAGGAAATGAGTACTAGGTGAGGATGGCAGATCAATAGATGAAGTGGTGAAACTTCATCACTTGAGGTGGTTAGGACATGTGTTACGTATGCCTAACCACCGACTGCCTCGACGAGCTGTTTTGTGGTGTAGGAGTAGGTTGGAAGAAAGTTAGGGGCGGCCAGACCAAAACATGGCAGAAATCTATGAAGTCATTGACGAGTGGACTTAGCCATGTCGGTAGATGTAGACTACCTGGTTGGGGTCCGCGAGACGAAAGTCACCAATGGTTAAAGACGTTGAACGACATGGCTCAAAATCGTTTGTAATGGCGCAAGTGCATCCATTCGTTGTGTCCTCTCAAATCCTAATCTTCTGGAATCTTCAGCACCTCTACCTTTGTCTTTCTAACCTTATCTCACTGAATTATACTTCTTGAATAATATCTTTAAACCCCCTAGTCTTCTTCATTACCATTAATACCTCTTCTATCTTTATCACTATGGGATTTGATTTGACATCTGCGTCTTTGTGCTAATGTGGTACGGCAACATGAACTTATGTACATACGTACGTAGTTCTACGTTGCAAATGACTGACATATATACATATATATATATATATATATTTGAAATCATTAATCAATGATTGTTAGACCACCATTATAAACTTGGAAGCACTGGACGGCCGTTTCGTCCTGGTATGGGGCTCATCAGCAGTACGCATCCACGACTCCTTCACCTCGCAGGATTCGAACCCGAGACCTTCGATCTTGTGCGCGAACGCCTAACCTCTGAACTACTGGGCCGACATCCAGAACGAAATGGCCGTCTACTGCTTCCGGGTTTCTAATGGTGGCAGTCTAACAATGATTGATTGATGATTTCAAATGTGTATAAACACTAATCTCCATAACTCTAATTGAGAAAATCGGTAAAAATCAGTGGATGTGAATGAAATAACTCTGCCTGGAGCTCCTCTGGGGCCACTGCAGGTCCCAAATCTGGATAAACCAGGGTTGGGCCTGAAGTTACAGACCCCATCACGTTGAAAACTAACACGCTAAAAAAAGTGAATGATACAATAGTAATAATAATAATGAAAGAAACAGTCTAATTAAGGAAAAATACAATCAGAAAGAACCCTTTCAGATAAAAAAAGTATCTCTTATTTATGTGAAGAAAATAAACAAAATTTACAACAGGACTGCCTATAACTTCAATTCTGAACTATATCTGAGATGCACCATATATATATATATATATATATATATATATATATATATATATATATATATATATATATATATATATATATATATATATAAGGCATATGGATACCTCGAAAAGGGAAATAAAAACTGTCAATCACTTACTGTGATATATCCTCTGGACATTCATTACTTTTGAGGAAACAAGATAGATGAGACATAAATGTTGGCTTTTTACCGGATCCACATACTGTATGACGTTCCTGTGGAATTTGAATTTTCATTAAATATTTTTTAGAATACACTGATTACAGAGTTTGAGTAATTTTTAAATATATACACAGATATATCAGCTAATCAAACTTTCCAGTCATACCTCTGTGGAAATCATAGAGCTGAATACAAAACAAAAGATTAATAAACGGTACGTTGATGAAACTGAATCTTCATTGACTGAAGTGATTGATGCATGGTATTGGTCATTGCCGAACACCGACTATTTTCACACAAAGTGGTGTCTAGTTTACGCATAAGTTAGGAGTGATAAAACTAAAACGTGGGATTAGTTTATCTGAACCATATCAATGGAAGCGAAGTGTCTGGTGGATGTGAGCATAAAAACTGTAATCAATGGCTAAACCGGTGTCTGTTTTCATGCCAATTTTATATAGTAGAATTGAAGCATATGAGTACAGTGAATCATGAACATAGTTGGTCGAGCGATCGGATTCACACTTTTGATCAATTTTGTCGCGTGTGCTGTTACGGGTATGAGGGCGTTTGTCACTTCCCGACTGCCCACACCGTGGAAGGTTGTTTATTGAGGGACCTGAAAAGGAAGATAGATTAGTGTTGGTCTTAGAGACCTGGGTGCGTGACCGCAGAGTCCAAGGGGCAACTGCTTGAGGCCGGTCACGCACGGCCTTTTTATGAAAGGTTTTTTGAGTATTAGCTCCGCTCTTGAAAGCCCTTAGTGGGCACCCTTACCACCGGAGACGGAAATCCGTGAAGTAGGGTGAGGTGACATTTTTAGGGTCGACCTTTTCTAACCCTTCCTTCCTTGCTTGTGAGAAGGCAGCATCGCTGCATATGCTGGTTGTCCGAGGGAAACACCTTACTGCTACCACATCCCTCTGCAGTCAGCAGTACGACTTCGCCCTCAGACCTGGAGTAGCTGCTTTTAGTCTGATCGTTCTCCAATCGACCTGCCTGGCATGGTAGAACCTTCAGGAACATATGTTCCAGCCAGTATAGCTCGGCTGGGTCATCACGATAGTCAAGCCCGACCACCACGTCAAGGTAGCAGCTACGGTCGGGGGATTCAAACCTAACAATTAATCATAGATAAGACTGTCATGTTGTTTACTTTTTCAAAGAAACAATTCTTATAACGCACAGTTATATAGTTTTTTTCTAAATAAACTCATTTACTAAGCACATGCAGTAGTCTAGACCAGTAGACCAGTAGTCTATTGGTCATCTCAACAATCCTAAGACGACTCCATTACTAATTAGGTGAATAAACCAACTAAGCTAGTAATAATACTTGTTTACGATTTTGTATATTACTGTTGCCTAAAGCAGTTTCAAGGAAAAAAGACTTGAGGATGTCAACTAAAGATCGTTCTACGATGCAACTGACTGAAAGATCGTTTTCATATCATTCTCATCTGAAAATGTGACCCTTGTGTTGCAAATACGATTACTAAAACAGAGTAGACATGCTTAGCACAAGGAAAAAGAGGTTACATTTAACATACATTTAACCCTTCTGAAGTGACTTTCGTTGCTCGAGAACTGTCTCTTTAAGAAGCATATAAATTATTTTAAAACTAACTGAAAACTGAACAAAATAAAAAGCAAAATTTAAACAAACTATCTTACAAACATTACACAGACAAATTAAACATTTACCTGTTTTAATGGTTTTTGGCAATGAGTGCATGACAGATCACTATCGGATAACTTCACAGCAAATTTAGGAGTTTTAACTGGCTTTGAAATACCACTTCTATTATTGATTGCAGTTCTAATTTTCTCTTGATCTTCCCATCGGATAGAATCGAAATTTTTAATTTCAGCAGTACTTTCCATAATTTTTTTCGAATTCCAAAAACAATGGTAATGGAACCATCGAGGAATTTTACCATCAAAATTTGGTGCCTGCACTAGTATAGCGATACGAAGAGAATTTTGACTGATTTCCGTCCTGCATTTATTACACTTGGATCGATTACTTTTAGCATAATCCACATCGAATTTATACTCTACTTGCATGGTGGTTATCTATTTATTATTCCTAAAAATTAAACAATTTAAAAATGCTTCTGGTCAATAGATTTACTTTTGAACAAATAAAACTGTAGGAGTAAGCATCAGTATAGCGAATAGAATCGCTCTTTAATTTTGACCGAAAATAAAGGAATATTAAAACTCAGGAATTGATTTTTCAAGCGTATGAGGGTGATTGTAACTTTCAAGTGGCGTATATCATGGTAGGATAAGCTTGTGAAACAGAAATTGTGTTTGGAGTGATATTGACAGCTTGTGAGCATGATTGTAATGGCTGAGGAGTAAATACTTGAAGCTGATAGCATACGTCTTTTTTAGTCTACTTACTGATTTATTTAAACACAACAACAACACAACACAAACAAAAGACAGTGTAGCTGGTTGTCTAAGGAGAACAGTGCTGCTGTCGCATCATCGTATGGCTGGGGGTAAGACTACTACGTGACCTTTACTTTTAGGTCTTGGTTTTTATCTTTAACCACATGTATCTACGCATTTTTATAATGCTTACGAAATGCTCACAAGGCATATTACTAGGAAACTTATTCTTTGTAGATATGAAGGCAATAAGAATCAGAACTCGGTATTAAATGCATGATGTCTGAAAAACTCCCATATGAATACAGTTAGTTATAAGATGGAGATAAAAGTTAGCTAGACGTTTTCGAAAAACATTGTGAACATTTTTTGGTTATTCGCAAGCCAAATGGAACAGACATTTATTGCACTGCACATTTTCTGTTGACAAGTCAATACTGTAACTAAGAATATGGTACTGAGTGACGTTTGTCAATAAGTAATAGACCACTAGACGAGAAATAGTAATTAGATCCAGCTATAAAAAATATGATTCAGAAGAACCTGCTAGGTATATCAAAATGGATTGGATCTACAGTGCCCAAATATGGATAGTTACAGTGTTATAGACTACGCCCACTATATGATGAACCAAGCTCTCAACTTAAGCGTTTATTAATACTAACTTCAATGTAAGTTTTATTGTTCTGAATAAGGGAACGGGACTACAGAACATTCTAAAGACTGTTTTAAGGACCAAATTATTTGCTAGTACAACATCACCTGGACAGTCCTTGCAAACAAGAACGTGGGAGTAAAGGAAAGCTTTAGGAAAGTATAAGCGAACTTAATGTTAATTTAAGCGACACACCAATTATTAACCAGCCTGTAGCAGTTGGCGCAAGATCCGACGTATATTTGAAAATGTCTAAGTGAAACTAGACTGTCAAAGGCTTATGAAGGAAAATCCTAGCGAAAACTAAGGACTTCTAGAAACAGAATACAGTCTTCTAAAGCATGACCAAGTAGAATAACCCACAACAGTATTCAAACCTTAAATTGGTAACCACGTTGAAACTTGAAAGCGTCCTTCGAGCGACCTTCGAAACAATATCCAATATCCAATATCTTTTTCACGAGCTAGTGTAAACCAATTTGATTTCTTCGCGCTCGATTCTTGTTCTTTCGGTACGATTCCAGGTGTTCGGTAATGTCCAATGGATGGAGGTCTAGCCACTCGACTGTCTAATTCTAGTCAGTTGGCAGTTGGTTGTGAGTTTGTATGTCTCGGGATTTGAATGAAACGTTTGTTTCAGGGCAGTAGAGTTTCTGGATACTAGCAGCCGTCACATTACCGAACCGGAGATCACTTAGTTGCAATGTGGAGAGTAATAAGGGTAATAAGGATAAATTAAGATGATAATATGAGTAAAATTACAGAACTGAGTAATATGTAGATGAATTTAGTTTATTAATTGGTAGTGAAGATTGTGAGAGAGGACCGAAGTGTAAGAAAGGGAGAGGAATAGGCGAGATAGATTAATTGAATGATCTGAGGAGATGGCAATGGTAACAACTAGCGGGTCTCAAGATATGCATCAGGCACAGCTTGTCCAAGAGGGAGATGATAGTCCGCATGTGAGTACGCGATTATCAAGTCTCTTCTTAAAGCAGTCCACTGAGGGGGCTGTAACTACCTCGGCTTGGAGAGCATTCCAAGTTGCGACGACTCGCAATGAGAAAAAGTGTGCACGAATCTGAGTGTTTGCTCTTTGATGTGCAATGTTTTGAGGATTGCCTCGAGGGGAGCGGTGGTGATGCATCGGTAAGATGCTCACATTGGGATGGTTTGGCGTGTTTAATATGGTGTACGCCATAATCAGGTCACCTCTGATTCTCCTGTAGCTCAGTGGTAATAATCCCAAGAGCTGGAGTCTATCGTCGTACGGTTTATTTTTCAACCCTATCACCCATTTGGTTTCTCGTCTCTGCACTCGATCCAAGAGATCAATGTCTCTTTTAAGCAGAAGGGGTGCGATGACGTTGTAAACCTCCAAGTTTGGGCGCGCGTACGTCTTAAACAGGGTTAAAAATAATTTCGGGGTTATAGCACCAAGCTGTCTTCGCATGAAGTGAAGAGTCGCATTCGCCTTGGCTGCATCGCCTACATAGTTCGGACTCGTGTGGAGGCTTTCTGTGGTTATTAAACCAAGATTGCGCTCTGAGGAGATATTAGGGAGCGGACTTCCATTGAGAGTGTAGGTGGTTTTCGTCATATGAGGCAGGAAATGCATGACGTGGCACTTCGGTTGGTTGAGTTTTAAACCGTTTTTCACTGCCCATTTCTCAATGGATGTAAGGTCCTATTGAAGCTCAGTCGAATCCTCTTCGCTTCTAATGGACCTCCAGATCTTCGCATCGTCTGCGTAGATCAGTGAGCTAACTAAGCCTAGCAGGTCGTTAATGAATATCAGGAAGAGGAGTGGACCTAGAATGGTCCCCTGTGAAACTCCTGAAGTGGATACTCTTCAACTCGCGTGCACCCTGATTACCTTGGTGCGAAACTTTCTATTTTCAAGGTAGTTTGTGAGCCAAGATACGAGTGGGTCAGTGAAGCCCATTTCCACAACCTTTTCCAATAGGCGTGCGTGTGGCACTGTCAAAGGCTTTTGCGAAGTCGAGAAATACTACGTGCACTGGTATTTTACGGTCCAAGCAGGATGTCCGACTGTCCCATGCGATGAGAAAATTAGATGCATACGACCTGCCTTTCCGAAACCCATGTTGAGCTTCATGGAGTATTTTATTCTTATCCATATACTCCCTCATTTGTTCATCCACAATCCCTTCCATAACCTTTGACAACATTGGTAGTAACGCGACAAGTGTGTAACAGGCTGAGTCCTTTCTATCTCCTCCTTTGAAGATTGGAGAGAGAGTAGCTTGTTTCCATTCCGCTGGGAATTGGTGTGACTCCAGTGAATGCCTGAACAGGTTGCATAACGATGAACAGAGGGCTTCAGCGCACTGTTGCAAGACTATAGGGCGGATGTTGTCACAACCTGGTGACTTACCTGGGCGTAAGGAATTTAGTTTCCCTAATACTAGGTCAGGAGTGATACGGATGTTCCCTGAGCAGTCAGCTGGCATTGGGTTGGCGTAATACTCTGAACATGTAGGCGCCTGGTTTAATTGATCAGAAAAATGGGTGTTGAAGATCTCGGCCATCTCTATTTATTATTTAATCCAATATCCAATATCTAATCCAACATTTTTTCCACGAGCTAGTATATACCAAGTGATTTCTCTTTGCTCGATTGTTGTTCTCTGGGTACGGCTTCCGGTAATCGGTAGTGTCCAACGGATGAAGGTAGAGCCACTCGACTGTTTAATTCTAGTAAACTGGCAGTTGGTTGTGAGTTTGTATGTCCCGTGATTTGAATGTAAACGTTTGTTTCATGGCAGCAGGTTTTCTGGATACCAGCATCTACAAACCTACCAATACACCAGGTAAACTCAATTCACTCAGCAAAGAACCAACCAAACAGGCGAACCACTAGAAGTTCTAGACTGACTAGGAATGTTATTGACACCACTAGACGGTATAAAGATGGAAAACCCTCAGACTGAGAGATTTTTAACGAACGGTCAGCTCATGGTCAAGGATTTCCATGCCTTAAGGTGTGATCATTGTTATAAACGGATTGATCTGCGTCTGTTCACTCACTCCATTCATTTGTTTGAAATATATATAATCACAATGAAAACCATATTCAACTTCCTATTTTCAACTTTTATCAACTTCGTTAACGGCCAGAGGATATCTGAAGTCAAATAGTCTACATATTTCACTGATAACATCTACTTTCAATTGTATTGGCAGTAAACAATCAGTGACATGGTGTAAATGTGCTATCAGAAACAGACTCTCGTATCTGATCTAACTTCGATAACTTTTGTAACATTTTAATTTTGTCTGTAAACCGGTATGCCTCTTGCAAAATGCTGCTACTTGAGAATAAATATATTATTATCATTATTAATACCAATGTTCGAAGCGTTAGGAGACAGTTTCTGACGACGCTAGCAGCCAAAACACCGGCAAACCTGATATAAGTGCTTAAAAACCATGGTGTTTGTACTCTTGAATGTCCAAATGAGAAGATTTCAGCAACTTAGAGTAGGCTGAGATATTAAAAGCCAACTTCACTACCTGTTAAACCAGGTAACCACAAGTTCAGAATACTACTCAGACCTAGTGAGAGCTGATAGCATAGGGGATATCCGACTTACTCCTCATTTAGCACTGAGAAAGCTCAGAATCCTCAGCCCAAGGAAGTAATGAGGATGTGACAATACCCCCCTTTTAGTATTTAAACGGTGTTCAGAAGCAATAATATCTCCTGTATGTAATCTGCTCAGGCATTTACTGGTGTCAGATCAACTCCCAGCTGAACGAAAAAAAGCTACACTCCCAAATCTTCAAAGGAGAAAAAGGTAAAGATAGATACAGCTACACACTAGTTGCATTGCTACCAATCGGAGGAATGCTGAAGGAAAATGTGAGGAAGTACATGAATAAGAATAGCATCCTCCATGAAGCTCAACACAGGCTCAGGAAATTCAGGTCATGTGCATCCGATCTTGTAATAGCACGGGACAGCCAAGAAACATGCTGGAATCAGAAAAATATCCATTCATATAATATTCCTTCGACCAAGTGCGTCACATAATCCTATTAGCGAAGGTTTCGGTAATAGGCATTACTGATCCACTTGTATTGTGGTTCAGAAACTGCCTAGAGAAAAGTATGCCTCGTACCAGAGTAAAAAAGGTGCTTGTGAGTTGGTGAGTATCAGCATCCGGAGTTTCACGGAGGACCATCTTAGGTCCTTTTTCTGATTCTCACTATTGACTTGTTGAATAAAGTTACCTCAGCAGAAGCCCGCCTACTAATGTTTCCTCAGATGGTGACCTCAGTCTAACAAGAGAAAGCCTGGATACAACGTTAAACTGCTACGGGAATGCAATCAAGACTAACACAACTGTTCTCTTCATGCAAAAACAATTTGGTGCAGTCACCTAAGAAAGGGTCTTGATTCTCGTTACAGCATAAGCACGACCACACCTTGAATTTCAGAACGTCTTCGAACCCCGTCCCCTTGAAAGACTGCAGAAACGAACAACCTTATGGGTGATGGTGTTGAAGAAAAAACTTTACGTATATAGACTCTGTAGATTTTCAAGTCGAAGGACTACGAAAACGTCCATAAACCAGCTATGTTAGCGTCAAAAGCGTTATCCCAAATCTTTTACCGAGAATCAGAAGACGGAATAGTCCAGATGAAATTAGATGAATTTGCTGGCGGTTTTGTGGTATCGGAAGAAAACCGAAGTGTACCAGAGAATTCGTCGAATGTTCAGAGCAGCAAAATCAAGGTGGTGACCCCGAAGCAAACGCACTCATCCAAATCACAGGACATACAAACGCATAAATAACCGCCAACTGACTAGAATTAGTGCAGTCGAGTGGCTAGACTACCACTCACTGGACATTACCAAATACCGGGAACCGTACCGGAAGAACAAGAATTAAGCTTAAATAAATCAACTGGTCTATACCAGGTCATGAAAAAGATATTACAAGTGGATTATATGCGTTCTGTAATATAAGACAAATCACACTTATCTAATCTCAGTTTTAACTATCAAGTTATCGATAAGTGATGAATGTTCTTTGGAAATAGTGATTGACTGTTTTCACTGATAAAAGCGTTCGTATTTGGTTACACTATTGAAGTGAGTAGCCTATGAGCGCGTCTCGATGACCTTGACGTCACGATAATTACTGTTGTCCAACCAAACCTCAGGTGGGGATGCACACGTTTATCTACAAACATTAAAACCAATATTTTATATGTCAATTGAACTATGCATCCCACACTAAATAGCGACTATGTGGATTCCTGCTCTCTTAAAAAGTACCACATTCTTACCTATATGATTGGTAAAAGTATATTGTATGCGCATATTTCTTTTCATCTTTCATTTGAAAGAGTCTGAAAAACCATTACCTGATTGTCAGCACTATTATTTCCACCACGTCTATCCAACAGTTATGTTTAATTTTCCTTTAATCGTACAAATAACGAGACATTTCGACAGTATTGTATCAAAACGTCGATATAACTACATTCCAATGACTATTTTCTGGTAAATACTGAGTAACATTTGTTTCGTCTACCTCGGAATTAATAATACAAGGATTGTAGTCTATTAAAAATTTATATCTCGGACATAATTTGCAACAGAAATGGAAGAATTTGAAATGCACCTATAAATCACCAGCACTCAGATCCGTATTGAATATATCAGTAGGTAGATTCCCTGAAGATTACTTCAGCGTCACTCAAATTTTGTCCATATACTTCAGTCTCACCGCATTTACTGGCTTCACGCATCACATCTTTGATGCACATCACGTACCTCCAGATTGTTGAAACATGATATTTAATCAATGGAAACTGTTTGATGCATTAGAAACCCTGCTTGTTTCTAATTAATACTGAAAGCAACCAACAACAATTAATAATATCATAGGTTTAAGACAGAAGTGCTGGTATGAGATTTCAAAACCATCACATTTTCATTTTACTAGTTTTGAGTAGATTTTGGCCATGAATTTATGAACGTACCGCGGTACTTACTATGACTTTTATTCATAAATACAAATTCATTCTACATCCATGCGCAGTAATTGGTTCATGTTTTTCTTTCAGCTCTTTTGCTGATTAAGTGGGTTAACACCACTTAACAACTAACTATTAAGCAAAAGGTAAGTTAGCTGCATTAAAGTATATTTATTTGTATTCAGATGAGATATACTATAATTCAACATGTTTATTATAGTTAAATTGCTGATTGTATCACTTTATAAGTTACAAGTCTGTAAAAATCACAATGATAGACTATATGAGGATTCTTATTTTTTCCGTTACAGTGTCTGATAATGATGTGATGTTAGTATCTTTCTGCCTATCACACGACAAGTATAACTCTCAGTCATTCTCTCTGTAATAATAATTTTTGGTATGAAAGACATGCTAAAATGGCTGTTATTTGAAGGATTTGAAGAATTACTTGCGTGTACGGACTCATTTCCCAAGTAGAATGTTTGTGTACCAAGCTGTAAGCCATGGCGATCCCAATATTAACTTAAACAAGCCTTCAACTATCAAAACAGGTACAATATTTCATTGAAATTGCGAAATTCATTCCAAATTCAAGAGCAATAAGCTTTGATAAATTACAATTGCTTCTTATATTCAATAACAAACCGATAAAAATATCAGAAAACTAACTGAATTCTAACTAACCTATGTTCCATCAACCGCAGTTGCCACGGGAGCAAGAATGAAGTCCAATTGCATTCGGAATAACCTTGTAATGGTATATTCTCTAGTAGATTATGCTTGTTTAAAGTCGTTGAATGTTTGTCCCGCGTCTAACACTACTTGTACCTAAATATCTGAGATCTGTGTTCTCATTTATGGTTATTTCATCGTGTATTTAATCTTCCGTCAAAGTTATAACAAACTATTTTAGTTATCCTATCATTCCCATATACATTCATTATATACACTTTGTCACTTTGCCTTCAACATCTGTTTCTTTTCTTTTTTTTCGTAGAGATGTTGATTCATTTGAAAAATGGTGCATTATTTTATGCATCTGGTAAAGTTGTACATGGTTTTGGCAGAGGATCAAAACAACTTGGAATACCAACTGGTTTGTTTTATGCTATGTTACGTTTATTTATTCATTTTACTTTCATGCTGACCTATATATTAGCAAATCTTGAAGAATCTGTTGTAGATGAAATCCCAGATTCCATTGAAAATGGTATTTATTTTGGATGGGCTAAATTGAATAATACACCAGTGTATAAAATGGTTATGAGTATTGGATGGAATCCTTACTTTAAAAATATCAAACGTTCAATGGTTAGTAAAATATATTTTTTTTTATTTTTTCCTCACTCTTTATTGTTTAATATTTTCTTTTATAGGAAGTTCATATATTGCATAATTTTGAAGAGAATTTTTATGGTAGCCAAATTCAGCTAATCGCTGTGAAATATTTCAGACCTGAATATGATTTTCCTAGTATAAGTAAGTTTATTGTATGGCATTCTTAATTTATCTATGCTGAGTTTATGCCACAGTAGCCAAGTACATATTTGTGCATAAATCTATGAATAATACATATCGTACTAGGGAAATATTTAAGTGTTTGAATTTGGATTTTAGCTGATGGTCAAGAACGTGGGTTATTAAATATGATATTCAGGTTTCTAATTCATCATCTGATGACTACCCTAAGAAACAATGCAGTGCGGTTTTCCCCTTCGAAATGCAAAATGTTACTTCAAGATTGGGTTGCATCGGTGAACTAGTGATAGGGAGTGAAGTAGTCGAACGTGTAGACCGCTCCACTTATCTCGGGAGTCTTATCAGTGCCGATGGCCTGGTGACTGACGAAATCTCAGCACGGATACAGAAAGCTCGATTAGCTTTTGCCAACTTGCGTCATTTATGGCATAGGTGAGATATCCGTTTGCTAACCAAAGGACGAGTGTATTGTGCAGCAGTTCGCTCTGTTCTCCTATATGGATGCGAAGCATCGCCGGTAAGAGTAGACGATATTCTTAGGTTACTAGTATTCGATCACAGATGTCTTTGAAGCATTGCTTGTGTATCATGAGACAACCGAGTAAGCAATGCTGCCATTAGGAAATGAGTACTAGGTGAGGATAGCAGATCTTCATCAGTTGAGGTGGTAGGGACATGTGTTACGTATGCCTAACCATCGACTGCCTCGTCGAGCTATGTTTTGTGGTGTAGGAGTAAGTTGGAAGAAAGGTAGGGGCGGCCAGACCAAAACATGGCAGAAATCCATGAAGTCATTAACAAGTAGACTAAGTCATGTTGGTAGATGTCGACTACCTGGTTGGGGTCCGCGAGACAATACTAACCAATGGTTAGAGACCCTGAGTGACATGGCTCAAAACCGTTTGCAATGGCGCAGGTGCATTTACTCTTTACGTTCTTTGAAATTCTAACCTCTGACTTCCTCATCACCTCTGTCTTTTTCTTTCTAAATTTGCCTGACTGAATTATACTTCTTGAATAACATCTAATCCTAACCTCTTCGATCACTTCTAATACTTTTACTACCTCTACTACTTTGGGATTCGAATTAACAATCGCGTCTCTGTGGGCTAATGTGGTATAACAACCTGAACTGATGTACTTACGTACGAAGTTCTACGTTGCAACTGACTGACTGACATCTCATTATAGTTTACCGTCGTTATAAGTTTTAGTTCATATATATGTGAAATTATATGTTTTATCGACAGCAGTATAGTGTAACAGACTACAGAATGCTTCATCTGTTCGTCTTTATAGTGGGAGAAGTAATTCTAGTTAATGCAAATGACAGCCACCTAGATTACTGATAAAGTTTCAAGCTATTCAGCGACATCGGGACATATTTTTGCACGGCCTTAGTTGTTTTTTAGTGAGTATAAAAATTTTTCAAAAAATAATTCCACACTGTAAGAATAAAGCACGATCAACGCAACTTAATCTGTGTTAAAATAGATAAAATTCTATTTAAAAAGTGCTTTGGTCGCTTTTTAGAAAGATTAAGTCCTTGATAATTTTTGATGTTTTGTTGTATTTCCGTAGTACGTGATCGATAAAATAAAATATTTTGTCTGTCCATGTGATTTGTGTCCAGTATTATATGTTTGAAACACAGCACCACTAAGATTCATTTAAACGTAATTTAAAGAATTAATTACATTTACCATGCTAAATGTCACTATCACTTTTTACTCATTAGAATGTTTCAAGTACTCAACTTCACTAACTGAGTTACCTCCTTGAATAATCACATTCCACTTTTCAGTTAAGGCTAATTGACACTATCACTAGTTAGTTCAGTCAGTTACACAAAGTAGAACTTCGTACGTACGTACGTAAATCAGTTCAGGTTGCCATACCATATTAGCACAGAGACACGATTGTCAATTCAAATCCCAAAGTAGTAGAGGTAGTAGAAGTAACAGTGGCAATCGAGAAGATTAGAGTTCGATTATATTATTCAAGAAGTTATAATTCAGTAAGACAAATTTAAGAAGAGAAATATAAAGGTGATGAGGAATTTAGAGGATTAGGATTTGAAAGGAGACAAAGAGTGGATACACCTGCATCAATGCAAACGATTTTGAGCCATGTCGTTCAACGTCTCAAACCATTGGTTACTATTGTCTCGCCGACCCCAAGCTGGTTGTCTACACCTACTTCCATGGCTCAGTTTACTTGTCCGTGACTTCATGGATTTGTGTCATGCTTCGTTCTGGCCCCTCAACTTTCTTCCAATTAACCTTTACACCAGGCATCATCGCTCGCCGAGGCAATCACTGGTTGGTCCCAACCACCTCGACTGATGAAGTTTCAATACTTCATTTATTGGTTTGCCATCCTCACCTAGTACTCGTTTCCTAACGACAGCATTACCTACTAGGTTGTCCTAGGATACACGAACAATGCTTCGAAGATACCTATGACAGAATACAAGTAACCTGCGAATATCCTTGCTTATTACTGGCCATGTTTCGCATTCGTGTAGTAGGAACGAGCGAACTACTGCGCAGCAGACTCATCCTTTGGTTAACAAACGAATATCTCGCCTACGCCATAAGCGACGCGAATTGGCAGAAGCCAATCAAGCCATCTGTATCCGTTGATGAGACTCCCGAGATAGGTGAAGCGATCAACATACTCAACTGCTTCACTTCCTATCACTAGTTCAGGTACCGGCACAAACCGATCCTGAAGCAACAACTTGAATTTCGAGGCGGAGAATGACATCCGAAGGTGGTCAGAAGACTCTGCATTTTGATAGCGTCTGCACCAAATACAACAATGTCGTCTGGATGTAAGTCAGCAAGTGAAGCTCCTAGTAAAAGTTCAACTCTTCAAAAGTTAGACAATGGAAGTGTTACCTTAAAAAGCTTATCAAGAATAGGGAAAGTGGGCAATTCTGACGAACATTACTTGAAGTAATCAATCCGAATGACAGTGCACCATAAGCTCTGACTCGTCCAGTAGTGTTCAAACAGAGATACTGTACAAGGTTAATGTACTTGTTTGGTAAACCTTTCAGTGACAGACACTGCCACAGAACTTCATAGTCAACAGAGTCAAACGCTACCTTAGGTTCGATAGATAAAACTATTATCGAACGTCGAAAAGTGTATCTATGTTCTTGGATTTACCAAAGTGTCAATGTTCAGTCTATACATCCACGTCCAGGTCAGAGATCTTATGGCTTATATCTGTTAGTTGTTCAATGACTAGATAGCATTTCTTGATAGGTTGTGACAGGCTGTTCAAGGTCATCAGTGTCAATTCCTGAAAAGTTGAATGAAGAAAGTATCTTATCGAACAGCATGTCACTAATAACAAAGTTGAACAAGAATGCAGACAACCCTGACGGACAACCCTTGTAGCAACTCACATATATCTTGTACTTCTATCATTGTTGAGCTTGTATGCGCATGTACTCTTGGGCATTACTTGCCACCTACACATGTAGTTATTTGACTTGCTGTATCGATTAACAGGTTGAATAATTCGATGTCAATATCGACTATATATATTTGAATTAAATCCGATATTTGTATCGATCATTAAAATAATTTGAATAATAAAGAAATTGTGGCAACAACGACTCGTGTTCTCTCGTAGCGAGCGATCATCAAGACGGAGATATACGGGAACTCGAAGATAACGAAAGTCAGACGCCACACCCTGACGAACACCATTTAAAATAATGAATCCTGATGACAATTCACCGTAAACTCTCACTCCACTTGTAGTGTTCGAATAGACATCTCTCATACAAAAGCTTACTAAATACATCAAAACTTTATTGATCAAAATGGTTTTTTAAATTAAGATATAAGCTGTAAAGATAGATATGTTAACTATTTACAAAATTAATTTATTGATTCTACATACTTTCTGAATAATAATTTTAGCGGATTTAATTAAACAAATCCATACGGATATAACTGAAGCGAATGCATTCCTTGACCAATGCGAAGCATTAATTTGGAGTACACATGAATTATTCCATGTAAACGACCGGTGATTCATTGTAAATTATAGTAGTAGTAGTTGTTGTTGTTGTTGTTGAAAACACTTCCATGATATTTTATCTTTGTTTGTAAAAAAAATATTAGTCAGATATCTTCTATATTTTGACTAGATTTATGCCTGTGTAATATGTACTGTACTGTACTGTATATGTACTGTAATGTAATGTTATGTAATAGATGAGAGTGAAAAAAAAGAAAGATTTGTTTTATTATTTTATTTTTTGTTAATTTTCATTTTATTGTCATGTTTATTCTGGGATATTTTCACTCTGAAAAAAAAGAAGAAGTGTGTGTGTTGTGTTTATGTATATATGTGCATTTGTCTAACCAAAAAAATTGACAAGCAGTGATGATCAATTCATTCATTCATTCATTCATGATGTTTTATTATATACTTTTATTTTAGAAGAAGAGTAACACAACATTTGTTTCTCGTAATAATAATAATAATATTTTGTTGTAACTATTTTATTCTTTTCTTCCGGTTTTTATATTTATACATCATCGATTGATAAATGCTCTTTAACTGTTTTTTGCAATTCAATAAGATTAAAAAGAGGTAGTGAATGGTTCTTGAAGAGTGCTGTATGCATAATCTGTCAATAATAATTATAGTTCTGGTTTAAACTTACTTACGCCTGTTACCCCCAATAGAGGAGCATAGGCCGCCCACCAACTCTGTCCTGGGCTTCCTTCTCCAGTTCTGTCCAATGTTTGTTCATTCCTCTCATATCTTTCTCTATTTCTCGGCGTTTAATGTATTTCTTGGCCTTCCTCTTTTCCTTTTGCCTTGAGGGTTCCATGTGAGGGCTTGTCTAGTGACGCAGTTAGGTGCTTTTCGTAGTGTGTGTCCTATCCACCAACTCCACCGCTTCTTCCTGATTTCCTCCTCCTCCACTGGAATCTGGTTTGTCGAAGAAGCCTCCACAGTGTTTTCCTATCCACGCTATCGAATGCTTTCTCGTAGTCGATGAAGTTGATGTAGAGTGGTGAGTTCCACAATGATCCGTAATATAGCAATTTGGTCAGTACACAATCGATCCTTACGAAATCCGGCCTGTTGATCTCGAAGTTGGGCGTCTACGAAGTCCTTCATTCTGTTTAACAATACTCTGTTGAAGACTTTGCCTGGTATTGAAAGAAGAGTGATGCCTCTGTAGTCCTCACACTTTCTGAGATCGCCTTTCTTTGGTATTTTGATCAGGTATCCTTCATTCCAATCTGATGGTACTTGTTCCTCATCCCAAATCTTCTTGAAGAGAATGTGGAATATTTTCGCAGTTGCTTCTACATCTGCTTTCATAGCCTCTGCTGGAATGTTGTCTGGTCCTGCTGCTTTACCGCTCTTGATTTGTCTGATAGCCATACTGATCTACTCAATCGTAGGTGCGCCAATATTAATTGGGAGGTCCTTGGATGCTGCTTCGATGTTGGGTGTGTTCAGTGGAGCTGGTCGAGTCAGGGGTTCCTGAAAGTGCTCTACCCATCTATTTCGCTGTTGTTCAGTGTTGCTGATTACTTTGCCTTCCTTGCTTTTCACTGGTCGTTCTGGTTTACGATAGTTCCCGGCGAGCTTCTTTGTTGTTTCGTACAATTGTCTCATGTTTCCTTCTCTTGCAGCCTTTTCCGCCGTCATTGCTAGATCTTCCACATATTTTCGTTTGTCAGCTCTGATGCTCTTCTTCACTTCCCTGTTTGCTTCTGTATACTCGGCTTGCGCCTTAACTTTCTCTGCTCTTGTTCGGCTGACATTCACTGCTGCCTTCTTGTTCCTCCTTTCTTCAATTTTTTCAAGAGTATCAACAGAGATCCATTCCTTGTGATGGTGCTTCTTGCGACCAAGGACCTCCTGACATGTTGAAGTGATTGCCTCCTTAATCCCTTTCCAATTGTTCTCCAATGTTGCTTCCTCTCCATTGAGTATATCGTGGAAGGCCTGGAACCTATTGGTGAGGGCTATCTTGAATTCGTTGAGTTTTACGGTATCCCGAAGAAAGGCTGTATTAAACTTCTGTGATGTGGTTTAAACAATACTGAAATGTAACTCAGCGGAGGAATTATTCCTTTATGTTTACTGATTCTTACATTCGGTTGCTTGTTTGCTAAGTTTGTAAAAACACACATGTTTTAGGCTGAGTATTTTGAAATGGTGTAGGAAATTTGTAGCTCATTTGGATGATGACTGTGGTGGTGTTTTGTTCTCTGAGCTGGATGTCAATCAATCAATCAGTCAATCAATAGCAACGTAGAAATTCCTCACTTCAAGTAGTGTTCGTCAGGGATGTCCACTTTCTTCATTCTTGTTTAATTTTATCATAGACATGCTCCTAGAAATAACCTTATCTTCGTCTGAATTTTCAGGAGTCGACTTTCTACTAGGAAAATCGCTTACTGACTTAGAATATGCCGATGTCATACTCCTACTTGGTGAAGACACTGACAGAATGCAGAGTCTTCTGACTACCCTAAGCAGCAATGCAAGCATGTTCGGGATCCGGTTCTCCCCGTCGAAATGCAAAGTGTTGTTTCAAGATTGGGTTGCATCGGCACCTGAACTAGTGATAGGGAGTGAAGTAGTCGAGCGTGTAGACCGCTTCACTTATCTTGGGAGTCTCATCAGTGCCAATGGCCTGGTGACTGACGAAATCTCAGCACGGATGCAGAAGGCTCGATTGGCTTTCGCCAACCTGCGTCACTTATGGCGTAGGCGAGATATCCGTTTGCTGACTAAAGGACGAGTGTACTGCGCAGCAGTTCGCTCTGTCTTACTTTATGGCTGTGAAACATGGCCAGTGAGAGTAGAAGATATTCGTAGGTTACTGGTTTTCGATCATAGGTGTCTCCGAAGCATTGCTCGTATATCGTGGGACACCCAAGTGAGCAACGCTGTTATTAGGAATCGGGTGCTAGATAAGAATGGCACATCAATCGATGAAGTGGTGAAACTTCATCAGTTGAGGTGGTTGGGACATGTGTTGCGTATGCCCAACCACCGACTGCCTCGTCGAGCCTTGTTTTGTAATGTAGGAATAGGTTGGAAGAAAGTTAGGGGTGGCCAAACCAAAACATGGCAGAAATCCATGAAGTCATTGACTAGTGGACTGAGTCATGTCGGTAGTTGTCGACTACCTGGTTGGGGTCCACGAGATGATAATAATCGATGGTTAGAGACCTCGGATGACATGGCTCAAAATCGTTCGCAATGGCGACGGTGCATTTATTCTTTGTGTTCTCTCAAATCCTAATCTTCTGGATTCTTCAACACCTCTAGTTTCGACTCTCTAAACTTTTCTCACTGAATCATACTTTTTGAATAATATCTTCTAATCCTAATCTCCCCGATCACTTCTAATACCTTTACTACCCCTCTTCTACTTTTGGATTTGAATTGACAATTACATCTCTTTGCTGATGTGGTTTGGCAACATGAACTGATGTACTTACGTACGAAGTTTTACGTTGCATCTGACTGACTGAACGTAGAAATTCGTACTTACGTACGTACATCAGTTCATGTTGCCATACCACAGCACAGAGATAAGCGATTCCCATCCGGAGCTGGATGTGGTTTGGTTGTGAATCTTTCATTTTTGTTCTTCTTCTGAACAACATCATCAGCACAAAATTTAGATAGACAAAAGTGAAGTATTCGAATTTCTCCATGTTTGACCTGTAGCTCGTTGTGCTAATCTCAATCTTGATTGGTTGTTTGGTGGTCTGTATCTGACACTTGTTAGTAGAACATGCTGACAAAGACATTCGTGGAGAAAGTAGAGTTGTTCTCATGTGGAAGCTTGCCTTTTGGCGAAATTCTACCATTTTTGAATAATGAGAAGCGTGTCACGTTCATATGATGATGTCATCATAGAAATTTTGAATGCTTCACTTTGTCTATCTGAAGTTTGTGCTGATGATGTTGTTCAAAACAACAATTAAAGCTTCACAGAGGACGAAACACCACCACAACTATCGACCTGAGCTACAAATTTTATCGACCATCTCAAAATCATATGAGCGTGACACGCTTCTCGTTGTTCGAAAATGAGAGAATTTCGCCAAAAGGCGGGCTTCTACTCGAGAACAACCCTACTTTCTCCACGAATGTCTTCGTCAGCAGTAGCTTCAGAGGGGCTCCAGGTGGAGTTGACTAGTATCACTAGCATTCACACAATTAAAGTGTAACTCAAAGCCAACTACGTACATCTTTATGTTTGTTAAATAAAATTATCTTACTATTTTGTTGTTAGAACTGAGTGAATTTTACTGGTTATCAATTGCAGATTGATTGTATGCTATCTAGTTGTAAGAACGAATCGAGTCCAATCACTCACTTCCCAACTGTAGCTACTACTTTCATGTAGTAGTCGGGCTTGCCTATTGCTATGACTCAACTGAGCTATATTGGCTGGAACATAGTTCCTGTAGGTTCTGTTATGCCAGGTAGGTCGATTGGAGAACGATGGGACTATAAACAGCTACTCAATGTCTGAGGGCGAAGTCATACTGCTGACTGTAGAGAGGTGTGACAGCAGTAAGGTGTCTCGCTCGGACAATCAGCACCTGCAGCGATGCTGCCTTCTCACAATGAAGGAAAGGTTAGTAAAGGTCGAGCCTAAAAATGTCACACCTCATCTTACTTACCCCATGGATTTCCATCTCAGACGATAAGAGCTGAGCTAACACTTTACAAACTTTTCATAAAAAAGCCGTGCGCAGCTGGCGTGAAGCAGTTGTCCGTTTGGCTCTGCGATCACGCTCCTTGGTCGTTAAAACGAACGCTAATCCAACTTTTTTTCCATGTTCCTCATGAAATACCCTTCCACGTTGTAGGTAGCCAGAAAGTGACATCCGCCCTCATTCACGTAACAACATACGAGACCGAATTGGTCACAATCAAATCCTTCATACACCTGTTAATAACTCTCTTATCTTGACGACTGACTACTCACTTATCACTGAGGTAGGTGATCATAATTAAGTAACATTAAAGACT